CAGTTGATAGTTGCGTGAACTAGTAACCAACTTCGCACGTCGGCTCGGCTGTATGCAGGTGACCTCCTTATTTCGATTGATATAGTCAAGATATTGATGCGGCAAGACGCCTCAAGTCAACTCCCATATTGATCTAGGCAGCCAATGGCTGACCGAGCTTATCATTATTGTTCGTATGATAGGTGCCTCGTGAAGTTAAGAAAGAAGACAGGAATGAGGTAATGGAAGTATATGAGATACTGTTAGATAATGCCATTAATATATGAGTACGATAATATAGGTAGGTAGGTAGGTAGGTAGGTAGATAGATAGATAGATAGATATAAATGGTTAACTGCCCGGGTATTGAAATAAAATTATTAATGTCTTTGGGGTTGAAGCTTTGATGATCTGTTGGCGAGGAAGATACCGAAGTCGGTAGGTAGTGTATAGAAAGGTGGAGGAAGCCACACCTGATTACCTCCTTAGGTACCTTAAGTTAGGTACTTAAGGTACATTAGGTTAGGTAATTAATTCAATATATCGAAAACTTAAAATGCATTAACTACATGCACTTACCTGATTTAGGTGTACAAAGTATATATATAGAGTATCGGTACTTCTCCACGTGGCTGTTGGCTGATCTGCAACTGCACGCCGGTATCAATCGGCCGTCAAGTTTCAAAGAAAAATATTTTGATTTGATTTTACGTACTTACATACCCTATACCCAAGTTAGTAGGTACCTACCTTGATGGGGGCTACCTACGATTGATTAATTACTTACATACATGTACATTCTCTAATGTACATACATAGTATCATGCAATGTGCATGTCGTCAATGTCCAAAACTTAAGCCATGCCTAATTTGTTAAACATGCCCGTCTTCAAATTTCAAAATTTCAATATATTTCAATATTTTAGGTAAGTTAGCTAATAGTACTCATTTGCGTCTGATAAAAAACTATCGTAGCTTCGGCAACTCGCTATAATATAGCGTTTCTTGAAAAATGGCATTAATCGCTTACACTAGGTATAATACCCTCAGGTCTCACCGGGTGCGTCAGGGTACCAGACTGGGAGAACCAAGACAAGGCTCTGCAACTTGAGGTCGTCATCACATCACAGGAGAGCAACCTCCAATAAACCACCTCGTTGTCCTCCGCCTTATCCCCTTGTGTGGGCTCCAATCGGTTCCCCCACCGGTAGAAAGCCGTATCGCGCCAGATTGGAGGCTCATCATCCGATTTCATGTCCACCGGTTAGCATTCATGCTTTCCCCGGTGCATTCATGCTCTCCGGTGCATTCATCGGTCCAGCGATCTAAAGTTCCTGGTAATCTCACACACCTCTTTTTCACGCATTTTTATGCCGGTAGCAAAAGGCATCGATGCCATTCGCTGGTGGTTTCCTTTCTTTTCTCTAGTCTGTCCTTCTTGGCCTGGCCGTTTCCTGCGTCTTGCAATAATACGACAAGCACTATACGTCTAGGCGGGCTGTGGAGCCGGGTCAAGTCCCGGCTGTCGTCAACCGTGCCGAAATGTCTCACCGCCGACCGCCATTCCCTATTCGATTAATTCTTTATTCTTCCAATTATAGTCCTGAGATAACCCTTGTACGAGTAGCCTATATTTAATCGTCTAATCATTTATATTCGCGGAATATTATCATGGCATAGGACGGTCCGGCAACTAGCTCCACAGCTACCTTGACAGCACCAGACCCCCCCTTTTTTCCCTTAGTCCCGCGAGGCTGTTGCAAGGCGCTAAAGAAGGGGGAAGAGTGGGTAACGAAGAATGCTATCCATTCGGGACTCTTGCCAGCTCCGAAGGAAATTTGAGCTTTTGGTTTGAGGCCAGCTTCCGCGTGTGTAAGTTTTAAGTTAGCGAGTCTTGCCCTGACCGAGTTGCAAATGCACAGTTGATGTACATCATAAGAATACCCTACATACCTATCTACACATATGTATGTACCTCATCGATAGAGATTCCACTTACCTAGTAGGTATTGTCGTTCTGGTCTCCCTTGATCCCTATTGCCCGACTAAGCTTCACCTACGTATTGGTGCTAACAAAGAAACCCGGCCAGAGGAAATTATCCCAAAAAAAAGGTATAGGCGTACATAAGAGGATCAGCAAATTTCACGATGCCCTAAGTCTTTTGATCCAGCTAGCTGATACGTGCAAATTTCTCGTCGGGCATCGCCGCAGAATCCCATCTTCAAGTCCAACGTCGACCAAAAGGGGCGGTGAGCTATTGACGTAATAAACCTCCGATTACTGGAGACAACGCAGCAACCCTGCCACAACTCGGCTTTCATGGGAAAGGGAAATTTTCCCATCATCTTGTGGGCAACCCAGGTGACCGGTACAGCAGGTCGCGCACGATATTGACGTGCCTCATCAAACGTGGACCTTCCTGCTGCACGACATTGCATGTTCCACATGTACTATGTATGCAGAATATCTGAATCTAGCCTTCCGCTATTAGGCTAATAGCGGATGTTTGCTGATTCGTGCATAGCACTGCTTTTCTCGATATATTCGGAGTTAGCAATTTTTTAAAAACCCCCCTTTTCTAACTCGATTAGAGTCACGCTAAGTCGACGATCCTCACAATCCATCAATATCGATCTCGTTTCGGAGGATAGATCATATGATCACGTCTGCATGCGTCCCATTCTCTCCTTTTTCCAGAAGACAGCGGTTCCTGGAACGAAAATCAGATCTACGAAGTACCTAAGTAGAAGTGAAAGAGGAAGAAAAAAAAAAACAAGGGAGTGACTAGCATATGTACTTATGGCTTGGCGTTTAGGGCAAGCGAGAAAGTTTTTCCTAAACGGCAAGCTTCCGGTAGTCAACATCAAGGCGCCAAATGGTTGGGTCAGGCTTGTAGATCAGGGTTTACCCTTGCACCTGAAACCCCCCCTACGGTATCCTTGAAATTGGACGATCATGACAGCCGTGCGCCCCGAACACAGGGCGAAAAAGAATCTCTGTTATTTGTGAGCGATGAACATCCCTGTGCAGAGCCTGGAAATATGTACGTACCTACACTTATACCCCGTGCATATCTCGGTACAAGGGGAAAAGGCGGCACCCTTACTTTTTCTAACAAGCGATCCTATTCGCAGTGAGTAGCTCACGCTAAAAATCCGAATTGGCGAGTCGACGACCTTCTCGGCTTCTCCGCAGCCGCGCATGTTTCGTAGCGGCTCACCGGATCTTACCCGACACGCCGCGGAGCTCTAGATAAGATGTCTACACTAGACTAAGCTAAAGGGGGGAAGGGGGCAGAAAAAAAGAAGAGAAAAAACCCGCAGGCTTCTTTTCCATTCGGAACAAGCTCCTCTACTCAGCACTTATTATGAAATTTCATTTGCCACATGGTTCGACAGGGACTATCCCGCCAGCACTTTTCTAGAACGTTACGGATTTGTTCCATAGCCTGTTCTAGCGCTAAGGAGAAAAAGTAGAAAACTTGGCCAGCTCGGGGAGAAAATTAGTTGTGGGGTCTTGACCGTGAGATAGTACGAAGTTGTATTCGCAAACGCTTTTCCGATCGTCAAGCTACGTGTACGATGCGCTCAGCTGACAAGACAGCTATCCCCACCGCTGCGTTGCATAGAGCTGTAGTGAAAGTGCACCTGAATTGTTGGGCGGCTTTCCTCAGTTATAGTTATGAAATGTCTAATCATGACTAGAATGAGAGTCCAACCACGCGGAAGAAGGGGGAGAGGGCCAAAACCCAAGCCATCACCCAAGGTGAAGAAGCCAGATTTCTGTACGTCAATTTGATCGCCGACGTTCTGGTACCGAGTTAGGGGGATGTTGCGGTAACTGATCGTCGATATTGAATTTGGACAAAGACGATTAACGGCACGCACGCACTTGCAAGGTATTGCACAAGGATAAGGCGTCGTATACTGTGGGGAATTTATGTTGCATTGCTTAAGACTGTAATCGTCAGATAACGACATCGTTACCTTAAACCAGTCTTGACTATCCGCCTCATTTATCACCCGAGATAAAAGTGTGGCCGCATCATGAAGGGTTTCGGCGCGGATGAAACGGGGTTGTCTCCATCAGTTGTGAGCCGTGGGCTGTGAGTTGTGAGCTGTGAGCTGTGGAGAGAGATTGCAAACGAAATCGTTTGATTCAACGCATTCAGCAGATTCCCCGCCGTCGAGATGACGGGACCAGGCCAGGCCAGGTCAGGTACGGTACATATCAGTTGTATGATACAAGGACAAGCAAGATGGATAACGGGTATGCAAAATCAACGTGATGTTGCTCACTGCTGTTCAATGAAGGGAAGTTTCGAAACGGGCAGCAGCACCGACGAAACATACCGGGCGCGGCAATTCCGCAAGACTACCGGGTGTAGCACAACATGCGCATAAGATGAAGACGGGGGTCATATTCCGAGTTCGTGGGTGCAGCATTTTGTCGCGTCCGCACGTCACACATCCACAAGTAAGAAAAGAAAAGAAAAGAACAAGAATAGGAAGAAGAAGAAGGGGGAGATGATGATGACGATGATGACGATGATGATAATAATACTAACAATAATACTAACAATAATACTAACAATAATAACAATAATAATAACAATAATACCTAACAACAAGACTAATGCCTAGATTAATAAGAGGCTCATTAATAATATACCTACCTAGATTTATCTACCCTAGGGTAGGTAATCTCGTGGCCTTGTAAACGGGTTATTCTCGGGTATGGGGATGAGTGGTATGTATGGTACGTTACGGTTTACCTGTTCTAGTACATACATACCTCATACTACGTACATACATACATGTACGATACCTGTACCTTATGTACTGCATATGGTACAGGCTACATACCTACCTCCTAGGTACATATCTTACCAGGTAGGCATGTAAGTATTAGTTAAAAAAAAAAGGGAAAAAAGAAAAGAAACGAGGCTTGGCGGAGCTGGGCTGAAGCCCTCTCTGCAGACTCTGCGTCATGGTTGACGATTCTCCTCAAGTCCCCCGTACCGGCCATTTGGTTCATCTCAAAATACCCCAGTTGTGCTATTTCCGTTGCCCAATCCCACTTTCAGCCACGCATAATCGGTATCCCCCCCCCTCGCCGGTTCACTTTCTTCTTCTTTAGCCTCGCTCTCTCAAAGAGCAATTGGAAGGCTGTGGATAATTTCTTCACCGCTCAACTGTTTTAACTACCACCCGTCTTCCCTAAGTGTCGTGTCAGGTCCGTCCGCTCAGATCCCCGGCGGCTCCACCATTCAGCTTTGGTGTGTGGTGAAATTGCCAATGAGCTAAACGCTCACCACCGGCCGGCTTATTATTGAAGGGTTTAAACCTAAGAGGGAAAGGTTCACTGCCCTTTTACATAGTCTATTCTTCTGCTTCTAAAGCTGGCGGACACCGGCAGGGCCTGGTTTACTACCTCACCCCCTTGTCCTGTCAGAGCATTCCCAATGCCGGAGGGTAGCAGGACTTTACCTAGTAGGGATCCATGGTGTACCGGGTACTTCTCATCAACCCTCAATGTGCTAAGGTGCTTCCATCATCCCAGTCAAAGCATTTTCCGTGACCCGCGTGGTCATTCGAGTCAGGCTGCATTTGCTGCTGCTCCTTATATGCAACCCGTAAGGCTCCAGAAGCAGAGGGCCAAGTCCCGACTTTTCTCATTTGCAGGTACATGTCATCGCTATAACCCCGTACCGCCTCGAGCATGGGATGAGGGATCCACTAGTAGTCCACTTCTGGCTTCCATGACAGAGCTGTTTCCACGAAGTTGGGACTCCATACCTTGTGAGACCATCGCCGCGTTACACCTGGCACTGCTGGAAGGATCATCTATTGCACACTCGCCCTTTGCTTTTCGCCCACCGCTGGTTCTAACTAGTATTAAATAACTTAATATCCGTCACCCGCCATGGATACCTACGTCGGTTGGCTTGTTTCTAGCCTACTTCTATCAGCTTTCTTTTCCTTCTCCTCCTCACGGTGCCAAGCTGATTATTATTCACCTTTCCCGCCGTTGTCGTCGTCGTTGTTGTCGTTGCGTGGCTTCAACACACACACGCAGCCTTCGTCGAACATAACAACTCAACGGTGCCGGGTTGACAAGTCACTCTCGCTTGTCTCTCTAACTTCTAACTTTAGACATCCTTGATTGATCTATAAAATCTACCAAATATTTTACATTACACCCCCTCGGATATCCCAAGTGCCTAGTTTGATACCCTTCCATCTTAAGGTTCGAGGGACTTCCGAACCATTGCCCAGCTTTGAGCTCGGCATAGCTGTATTAAACCTGTTCAGACGCCCAACATCGTTGCGGCTTTCCTGTCTATCTCGTCTTTCATGTAGCGCACCGCACCGGCGGAACCACGAGTATCATGAGGAATAATTCGTTTGTGAAGGACACCCGTCCTTCTAATATTCGTAATGGCACCATACCACCGTTTCCGAAGCGACAGATGCTGGTCCTAGGTATGATTTGGTTAAAAATACGTATTGTGGGCCTTGGGCTGATGATGTCAACTAGCAATCTGTCGAATATGCGAGCCAATCGCGTTTATGGGCATCTTCCCGTATATCTACTTTATGATCGAGGATTTTCACATCACCGAGGACAAGAGTAGAATCTCATTTTACGCCGGCATGGTTACATCGGCCTTCACCTTTGCCGAATTCTCCACGGGGCTCCTGTGGGGACGGCTAAGTGACAAGGTTGGAAGAAAGCCCGTGTTGCTTACGGGTCTCATCGGTACAGCTTTGAGCGTTTTGATCTTCGGCTTTGCTCCTAACTTGACGGTTGCGCTTATCGCCAGAGCCGTCGGAGGGCTTTTGAACGGGTATGATGCCACGGCTGTCCGGTTCGAAATTATACTAACATAGAACTAGGAATATGGGCGTGCTTCAGACGACGGTGGCTGAGCTAGTAACCTCCAAAGAGCATCAACGTAAGCTTAGTCGTCACGGCGGGGCATCCTGGGCAAGGTAGCTAATTATCGTGATAGCCCGGGCTTATACTATAATGCCTGTCGTATGGTGTCTAGGGTTAGTTGCGACGCCTAAAGAGTCGGTTCTGTTTCCTGGTTTTATCTAACTCTTTACCAGGTCGATTGTCGGTCCTATGATCGGTGGCGCGCTCGCCCGGCCATGTATCAGCTACCCAGGTTTATTCCCGGCTGGTAGTATTTGGGACAAATATCCGTATCTCCTTCCTAACCTCTTCAGCGCTTTCGTCGTAGTGGTTGGCGTTATTAACGGAATCCTGTTCCTTGAGGAGACTCACCCTGAGAAGAAGCTGAGGCGGGATCGAGGCCTAGAACTTGGAAATTGGATCCTATCGAAGTTGCCGATATTTCGAAAATGTACCGAGTCGCGGGATGAGAAGTCTAAGCTGGCCGAGATGGAAGCGCAACCCCTTATCGACCACGACGAACAGCTACCTGGGTACCAGACCAACGAGAACTCCCCCGAAAACTCACCACGCATCAGATCGGCCTCCGTTCCTTCGATATCATGGGATTCGCTTGACCTCGAAAGCGGACATGGAAACTCAAATCTCGGCGTCTCTAGGATATTCACTCGTCCAGTGGTCCTAAACATCATCTCATTCGGCATTCTAGCTTTGTATGTTTACTCCTCCTACTATGTTAGGGAGTTTCTTGGCAACTAACGCGTCTTGAAGCCACACGATGACTTTTGATCAACTCTTCCCAGTATTTCTGAGCACCGCGCCACCCGATCATCCAACGCCACCTTCGCTCCCTTTCAAATTCGTCGACGGTTTCGGTCTTGACAGCAAGACGGTCGGTATCATTCTAAGTGCTCAAGGCGCGTATCAGCTGCTTATCAACATGTTCATCGTGCCGCCGGTCCTAAAGCACTTTGGCGCACGTCGGCTATTCCGGTTCTTGGTTATCGCTTATTTCTCGCTTTATTTGATCACGCCCTATCTAGTCCTTTTACCCGAGAAGTACCGTATGATTGGTGTTGGAATGGTATTGGTCTGGAAGTGCACATTTGCTAGCATGGCATACCCGAGCAACGCCATTTTGACCGCAGATTCGTCGCCAAGCCCCCTTGCCCTCGGTACCATCAACGGTGTAGCAGCCTCGACTGCGAGCTTGTGCCGCGCATTCGGTCCAACCATTTCTGGTATTCTCTATGCTGTCGGCCTGAAGTCTGGTTATTCGGGCCTAGCATGGTGGTGTAGTGCCTTCGTGGCTGTTGGTGGTGCGATCGTTGGACTTCAGATTCAGGAACCGCAAACCCATACAGACGGCAATGCTGTTCCAACTAATAATAATCTAGAAATAACTAATGTTACCGATCGAGCGGCTTCGCCCGAACCGGCGTCATAGAGTGGGCCGGAGTTTATTTGCGGCTACTTTCAGGGCCATGTTTTCATTCTCGGCGGGATTCCAGGCATAACAGGGGAGCTTGGAACATTCGGGTTACGACGTTTAATGACTTGTTCCTTTCCTCGGCGCCGGATTCATCGCGGGCTCTAATCGAGTCGCTTTTCACCGTCGTCGTCGTTTACGTCTCTGGTTGGGGAAAAAGTTATTACACTTGTTACTACATAGACTTGGATTGGGCAACTAGATCATGTTCCTGGCATTGGGAACCACTACGATACCTCTGTACAATGACCAAAAATCAGGATTTCGGGGATCACACAAGGGAAAGGAATCACCATTTGCGAAGCGAAAATTGCGTACTGGGAAAAGAGCCTCAGTATGGGGCATGGGAAAGGGGGCTTAGGAAATTTCGGTACTGTCGAATTTTTTTTTCTTATCATACCTTGTCTGCATCATTTTTCCGAGTAGGGGTCAGGGCGTTTTTCAAGTACGAGGTTTTTTTGTTTTTCTTTTGACATATGATATCTTGGGCAAATCATTATTTGGGGCATTCCATAGTTGGGTATTGTTATTTTGGGGAGTTAAGCAACAGAAGCTCGCCTGGGCGCATATGGTAGAGAGAGGGTTTGGAAAGAAGACGTCTCGTAGACGAAGCCGGTCGTTCGTATCAATCAAGATTATTCTTATTAATGCATTATCCTTCAATATGACCTTCGTTGTCCAGCCTAGTTAGTTGCTCTTCTTGATACGGATACCTACCTAGGTACCTACTTTATTAAATGGTTATAGAAGAGCTCTGAGGGGAAATGGGTAGAGTAAGACACAGTAGCGTAGCTTACTGAGAACTTGTTCGTAATATTATACTAAACAACTACACTCTAGCTTTACTATAATAACCACTTAATCCCTCTACCTCATTATACGCTCGATTGGCCTTATAAGTAAGTCACAGTGCTCTCTTGATACTGCTCGTAGTCCTAACAGTCGATGCCTGTGTGTATACTTGACTCTTCTAGACGGCCAGTTTCCCGGGAATCTTATTGGAGTTTAGCACATATGCATCTTAATACCCGAATTAACTATTGTTCAAGTGGAGAAATGTATATAGGTTTATAGTAACGTCTAACTAGCTATAGGGTTAACACCAATTGAATCATACCTATTTCCCCATACAGCCCTGTGAATTCCAGCATTAAGGGTAAGAGTCTCAAGCCATCAAAAGGCCTCAATTCGAAAATTGCAACGCAATCTTAATTAATAAGCACCTAAACTCAGATCGAGGCGGACTTTACTCTAGCGTAGCCTTTCTAGATTCAAGCCCTTTCTTTCGTAACCTCGCCCGTCGGCGTGATTGCTAAGCATCAATGTTAGCTAGGTACCTAGGTAGGTATGGCTCCCACCACATAGTTCCAGACTATAAGTTCACTCGTAGTACCTAAATGGGGTTCTCACCTTCACAGCATCAGAGATGTCGTAGGCAATAAGCCAGCCGTCAGATTCGGTTCGCAGCCGATATCTCGTCGTCAGGTAAGTAGCACGATGCAGGTCCCGACCCGTCCACGGTAGCTTGTCTAGGATGCGCTGGGGGTCTGGATGGGACCGACGGTAGAGCACCATGGCCAGCCATGTCTGGACGTTTTCGGCCGTGGCGTCTTTGGCGGGGACGTTGTCCACGATGTCCGCCTAGGACTCGATGAGGAACTGCCTTTGGTTACTGGGTAGTTCCCGTCGTGCCCGTCGTTTCTTGCGCGTGGAGTGTCCACATGATTGGTTGCGGTTTCGATCTGCTTGTGGAAAGGTGGAGTTAGGTGGTGGCATATTTGCCTCTGGAGGTAAAGCGCTGCCAACGGCGATCATGGTTGGCGAGTGTTTCTGTCTTGAGGCTGCTAGGTATTGTTTTTTTTATAGGAGTATGCGTATATTTGTTTACTTGATACTGTTGTTTATGTAAATGATGATGCAGATGGTACAGGTATAAGCTGTTAGTTGAACATGTTCGGACGGATAGTATTAGGAGTTCTTTACACTATTGACACATAAAAGTAGTGTGTTTATAGATGTATTATCTAGAGTCGAAGAAAGAGCAACTTCCAATAGTTTAGTTAGTTATTATGAAAGTAAGAACATCTCTTATAGCTACATATACCTTAGCCCATACATACATGCATGAGGTATATAGTATAGGTATATACCAGACACTACGTATAGTATCGACTATGCCTTCCCCTCATACTATAATCAGGGAAACAACTGCTCTTTGCTTTAAGGCCATATGCAAGTTTCGGATGCCGATAGTTTGCTACAGCAGACCAAGCTAACAACGAATGATATAGGTGTCTATAATATAGACTCTTGTGGATATATCGATCGATGGGCTGATAGTCATTCTATAGTGTTACTTCTATAGTGTTACCTCCACTAGTTCGAGGTCTCAAGGAGGTCTCAAGAACTTATGTTGTGGAACATAATACGAAAACGGTAGTTATATCGTCCTAAGAGAATAGGTACTAGCCCTGCAAGCTATGTTAAATGTTCCAGCGAAGGGGTTTGGATACAGTATAGAGTTGCCGGCATAAGTGCCTCCTGTACCTCGCGCATGGAGAGGAGAATATCCATAGGCGCAGGTCTAGGTCGTTTCAACCCGAGGGTCCCGAAGGTTTAGTCGCTATTGATAGGTCTATTGAGGTCTATTGATAGGTAGTCTGCAACTTAGCAGCATGCATAGTCAGTGTACCTATACTATGTATGTAGGTTACTGTAGGTTAGTTGATTGTGGCATCGTCGTACCTTAGCCGGACGCAGCTCGGTTCTAAGCTATTCCAAGCTACTAATAAAATTCATAAAATTCATCTACTATGTAGAAGGTGATTGGTCGGAGTCGCGCCCTAGCTCGCTTCTGGAAGTTGAAACTGGGTGGACATGTGGAACAAGAAAAAAGATAGCCTAAGACCCTAAGCTATCAGTAAATTCTAACCTGTAAAAGGTAAGCTCCTCTCTATGTGAGGTAGGGATGTCCCTGCGAAAGAAATTTATAGCCCCCAATTTCTCTGAAGATACCAGATATCAGATACAAATAACTAAATAGCTAAAAAATGAAGCTCCAATTACTCCAAAATAATTGCATATACCTCTGCATTTGCGCAATCAGCTGCAATCTATCGGTGACGTCGTGAGGTGTGCAGTGCAGTATTGAACAAGCCCTAACAAGAGTAGTAAGATCGGCAGTACGGCGGCTTACATAGTACCGCGCAGCGCAAGCCCACGCTTTCCCACACTTTCCCATGTCCACGCCTGCATACATAGTACCTAGGTAGGTAGGTACGTATGCATACAGTAGGAGAGGAAGCTCCGCTGTTCCTTCGCGCAACCCCCGAAATTCCGCCCAAGAAAAAGTATCGACTTTTGACTTTCTCATCTTCAGCCTCCATTCCCCCCAAGCCTTATCCATTCTTAGACGTTAGACGTTACGCCCTAACGACCATCCGCGCATTGTTATAGCTTGGATATAGTCGAATTTTATATTTCCCCCAACGGCTAGTCCCGGCTTTATTGCTCTACTATAGTCGTTGTATTCTCTATCTAGAAGCTTTAGTTTCATTTGCTTACCTATTTCACGCATTGAAATTGAGCTTGGAGATGGGGCGGGGAATATCGAATTCCTACGAATAGCCGACCCAGCCTAATTCTAGCTGAGAAATCAACCACCTCGACAGCCCCTAGTTGGCGCAATCCAACATAGAGCAACTCGAGCCTCCTGCGGATAGGCGGATAGTGTCACTTAGTTGTCACTTAGTTGCGGATGGACCTGGACCTGGACTTGGAAACCATGCCACCGCGCTCACCGCCGTCGCCCGATCCGCATCCTTCGAAACGCCAACGTGCTTCCTCACCGGATAAGGACTCGCCTTCGGAAGGAAATGGAGCTCCTACCTCCCCCACCGCCGAACATTCGTTGCATGATGGCGCTAGCCAAAGCTCAAAGATTAGCCAATCCACAAGCTTCCGCAACGTCAGCGCATGTAACCGTTGCCGGTTGCGCAAGAATAGATGCGACCAGAAGTTGCCCAGCTGCGCCAGCTGTGAGAAGGCCAGGGTCGCCTGTGTTGGCTACGACCCTATAACTAAAAGAGAGATTCCGCGCAGGTTGGTTCCCTATTGAGTATATCAATTATTGTCAACTCACCAACTCACCTGACCGCAAGGCTAATCCAGTTCCCTTTAGCTATGTCTACTATTTAGAAACTCGTGTCGACCAATTAGAAGCCCTACTTCGCCGCAACAACATTCAATTCCCGCCCGCTAATAATCTTGAATATTGTTCGCGACCCGGAACGGACGGCGGCCTTGGGAGATCACCCACAGATGGTGCACCTTCAGCCGTACCTGGAATCACAGAAACCTCGAGTAGTGCGAAACCCCATAAGGGTAATGATGATGTGGAGAAACCAGTTAAGATTGTGAGGCCTGGTGGGAGTAGCGGCCAGAGACACCTCGGATCTGCTACCGGGATATCGTTTGCGCGTGTGGTATTTGCTGCTGTACAGTCATCTGTAGGAGATCAGAGGTCAAATTCCGACAAGACCGGTGTGCGGCCCTACCGACCAATTGCAGGAAACGGGGCCGCGGCGTCGGGTACGTCAATGCGTGACTCCTTTTTCGGCCTCCACACTCGGCCGACCATCAGGCCAGCCGAATTCCCTCCTAGAGAGCTTGCTATCAAAATGGTCGAATTGTATTTTCAACATGCGAATCCCCAGATACCCGTCTTGCATCGAGAAAATTTTATGCAACTCTTCGAACGTGCATATGCCGAAGAGGGTAGGGTACGAGGACCAAAGGAGCTCTATCTCTTAAATATGGTGTATGCTATCGGAGGTGGCATAATTATGGATGCCCAGACGACATCCGCCAAGGCGAGTGGCGAAGAGAAGAAGCAGGCTCAACCCGAGGAATACCATGCGAGTGCTGTCGTTCATTTGGAAGCCTGTCTGAGCAACAGCGGCGGAGGACTAGAAGAGCTTCAAGCTGTCCTACTGCTAGCTAATTTTGCCCTTCTTCGCCCGGTCCCCCCTGGATTATGGTATGTTTCATCAAGAATTCCGCATATTTCCAGTTTATGAGGTTAGAAGCTGACGTCAAATCTCCCTAGGTATATCGTTGGCGTCGCCGTGAGGTTGGCAGTCGACCTGGGTCTTCATTATGAAGATGGGAAAGATGTAGAGTTTGACCTTACTTCGAGGGATAAAAAAACTGATGAACCAAATGAAAAATCGCGAGAAGCCTATCTACGTGAGAGGGGAAGACGCGAATACACACGCGACCTTAGAAGACGATTATGGTGGTCCACATATTCCCTCGACAGACTTGTTAGTACTTGCGTTGGACGACCGTTTGGTGTGTCGGATCAAGTGATTACGACCGAATTCCCCTCCTTGCTAGATGACCGCTATATTACTTCGGAAGGATTCAAAGGGCGTCCCGCCGAGGGCGAGCCCACGTATAAAATTGTTGCAAAGCATTACTTCCGCCTCCGACTACTCCAGTCTGAGATTTTGCAAGTCTTGCAGTACCAGCAAACGCAGATGGCGAGGTTTAATGGCCAGAATACGAGAAACGAATATATGCACACTCAACTTCCGTCACCCTTCTTACATAGATTTGATTCATTTAGGAACTGGCGAAGGAATATCGACCAGCGATTATACGATTGGAAGAATTCTGCACCGACAAAGCAGGATTCGGGAGTTGCATTTCATCCTGAATTCCTGGAACTCAACTATTGGCAAACTATTATTATGCTTTATCGACAGAGCCTAAGCGTGCCATCCATGTTCGAAGGCGAATATAATACCTCGAAAGAGGTTAATAGCCCTTCCATTTATGCCGCCGAGTCACGAGAAGACGAAGAGAGAGTATACGTCAAGGTTGCCGAAGCAGGCCAGAAAATCCTTCGTTTATATAGACAACTCCATCTTATGGGGCTTGTCAACTATACATATCTAGCTACGCATCACCTTTTCATGGCGGGAATTTCCTATCTTTATGCGATTTGGCATTCGCACGTCGTCCGAAGCCGGCTTGTAAGTATTCGGCTTATAGAACCTGATTATCCTGGCTAACCTAGTTATAGACGATGGACGAGGTTGATTTCACGATATTAGCAGCCACATCGGTTTTCACGGATCTTATCGAAAAATGTCCGCCAGCGGAAGCTTGCCGGGATGCTTTCGACCGAACTGCGAAAGCAACTATTAAAATGGCAAATTCTACCGGCGGTTTTGGACAAGTACTGCATCGGAGCAAGCGCTCCGCAAGAAATGGTAACGAAAGAAGCGACTACATGAACGCCAGAGACGCGACGGCTAATCGACACAAAGCTCATCACCGCGCCTCGTTAGACCACACAGGTTCCCAGACGACTTCATCCTATAATACTCCCGGGCAGGAAAGTTATAGCTCGCATAACACGTCACATATGGGTTCTATACAAGCGGCATCACAAGCCGGCGGGTTCCGCCTCTCTATGCCCCACGTCAAGACAGAACAAGACGGATACTCGATGATGCGCTCCATGCCGCAATCAACCCTTAGTACGGCTAGTTTGTCCGATGTGGCCTCGCTTCCTGATAATTCAGCCATCGATCCCGTTCTTCTGCCTTCCCCCGGCGCGCATACTAGCTCTCCGGTATCCGTTAATAGCTTGACACCGCAATCTAATCCAGGACAACCGTACAATCAGAACACAGGAAATTCGAATTTCAACTTTAGATCACCAGCCGCCACCTTCACCCCCGGCAGTGCGATAAACTATTCAGACCTGCAAGGCATGGACTTCTTACAGGGTATTCAGGAACAGCCGAATGCGGACGGTGTAGTCAATGCGGATATACAGATGGACATGGGTTTTGGACTTGGCTGGGAAGGGATGCATCACGACTTCAGCGACGGACAGCAGGTCGATTTATTCGACGGATTCTTCTTCGGAGGACAGCAAGGGGGAGGATAAACAACTATAAAAAAATTCGAGCTTCTGGAACCATGACGGTTTCAGTTTAGTTTGCTCTACGACGGCGTTGGAGTATATGGTATCACATAGGACGATTATTTCAACAAGCTACCCCAGATATGAGCTTAAATGAGGCATGAGGAATGGAGATATCTAGGTAATTATCATTTATCCACCAGATAAGATCCCGAGTTATTATGGGATTCACGAAGCATCTATTATTTCGCATCTAAGTTTTACACGTCGAGTTTTCATTTTGCGCTCTTTGTATCATACGTTTTACGTTTCTAATACCCCCATTATTTGACGAATCACGCTTATCATGTACGTACCGTACCGTACGGAGAAGACCCAAAAATATAGGAGTGGAAAGGGGCTCTCGAGGGAGGAAGTGGTAGGGCAGATGATGATGGTCTTAAAGCCGGAGATGGGAGACGTCTGGCTTTTTTTTTTTTTGTCCCGTTGGATTTTAGGTACGGTGGATTGATGGATGCCTTGAGCATATTGAATACACACACTCCTTGCTCGCTTGACTTTGATGGGAAGATATACCTACCCGCTTGAAGTGCTAAATACGTTAGGTAGGTACTTATTAGGTACCTAGGTATCTAACCATTATAATAGATATCATCGTCTCGGGCTTCATATAAACAGGTGCTATTCCCGTCCTAATCCTTACCTACTTTTATAACCATCTTACATTGAATACAATACTCCCATATATCTGGACAGTATATACCAATCCCCTAGACTCTCGGTGGCATTGATAAAAGAAGACAGCGCAAGTAACAGGTAAGAAGTTCATCTTCAAAGCTACTCTAAGAGAGGCTTGTTTCTACGGTTTATCCTAACTAACATATAACAGAACACACTTATCGGAGTCTTGCTCCTATTCGTGCCGCTTCGTCGCTGTTTTACACTATTCTATTAGACTGGGTACCGAGTACATCCAATATAGGAAAAGACTACAGTAATCCCTATACGACGGCTAATCTATACCGAACACCCGCTAAAAGCCGTCTTACTCCCAATCGCAATACCCTGACTGAAAGAATACATTCGTGCATAAGTCAAAGACTAGGAGGGTAGCCGTCGGTATCCACTGCAGGAGCCCCAATAGTGCCGTAAACGCATCCCTCGTTTGGTCTTCCGCTAACCTGATCTCCTGCGCCGTCACCCGAGCTTATCTCTCGGATCCTACGAAGGAGAGGGTTTACGATATCGGGAACACAAGGCTCGGATTTGGGCGCGTTATTACCTGCCGATCCCAATTTCCCGGTCCTTTCCTGTGCTTTGACTTTGAGCCTCTCGGCGAACCAATTCCCCATCTCGTCCGACGAGGCCTTTGACGACGATGGCGTCATCGGCCGCGGGTTTTTCAAGTATTCGTCGCTGTCATAGGTATTATCGTCGTCTCGCTCCGATGGGAAGAGCACAAAGTCCCCGGGCGAAAACTCATCGTGCTCCGTTTCTATGGAGGACTCCTCTTGGATGTCTGCTGCTGATATTGAAGATCTGAGCTTGCTATCCCTCTTGCGTAAAACCCTTCTCGCACGGTGAGAAAAGGGGCCTTGAGATAGCCATAGAGCCCGCAGTGCTACAAATTGTCCTTTATCGGCACTTGAGCGGTAGTTGCTGTTTACCGGAAAGCTACCATCGCTTGCTGTATAATTTCTACTCCTTGCTGGTAATACTGGGTATATCTGCCTTCCATCTGCTCCGTAGATTGAGAGGCCGTTGGTGTAGAAATTATTATAGAACGAGGGATTATATGATAGTGACCCGTTCTGTAACGGTATCTCGTTTTGATTTGTGGGCAAACGGAGTAAGCGTGACAGATCAAAATAAGGATTCTCGCGATCGCCGGTATTATCATCGTCATCCTTGTCCAAATATGAATATACTACCCAAGCGGCTATTTTGTTCCCGACCTTTCGAGTCCACCGCTTTGCTAAGCGAGTAATCACCTCCGAGATCTCGGGGGGCACTTCAAAAGCCAGGGGTGAAGCATCCTACTGCTTCTTAATAGCCCTAGTATCCCGGCCAAGGACGTACTGCTGGAATAAGGCAATGGGGACCCGGAGGAGTAAGACGCCTATAGCACAGATGAGCGTTGCATAGAGCTGCCAGGCGATCCAAAGAAGTGATGCTCCCCAGGGCGCAATGAACTTCAAGAAATCCTCTACTTGATAGTGGTCCTGCTGGCCCTTAATGAAGTATCGCTTGGGCGAGTCCGGAGTTAGAGCCAGATCAGCATCGACGGAAACCGGCGTCTCGTCGAGCAACGGTTTGTGGTGCTTATCAATACCAAGCCGCTGCAGCTCCAGCACCGTCACCAGCTTCACGTTGGCCTGCCACAGCGAAAACGGCACAAACCACAGCGTAAATGTCTGGCGGAGCGTGACGTACAAGAGATTCTTATTCTTATCGAAGCCTTGGTAAGAGGTAAGTTAGTAACAGGCAATTAGGTATATATATTAACCTCACTATATGTTGCTGAATGAGTGCGAACTTACTGGTCGAATCGATGCAAAGCTTTATATCCGGGCTTAGGATTCTATACCATTGGTAAATGAAGAAGACGAACTGGCGAGAGTTTGTAGTCAAGTTCGTAAATGGGATCTTGTAATCGCCGAAGGATGGCACGCGGCAGAAGGGATGTACGAAGTAGGCATCAGGCAGGAAATAGTCTTCTAAGATAGACCATTGGTCGTCACGCGAATATTGCGTCAAGCCGCGGATGATGTGCTGAATTTGCTGTTCGGGATAGTCCATTTTGAGAAGCTATTCTTAATGATTTATTTGATTCTGTTTATTCAAGTTATCGGGATGTTGGCTGCATATATGATACGTCCGAATTTCTGAATTGAATTAAAAGTTTGTATGAGACGTGGAGATTTGAAGTTCGAGGATGTAAGAGGTATAAGAGGTACCTACGATTTGTAAGGTAAGTCCATTCTCGTAGAGCTTTGTCTCAGGGGTAGTGATGATGATGATGTCATTTGGTTTGCGGCGCGGGTCTTCCCTGGCATGTGAAAGCACCTCGACATCATCGGCAAGTCCCTCATAGTTGCGATACATTTGCGATAGGCACTTATAACGTAAATTGAAGTCTACCGTCTTGAAATTTTGAAAGTAATATGAAAGATATAACCTACTATGTCACTATATCAATACTTGAGGATAAATAAGCAGCAGCCTGAGTAAATTTCGCATACATAAAACATAAAAGCTTCTATTCCCACTATAAAAAGTACCTACATAACTGGCACTCCTCAAGTCTTATCCTTATACGTGGGTGTATATAGCACTAGGTGTATAAGAGAAGCACCTACCTAAACTAAACTTCAAAGTTAAATCCAGTGCTATTTAGTAATTATTAGCTTATAAATGACTAGGTTAGTACATATGCTCCGCTACCACCGCGAGGAGGAAGAAATAAAGAGCACGCACCTAATACAAGATACATGATATACTACAACGGCTTAAGCATCCCCATCATCTAATCTCATACAGCCTCATACGCCATGCCCTTCCACCAATCAATACACAAAAGCTCCAGGTATTTCCCATATATTCATATACATTGTACTTCAATATAACCAACCATAACCATAAACTCATCCCCCCCTCTCCTTAAAAATCGCTTGCTCGTTTCCTCATCCTATTATTGCTATCATCATCATCCTCTTCGAGAGCTGCTCCTCCTACGATATTCCACGTCCCTATACTGCGTCCCACTCCTCCTTTCGCTGCTCCTACGTCTATAGCCCCTGCTCCCCCGCCTAGGCGGCGTATGTTCTTCCAGCACTACAATCTCGTCGTCGCCGTCGCTGCGTGGCGGAGGAGGAGGAGGTCGCGGGCGACTAATACTTCTCGACCTTGATCGCGACCGTGGCCGGGATCGGGATCGGGATCGGTCATGTTCCTCCAGCACGACAATCTGGTCGACCTCCGGCACGCGGGCGGGAGATGAGGATCGAGAGCGGCGAACAGCGCGGTCGCGCCGCGTGATCTCGACGGTCTCCTTCCGCCGGTGCGGCGAGTACTGCTGCGACGATCGCGCATGGCTGTGCCGGTGGCGGCGCACCCGCGGTCGCGAGCGGTACGACACTACGGACGAGGAGCCGCCCACTCCGCTGACGGAGCGCTCCTCGAGGCCAGGCGCCGGCGATCCCAAGTTCACGCACCAGTATATTATCCACAGCAGGAGTATGAATCCCGCGACGGAACCCAAGACTATGCCGGCGACCGCGCCCGGGGCCGGGCCGCTCGCAGTCCGGCCGTACCCCTCGGGGACCGTGCTCACATCCGTCGCTAGTCGGGGGAGGAGGAGCGTGCGGGAGGCAAAGTCGTGGATTTTCCGTGCAAGGTGTAACGGTAACGTCGACGTGGGCGTGGCTGTTGAAGGTAACGATTTAGATGCCAGGCCTGAGAGCATATCACGCGCGAAGCTGCGCGAAGGCCCTAATGGCGGCATGGCGAACTTGATTCCAAGGACGATGTTTTCTAATCGAAATAACTAAATGGAGCAGAAAACATAAAACAATTGATCGGGCTTTCAATTTAGGATTTGGGTTACTGCCGCCCCGCTGGGCTCTGTGACTTGTGAGTTGTGATAATGGTACGATGAGCCGATGAATTGCTCGGTTTGCCCTAGCGATACAGAAATCGCGCGTGAGGTTTCGCTGTTTAACAGAACAGACTTAAACGAAACTCACGATGCCATCGTCGACACTTAATCCAAAAAGTAAAAGTAAAATAAAAAATGCGCGCTTGCATGCGAAAACGAATTAAGTGGATGAGATGATCGTCTACTGTACAACGCACAAGGCTGGAGGATACGGATACTTTGAGTGGAAAGAGACTAAGGCGCCAACATCGCGTTGTATCCGTCGCGACCCACGTAAGCTTTGATCTAATCACCTCTGATAGTAAGGTGGCTGGGCTGCTGGGCTGCTGGGCCGGAATCCGGATGTTGCTAGTTTACCGCAATTTTGATCGCCCTACAAAGCCTAAGCCCGGATTTTCGACGTCCCACCATCTGCAATCCCCACTTGCCTTATCTTATCGGCCTTCGCATAGTTAGTAGTAGTAGTACTAATGCATGTAGCCTCACCTAGATACCTACCTAGGTACCTACCTATATCTATACGTACTCAATGTAAATTGTCCTGTGGTGTATAATTGGCCCTAGGAATATTTCCATCTAGTGGCTGGCATTTTCGCAGATGCAAACAAAATCCAATATCACACCTGGTCCCCTGGTGCATCTTATACAACAGATTTGCTACCTGTTATAGTTACTTGGAAGTACGACTATTCGCAAACAATTGGCTAGGAACGGCCCCGGTTCCCCGCCCCCGCCGCCGATACGCAACCGAGAATGCGCTCCTGCGTCAGGTCTCCCTACCGACGTCTGTTTTGTGTGGTCAGCAGTAATCCCCTTTCTTTAAAATACCTTATCATCATTGACGGACAACCACTAGTCGGGCGACAAATGGTAACGCAGATCCGCTTGAGAAAAGAGATTTTCCGTAACGCGTCCCCTCAGCATTCGCCCTACTCTCTGAGGAGGGGATATACTCCTTCGAAACAGGAACCCGATGCGTGTAAACAATTAGAGGATGAAATCTTTTATAAATTCAATGGGAAGACAATGCCTTGTTCCCATAGCAAATAAGTCATCCGGCCAGTCTGTCACCTGATAGCGTGACACGATTCAACCACGGTCATGATACCGCGCGTTGATATATGTAGGTACCTAGGAATTATAGAAATTAGCGTAGGAACTGCCCAGTTTATAAATACAGATAGTTATTTGGTTTTAAAGTACCTAGGTATCTAGTCTCCACCGTTCTTATAGTCCTCCAACTGTGGCTGCATATTATATTATATAGCATGGGGAATCTGACGACTGACAAATATTCCGTCTTGGGAGTCACGATAATAATATGCATGTCTTAATTAATCCGTCCCAGGATTTCAGGACACACAGTGTTATCCCTCCTGCGGGATTTACCTAGCTATCGGCTATCGGGCATGTTTCTGGACTCGGGCAGCTCCTTTAAGAAGGTTGAAGACCTCGGAGTTCAATTTTCGGTTAAACCCTTATAAGTTTGCAATCTGGTTTTACTCGAGATCGTACTGGACCAAGAATCAACAACGGTTATTAAACCCATCATAATCTCCAGACGAGCCCCAAGCATAGATTGTGACTCCGTCTCTATACCAGTAAATAACCTCTTATACTATTACTCAACCCCTTGTTGCGATGGCCGAAGAGCTAAAACCCTATAGATACCTCGTCGACGGAATGTCTGGAGACCTGAAGACCTACCGTGGCAGCTGCCACTGCGGCGCCTATGTCTATGAAGCCAAGATGCCTCATCTCTTCAAGGTGCTCGAGTGCAACTGCAGTTCGTGCTATAAGAAGGGCGCTTTATGGGTTGTTCCTGAGCCGGGAAACATCCGCTTCGTCAAAGGCGACGTCAATACCCTGGCAAATTATACCTTCGGAGAGAAAACCATTAACCATAAGGCTCGTAAAAATTTACTATTTCAGGTTGTATTGTTTTCGTTAGGCTGACGTGAGGGGAAACTAGTTCTGCCCCAACTGTGGAGTTCAGCTCTTGTTTGTCGGGGACGCCACGCTTCCGAAGCCCGGTGAGGAACCTAGGATGGGAGCCAACGTAAGTGATATACATTTCTTCGGAGACACTGAAGAGAGTGAGCTTGCAAATGGCTGATTCGCCTTTAGGTTCGATCGTTCCAGCATGGTCAAGGTGTCGACGTATGGAATATACTAAAGTTCTAGTGGGTTGCTCATGCTCATCTCAGTTCTTGAAGCGCGGACGTTGATAGGTTATTTCTCGCCAACCTTTAGTGCGGATAACAAAGAGTTCAGGGGCCCTTATAAAGCACCTAAGTTCACAGGACCAGAGCCGAAAGCCGTGATAGAAGGCGCGAAGGTGTACACTGGTAGCTGCCATTGCGGTGCAGTCAAAGTGGCATTGAAAACAAAGCCTCTTGATAAGACCTCCACGGAAACCATCATGGAATGTAACTGCAGCATATGCAATAGGGTAAGCATTGGTATCGCCAAAACCTCTAGAGACCCAGGGCTAACTTGCTATAGTTGGGTTACGTATGGTTCTATCCTCAGAAGGAGCAGGTCGAGATTGAAGGTGAAGAAAACCTCGCGTACTATAAATTCGGCACCGAGCTATTCGGGAAGTCCTTTTGTAAAACATGTGGAATACCGGTTCATAATGCCGTGCAACCGATCTCTGAGGAGGAGCTTAACAGCAAGATACCCGAAGCCCAGCGGGAGTTCGTCAAGGGAATGTTGTCGACAACACCGATCAACCTGAGGGTCCTTAACGACTTAGATGTCGGCACCTTAAACGTGAAACAGGTGGATGGCTATAATCGTCCGCCGCTCTATGTTGAGCCATAAACCCGGAAGTTGTGAATAAAGATCGAGATCAGGTGGTAGTGACAGGAAATATTGTTTCCTATATTCACTTGTATCGATGCTTTATCTCCACTCAAACTTTAGACCAGAATAATACAAGGTCCGGTACATGGCGATCTATCAGTTGTTCCCTCTTCGACGTGATATGTACCTGTGTCAAAGGCACTAAAAGTAAGTATATCATTGTATTTCGTCCTCGAAATTTCCATTGTTCTAGGCAGGTTTATACCGAGACTTGTCCCAGCTGGGATTCCCGTCGGCATCGAAGTCGCCCCATTGGAAGAATGAGCAATTCTCTTTACCAGGTACATTTCCGCCGTGGCACATCCAAAAATATTTCCCTTGGTTTTCCTTCTTCTTTTGAACAACCCTCAGTATAGCAGGAATGCCACATTTACATCTCGGCGTATATTTTGCGTGGAAATTTGGCTTGTAATCCCGGTATGTGATATTGATCCTCCGGCTGCCTGCAATAGGGTGAGGATCGATCGCTTGGGCCGTAGCGATACTATGTTTCCATTCCTCTTGCATCTCAGCATGCATAACTAAGAGAGAATTATGTGGAAGGTGTATAGAGATTTGTCCTTCAGCGTCCGGATCATCCGTGGGCCTGGTACTAGAATCTTTTGGCATAATCCGTCTAACACGAAATTCTCTTGCCACACCTAAGGAAAGTGAGCCTATTACAGCCCGCGGACCTAAGTAGGTCAGTTGATCGCTATGATAGCCAACGCTCTCCTGAGGTCCATTGTAACAATTGACGAAGGCACAATTCGGTGACCATGGATCCGGAGATTGGTATTTCAACTTTCGCCCACCGGGATAACGAGTCTTGATACGGGTTTGAATTTCTCTATTTACCGCTTCTTGAACCTTTGGGCGAACACGTAAAAGCTGAGGAGTGATAGGCCGGACGTCCGTCAATCGAGCCCCGTTGTAGAAGTAATCATGTTTCTGAGTGTTAATCTCGGCTTCCGTTCCCACGTAGAAGCTCGACGTATGTGGGCTCTGAACCACGTTATCGAATAATTTGAAGGTGATTTTATCGAACGAACCAGATTCGATTAACATTTCTTTGAGAAGCTCGTTGGCTTCATCTGAGGGTAGAAAGTTATGAATGATACTGCAAGGTGTATGTTCGGCTACATCCTCAGGATCATACAAGTGAAGCGTTGTCCCTTTCTTGGAAAGGGTTCTTGCCTTCTTCGGTGACACAGGTCGTTCTCCAGTCGAAGACTTAGACGCAAATAGTCTGAGCGAAGACTGATAGCCGATAGCGCTATTTTGTTTCTTCTTCGGCGATATTGATCGATCCTCAGCTAGAGAAGCGGAAGCAGCTCGAACAGAACCATCGTGCTCTAAGAGAGATTCTAGTAAGGCTTCCTGGCTGACATTAGCGTATAAAGACGAGAGAATTGCCAGTTTCACGTCCGTGGACTCGTCATCATCGACTTGAAACGAATCTTCCACAGCGGATGATTTCCGCTTGGTTCCTTTCAAGAATGCGTCCATGATATGGCTTGTAAGTAAGAATGTGAAATCCCCAATATGAGACGCGTCACGTCATTTTCCACGTTTATTTCACCTTTCATATTCCTTGAAGGCGATGAGAATTCTAAGAAATTCATATGGAGAGATGTATACCTCATTAGATTTCTCCGACTTAGCTTTGTTGCCTAAAAATGCAATAATGAAAGTGGGAAATTGTCCAGGTAATTCAGTGAAGGTGGTCCCATTGATATGAATCAGCACTTAAGCTTAAGAGACCTCAAGGTACTCGCATTGTATGTATAAAACCCCACATAGGGAAGGTACAATACAATACATGTACCTTACAGGTGTACCTACCACAGTACCTAGGTACCTACTATAAAGCCGAGGCCCCACGTCTTGGCTTCAACATGTAACTTATCGTCATTCTTCAGCTGTCAATCTTCAACTTTCAACTGAGCTAGGTACACTTAGCTACCTCTTATATATACCTATGCGCCAGCAAGTCTGAGCTTGTGCTCTTCATACAAGCAACATGGCCGCTATGCTGGAGTTTCGCACGCCTGGCTGGAATCCTTATGCTGTCAAATACTCACCATACTACGATTCGCGAATCGCTGTCGCATCCGCAGCGAATTACGGCATTGTAGGAAATGGCCGCCTGTTCTGCTTGGGATTGGGGCCGCAAGGCGTCCAGATTGAGAAGACGTGAGCGACTACTACAAGTGCCTACATTTACAGCTTAACACAACAAAACTAAGACTCTTGTCCAGCTTCGATACGAACGACGCCCAGTACGACCTCGCCTGGTCCGAGATCAACGAGAACCAGCTACTGGTCGCATGTGGAGATGGCTCCATCAAGCTCTACGACATGAATGTCAATGAGTTCCCCGTAATGAATTTCCACGAGCATAAGCGGGAGACTTTCTCGGTAGCATGGAGTCCCGTTACGAAAGATACTTTTGCCTCTAGCTCGTGGGACGGAACAATAAAGATTGCACGTATCCCTTTAGGCATGTGTCAAGCAGCACCAGAAATTCTAACCGGTATTGAGTAGTGGTCTCCAGCAAGAAAGGAATCCATAAAAACTCTTCCCGTCGGAAATTGTACTTATAGTACATCGTACTGTCCATCTAACCCAAATATCATCTCCGCGGTGTCGACAGATTCGCACTTACGCATATTCGATCTCCGAACCCCAGTCAGCGCTCAATATCACTTAACAACAAAGATTCCAGTTCATATTCCCTCTCCGGTCCCGCCACTCCAGGGGCCAACTCCCCCTGCTGTACCAGGGGAAATATTGACCCACGACTGGAACAAATACAATCATACAGTGATCGCGACGGGAGGTGTAGACAAGGTAATACGGACGTTCGATATTAGACATCCTTCAGCAGGGCCTGCATCCGTAATGTTGGGTCACGACTACGCTGTTCGGAGGCTAGCATGGAGCCCACATGCGAGCGATATATTGATCAGCGCGAGTTACGACATGACAGTGCGTTTATGGACAGACGGGTCGACGATAGCAACTCAACAGGCGTCTCCAGTCCAGGCTGGAATCCAGCTCGGTATTATGAACAGGCATACGGAATTTGTAACAGGCGTCGATTGGTGTTTATTTGGCGTTGGCGGTTGGGTTGCAACTGTGGGATGGGATGAGAGATTGCTATTGTGGGATGCGAATAGGCTATTACAGGGGCAAGCATGAGGCCAACTCATTAGCATTTAGCGGCGGTAAAAGACACGGCGTTAGCTATATAACGGGAATTTGCATTGGGGGGCGTTTAAGGAGATCGTCATTGATACTGACGATATTGGATATACTTGAGATATATTACATACATGTAAGCTGAACTGAGCTGTTTGAGCTTGTATACCTCTCTAATATGTTCCTAGATACGCCAAAAGATTCTATTATAAATCAATGCCAACCCAGGTCTACTATATACTTACTTAATAGCCGTTTAACTTGAATACCTACCTAGGTAGGATACTTCTACGCAAAACGGATACCTTAATATTATACCACGTACTATTAGAGGTATAGCTTCATAATATTTAACATCACTTAGCTTACCTATGCATACCTAACATACCCTAACTGTTGTATGGTTCATCCCCATTCGTAGCCGAGGCGTGATTGCTAGCACACTGCCGGTCATTAGAGGCCTACTACCATTTTACAAACAACATATCATCAATAAATTACCAAGCTTAGTCCTTAGGAACACCTATTCTCTTCGCTGAGATTAAATATGAACTAAGCAGCTTGGTAGACAAAGGAATCTTTTACTTCTAATGAAAAAAACGCGATATATATCTCGTCTCTATAACTACTCTACGTAAACTGCCGACCCAGTTGGAAAGCTGCGCAAGATTTAAACGCGAAGTATACTCTTACTCTTGCCTAGAACCATATCAATATACAACCCGGAGAGTCTAGGCTAACGTGGGATACACCACCCGTAGTTTTTCCAAGTAATTTACTACTATAACGTATGCTGCTAAGGTGGTCAAGTTAAATCGAATACGAAAGCAAAGTTGGTACTATAGCCACATATCACAAGGTCAACATGGTGCTTCATAGGCTTCGTATTGGCTTTTTTTCCTGTCGTTACGAGTCGTCTTACACTATAGTACAAATAGTCGAGATTTCCGTGCCGTGCGGCCCCCTTTTCCAGTGACCGCCCGACGCTTTGCGTTGTTCCGTGAAACCAAGCAAGACAACCTTGACTCCGATTGAGGCCCCCTCCCGCAAATGTAGATCTATCGATAAGATGTATTTCCAGCCCATGAGTCCTTGCACGCCATCGGTCCTAAGCCGTGTGCTGGCGGGCTCGTGCGGATCTATATCCTCATACATAGGTACCTTAGGTAGGTACCTACCCAGGAAGGGGGGTTTGCTTCCGAAGCAGCATAGTACATTAGAAAATTAAGCACAAGATAACGAATCTTGAGAAATCAACTCTTACTCCTATCGTAGGGAGAGGCCGTGAGTTTCCTAGAATGATGCTCGAGAAGGTTGTCTTCCGCGAGAATCAAAATTTGAACTTACGCGCTGGGAAAACGGGTCACCTCCTCCACGACGATCTCTAGAGTTAAATCTGGAGCCTGAGTCAGAGCCGCCACCTCGGCCACCATACGAGCCGAATCCACCACCACCACCACCACCACCTCGACCACCATACGAGCCGAATCCACCGCCTCGTCGGTCATTCGAGCCGAATCCACCACCACCACCACCTCGACCACCATACGAGCCGAATCCACCACCTCGTCGATCGTCCGATTCTTTTTCATAGTTATCGAACCCGATTCTGATTCCCTTTACTCTGTCTAAGCCGCGGTTCCTGGCCGAGGTGGGGGTAATGGCGGGTGTCTCTTCCCAGCCAAGTCCATTTAGACACCAGTTATTGAGGAGTCGGACGCAATCCTCGACGTCCAGACTCTTTCCAAACTTTTGGCCGAGTAGAGCATTATAGACACTTGCGAAGATATCTTTGGGGATACGTTGGTAGGCGTTAGATACATCCTCGAAGTATTTAGCCACTTCCGGAGATGGGGTACCCTGTCCTAAGGTATGGCTTGCACTTTGTATGGTGTTGTTAGGCTTGATAGGTAAGCCAGGAAGACGATGTCGGGCTTCCCTGATTTCTTCCTCGGCCAGAACCAACCAACCCTCTCCATTTTTTCCAGCACGACCTGTTCGGCCGACTCTGTGGATATATTGATCCCTGTCTGGGGGAAGGCCAACCTGAATGACATGGGATACATTGGGAAAGTCCATTCCTCTGGCAGTGACATCCGACGAGACAAGGATACCGCTCTGTGCACGACGGAAAGACTCAGCATTCCTAGTTCGCGTGTCTTGGCTAAGTTTTGAATGGATATCGAATATTGGCACACCGTGAAGTCTGTGCCCTAGGGGAGTAGCCTTCAATACGCGGTTGGCAAACTGGACGGTGGCTGTGTTTGAGAAAAAGATTATTGCCTTAAAAGGAAGGGCATCAGGGTTGTTCTTAGAATTCTTCATTGCCTGATCAGCAATTTCCAGGACAACTGGGAACCAATTCTCGTATCCTTTCGTGGACACAAGGTGTTGCGGGACACGTGCGTGGGTTGGAGTCTCGTCCGGGTTGATAGTTTGAACGAAATCAAAATTATTTGTCTTGACCATACTCTTGGCTAGATGTACAACATCTCGGGGGATAGTCGCAGAGTATAAAAGTGTTTGACGGTCGACTTCGTTAATTGGCGGTAGAAGGTCTACAATCTCGTGGATAGCGTCCGCAAAGCCAACATCCAGCATGCGGTCGGCCTCGTCCAATACGAATGATTGTATTTTCGGCGCCTCAACCCGGGAAGCAGGATCCGATAGGATATCATGGAGCCTGCCCGGAGTCGCAACGAGTACGTCGCATCCCTCCCGGTGCATTTTGTACATAGCTTCCCTCTTCCTTGTCCCACCAACAGCGGTTTGGACGACAATTCCGGTGTGTCGTGCTAACTTCCTGGCCTCGACACCAATCTGTTCTGCTAACTCGCGTGTAGGAGAAAGAATTATAGCACGAATATCTTGTGAAGAAGCCTCTCGGCGGTGTTGCGGGGAAGCAAGTTTTGGATCAGCCGCAATGAGACGCTGGAAGACAGGGACAAGGAAGCCTAAGGTCTTGCCAGTTCCTGTCTTTGCTTGTGCCACCCTTACTACAATTAGTAACAAGACAACAAGTAATATACCATATTAGACTTACAGATCGACTCCCTTGAGAGCTGGGTTGATAGTCAATGACTGGACCTCAGTCATGGTGTCATATTTCATATCCACGGTAATGGCTCGAATGATACGTTCGTCAACACCTAATTTTGATAGATCTTCGAATCGTGTTATATTATATAACGAAGCCGGCGAGTCGTCGGTCTGCGTAGCATAAGCTGCGGCAGACTCTTGAGAATATAATCGCAGTGCAATTTGTCTCAGAGGAACCAGTTGCCGTTCCCTTTGCGCCAGCCTCTGGCATGATGCTACGACTGGTCGAGAGCGAATCTGTTGCGAGACCAAGGTCGAGAGTTGACGACGAGCCAAATTACCCAGGCGGGCATGCCTCTGCAATGAAGACTTGAACATTGTGGCAGAGAATTGGGGAATTTCCTCACAAGAATTAACAATTGAGGTTGTGAAGGAAATGTTTCATTCGCACACGACCTTGTAGAGGAAGAAACTAGGCGCGTGGTGGAGGCGACTTGAATGAATTTCTTCAACTCGAAATTTTTTTTCGGGAGGATAAGGCCCAGATCCCGGAAGACCCACTCAGCCCACTATCAATTTTTACGGTATGGAACCTAGACGGACAGATAGGCGCGGATAAAGTCTATTCCGCTACGTACCCCGCCTCCGGGGGGCAGTTCAACAATTTTAGCTTTCCGAAATAATAACGCAGAATTATCGACACCGAACTGCCCGATTCCATTGGACACCCACGTGTATTTTGAGGCTTAAGACCGTACATAGTACCTAACGAAGCTATTTCATAGATACCTAAGCTCAGATTCTAAGCAAACAGCACGATTATTTGACGGTGTTTAATATACGAAAACTTGATACTGTATATTTGTTACAAATTCGGGGCCTCGATGGTTAGCTATCAGTGTACTTGCAAATAGGACCGTGTGACTTCATAAGCGGATACCTATATATACAGTAGGTACCTAAAATATGTATCATGAGAGTCAAATATAAATCACAGCTAGAGCTAGGTACATTTTATAGTTTCTATATGGGCTTGCATATATTAATATATAACAGGAACCTATGCTTTATGTATGGGATAATTAAGTTCCTTATAACAGGTATCTTATCATCCAGTCACCGTAGTGTATGTAGGTCGGATGAGGAAAATGTATTTAGGGATAAATATGCAGTTATGCAAGATTCTGTACAGACTGGAGCTACTGTGTGTTAGCCTACTGTGTGTAGGTACATAATGTAATAGCAGATCCGAACTACGGGGACGCTAAGCCGTATATATTAGAGGTTAGTTCTTCATTCTGGGCTAATAAAAGTGCCTACAAAAATGCACATAAGAAAAGTATTTTTCACATGCTTCAACTCATTTTGACAGGTACCTTTGCAATGGGTCGGCCTTGACCGCTTCTAATCACAGAGAAGAGAATCGAAGCATTTAGTGATAGACTTAGTCAAGATACCTCATATTCGAAGCCTTTTCAAACATGCATATATACCTACCCGCGAGGCCGGTGATGGGTACAGTATCATAGGTTGGTACATGTACCTTCTTGGCATGTGGTAGGGTCGCATGTGAAAATCGCTTATCTATCGCCATCTCGAACCACATCACCTTTTACATACAAATACATAGAGAGAGGTGGGCCTCGTGGTTGAAACAGTGGTCATGCAGCAATAACTACCTAGGTATTGCATAGTGGACGCCAATAATCCCGACATACGGTAACATGAGGACCTACCTAAGGGACCTAGGAACCTTGCATTGAATATATCTTCCCTGACACCCCCGTCCTCGGTGGACATTGGTGCATATGAGGTACCTACCTAAGTAAACGTTAACTCCAGCCCGGATTTTGTACAAAGGGTAATACAGGCTCTACTGCATAAATTTAACTTTTCTCGATTATTATACCTATTTATTCTACTTAACAAGTATTCTTATCTGACTATAATGATCAAAGAATCAACCTGGACATAGAATCCTCAACATTATAGAGTCCGAGAAGGTAAAGACGGGGGAGAGGCAGATAGGCACTATGATGGAGCAGAATATGTCCATAATAGTATTCAACATGCTACCGACGTCAGTCCAGTCCCGATTACCGACCCTCCAGTCGTTCCGTCGGTCTGCAAGCCGTCCTACCTTTCCCCCTCGGCGACGTTCTATAACATCTCAGGACGATATAGAACCCGTAGCCATCGCGAGAAGAGATGAGAATGCAGTTGTTGAATTACAAGCATGCGCCACGGCAGCAGATGTCGCCGACGGCCGTGTTATAAATGCGAGCTCAGGTGTGAAGTGGAGGTATGCCAGGCAAGGTATGAGGACTCCCATCCTGTCTTCGGAGAAAGCATAGGTTATTTATTAGTGACTAGGCTCTTTTTTGCAGCAGTCGGCTTCCCAAGAAACGGCAGACCTAACGTTTGCGAGGAAATCGTATATCGACGGCGTTGCATATATGCTTAAGGCCCTCCCAGACGACATGGACGAGTACGAAGCTAGTATCATTCATCGAGCACTACCGAAGTCATGCGCGCAGTTAGACATGAATGGTCAGATCAAGGGCGATTTAGGTAGATCTAGTTGGCGGCCATCTGACAGAGCAAAGACGTTTCTACACTCGGCGGTTCAAGGATTCGTTACAGGCCTTGTTATATTTCTCTACTTACTCTTGTCCTTCTTTGCAATTGTCATCCGCGCCGGGGCATACTACGAGCGCCAATACAACATCTCACAGCATATCATCTCTAGTAGCTTCGTTTTCGCCACTACCGTTGGGAAGCAGAGCGGAGTTTTAAGCGAGAAGAGTATGTTACCCGTTTACTTTCTTGTTCTACTACCCCTTGTCCTCCAAACGCAGCCTTAGATTTTATATCATCTTCTAGGGTTAAGACTGTGAGGTAGACGTTAAGATCTAGAGTCGCCGCTAAAGTTTTTTCCGTAATTGTTAATCACTAATATTGATTATCTAGTCTCCGCTATAAGCGAAGGTAAACTTGGGAAGGCAATGTCTGAGCTTGCCGCTTGGACTATAGAGAGTGTTGCTGGAGGCGTTCAAGACGGCATTGGACAGGGTCTACAATTGATCGAGCAGAGACAAAAATGAGACATGATATAACGGTTCTTTGCATTGCTTAATGGCTAGGCATGGCGTACGTATAGGAGATAGAGTGAGCTTTTCTCCTCTTTGTTTGGCATTATAGAATCCGCATATAATTGCATTAGAAATACGGGGATAGATCTAGTTAGACAACGGGTTAGGTAGTTAAGATATTCGCGAAACTACTCTTCACTCGATGATAACGACATTTGGAGTTGTTATATTAATACGCTTGATTTGATTCAAGGCCTACAGTATTATCTCAGACCAAGGTCCGCTTTACATACACTTCAACCATGATATACAAAGCACTCTCAACTTGAGGTTGAAGTTAGAATATACAGCTCCCTAAACGGCGATCCAAACCCTAGTTTGCTAGTCCAACTTCGTAAGCCAATGTTTATTTTATTGTTGGGTGTTTCCGGCAGCTTTCTCTGCTGCAATTTTGGCTTCCATTTTCCTTCTTGCCGCTAAAATCATTTCGTCTCGCCTTCGTTGTAGGGATGCTTGTCGCTCATTCCGGTTGGAGCTCCATGCCTTAGGTTTCGTCGAGGATTCGGGTTCGCTGCCGGTGCTAATCTTATCCTGTAATTTATATCTAGTAATCAAATCTGGCTCGGCAGGCTTTGGAGGCGCTTTGAAGGGCTGCGTCTGCGTTGCCGAGGGGCTGGGAGAAGTCGGAGGAGGTGGCGGCTGGAATGTGATAGGCGGCTAAACGAGAACGCGATGTTAGTAAGTACGAATTAGTTTATCGAGCCTGAGAACACGGTGGCGGAGGGTCGCGTTCGTAAATGATGTTGGGACTCACGGTCTCTATGCGTCCTGCTAATATTCGTTCCGTAGTTGCCGCTATGTTTCCCCCATTACGATGCAAATCCCACAAGATAGTCCTCCGATCGACTCGATCCGGTCCAAAGATTTGTTGTATCCTTTCTACTGCGGCTTCTCTAGCGCGCGATACTGCCTGAGCATCTCGTAGTGGTCGGGAGGGTTGAGCTTGCGGCGAAAAGAATAGATATCGAATGATGAGGCCGCCAAGGACGATTATGAAGATTAGGGAAGTGAGTGACACTTGTTCGTCTGCCATTTCTGTAGCCTCTCCTATGTAGGCAACGTTTCCCACCTAAATATTCTGACCTCACAAGACTTATAGACAAAGACGCCTGACCTAAATCAGTGAGATTTGGCTTAAAGGACTAAATGACGTCCAGTGGTCAACTTATTATTTGTCGCGTGCAGGTTTTATGTAGTTAGCAGGCGAATGCTATCGGAGCAAGCACCTAACCTTGTAGATTTAGCGGGCTTATCGATTATAACATCTAGTATGAAAGTTACCTAGGTACTTGGGTCGAGGTATTTACGTACCCGTAACATTCAAGCCGATCATTGCAACTGGTCGCGTACCTGAGTACCTTTACATATGGAAATCACGCCTAGCTAGACTTACTCGGATTTTTTATCTTCAACAGCTGAAACTGAGACAAATATTACCCCCCCCCCCCAAACACACCTAGATTATAGAGGCTGAGGGCACAAGTTAATCCATGACTTCTAATAGGATTCATCCAAGCAAAAGGGCCATATTCTACATTACATGCTTGTGCTTAAGGTGATGGAAGTAAACCACTTGTCTTCCTCACAGCCCTGGACAAGCCAGTGGCAGTAATGAAAACAAATTCGCGTCACCTGGAGGCAGTGTGATACCAGGGACACAGTGAGAGCGATCATGCGCAAGCACAGAGGATGCGCTCCCTCGGTACAAAAATAAGAATAATCACGATTGAGTCCAGTAGGACTCTTTCAGAGATTAAACTGAAAAGAACAGATACTACACTTGATCTAAGCCAAAAGGCAAAGAGAGCTGAAGAAGAAAAGAAGAAGAAGAAAATTCAGAGAGAGAGGAACCACAAGATGATTAAATAGGCAGAGGGGAGAGGGGGGAGGGGAGGATAGTGGGGCTAAATAATTCTGCCATTCCCCACCGTCTTGAGAGTGGTCTGTGTAACCACTAGTGTAATTCACCAGCAAACAGGGCTAAACCAACTGACGAACCCCACGTACCTTAGGTTAGGTACAATACCTAAAGTAATCAGCAGCCAATGACAGCCTGTGCCTTCCAATTTGTTTTTGTTGACCTTAATCGCGTCGGCAACGGCTTTGATAGTGACTTATTATTATTATTAAATGCAGCAAACAGCCTTAGGTACCTCTAAGTTTTAGACAACATCGCCAAAATTTACATGCGGAACCCGTCGCATTCGCCAATATGAGGGTAACGGAGATGATTATAGATGTACGTATGCTACAACATAGTATAGCTGCTCCTACTGATTTATTGGAAAGGGCTTCAAATCCTACGCCGTTCGAACGGTCATATCAGGATGGTTAGTAAACAACGATTATCCCCTGCGTCGCATAGCTAAAATTCATGTCGCAAAGGGACGAGAGCTTCAACTCTATTACCGGCTTGAACGGTAGTGGCAAGTCCAACATTCTAGATGCCATATGTTTCGTTCTCGGTATTACGAACATGTCGACGGTGCGAGCCCAAAATTTACAGGTACGAAAGAAATATATATCATAATCCGTAATCTTACGAGGTCTGATCATCGATCCCAGGATCTAATCTACAAGCGCGGCCAAGCCGGTGTTACGAAGGCCAGCGTCACGATCGTGTTCGACAACAGAGATAAACAGAAGTCGCCAATTGGATTTGAAGAGTATGCGACCATCAGCGTCACTAGACAGATCGTCCTAGGAGGTACCTCGAAGTATCTGATAAATGGACACCGAGCGCAACAACAGACGGTTCAAAACCTCTTTCAATCGGTACAGCTGAACATAAACAATCCCAACTTCCTTATCATGCAAGGTCGAATCACCAAGGTGCTGAACATGAAGGCGGTCGAGATATTAGCTATGATCGAGGAAGCAGCCGGCACAAGGATGTTTGAGGACCGAAGAGATAAGGCGTTAAAAACTATGGCAAAAAAGGAAATGAAACTTCAAGAAATCACCGAGCTCCTGCGTGACGAAATTGAGCCCAAGCTGGAAAAGTTGCGGACCGAGAAGAGAGCTTTCCTAGATTTCCAACAAACGCAAAACGACTTGGAGCGCTTAACGAGAGTAGTAGTCGCACACGATTACCTGAAGTACCAGGAGAGGCTAGAGCAATCTGCGACTGACCTGGAGAATAAGAAGCAACGACAGAAAGATCTTGAGGATTCCGCAGCCAGGCTAAAGAGCGAGATATCCCACCTTGAAGAAGATGTCAAGAGAGTGAAAGCGGAAAGAGACAAAGAGCTAAGGAAGGGAGGGAAAGCCCAAGCGTTGGAAGACCAAGTCAAGAAACACTCTAACGAGTTAGTTCGGCTCGCCACCGTCATGGACTTGAAGAAGTCCAGTAAAGCCGAGGAAGAAGAGAAGAAGACTGCGATTCAAAAGAACGTTGCTGAATTAGAGGCGACTTTGAAAGAGAAACAAAAAGTCTACGAGAAAACCAAGGCCAAGTACGACGAGGCGAAAGAGGCAAACGAGAAGCAGAGCCAGGAGGCAGAATCGAAAGAAGAATTGCTTCAGACGTTACAAACGGGTGTTGCATCCAAGGAAGGACAAGAAAGCGGCTACCAAGGTCAACTACAAGATGCGAAGAATCGGGTAGCGGCGGCAGCTACTGAACAGGAGCAAGCCAAAATTAAAATAGCCCATCTTGAGAAACGAATTAAGGAGGAAGAGCCCCGAGCTAAAAAGGCCAAAGAACAAAATGCTGGCTTGTTAAAAGAGCTAGATGACCTCAAGGCCCAGTCGCAGAAGCTACAAGCTCAGCTTGCAAAGCTCGGTTTTGAACCGGGACAAGAGGAAGAGTTGTACAAGCAAGAGTCGTCATTGCAGCAGACCATTAGGGGCTTACGCCAAGAGGCAGATGTCCTAAAACGCAAGGTTGCTAATATTGACTTCAACTATGCTGACCCAACTCCCAATTTCGATCGCTCAAAAGTCAAAGGGCTAGTCGCCCAGTTATTCACCCTTGACAAAGACCATACTAGAGCCGGCACGGCTTTAGAGATATGCGCCGGCGGTCGTTTGTATAATGTTGTTGTAGACAGCGAAGTTACGAGTACGCAATTATTAAAGGGCGGCAAATTGCGGAAGAGGGTTACCTTTATTCCCCTGAACAGGATCTCAAAATTCAAAGCCTCGGAGAAGACCATTGTTACAGCTCAAAACATTGCGCCCGGTAAGGAGGTTAATCTAGCTCTATCACTCATAGGATACGATGACGAGGTATCTGCGGCAATGGTGCACATCTTCGGAAATACTTTAATCTGTCAGGACCCCGAGACAGCTAAGAGAGTGACCTTCCATCCTAATGTAATGACGAGGAGTATTACTCTTGAAGGCGACACGTACGACCCCTCGGGGACGCTCTCGGGCGGCAGCGCACGTAAATCCAGTGGTGTGTTGGTCACATTGCAGAAGCTAAACGAGATCAACCGTCAACTTAAAGAAGCCGAGCGTTCTTTGCATGGTCTCCAGGCCAGGATCTCACAAGAAAAGTCCAAGCTCGACCAGGCTCGTAAGATCAAGCAGGATCTTGATCTTAAGGCGCACGAAATAAAACTCGCAGAAGAGCAAATTAGCGGCAATTCTTCATCGTCAATCATCCAGGAGGTGGAGAATATGAAGGAGACTATTACACAACTCAAGAACGAGAGTGCCGAAGCTAAAAAGAGACAGGCTGAAGCTAGCGCGGATGTCAAGAGGATAGAGAAGGATATGAGGGATTTTGAAAACAACAAAGATTCGAAACTTGTAGAACTTCAAGCTTCTCTAGACAAGCTGCGGGTGACGTTAGCTAAGAACTCGAGCACCGTCAAGACTTTACAAAAAGAGCTTCAAGGTGCTCAGCTAGACTCGGAACAGGTTTCAGGTGATCTTGCCGCCGCGAGGGAGCAGCTGCAAGAAATTGAGTTAGCCATCAAGTCACAGCAGGAAGAGATCGAGGATCTTATCAAAAAACAGTCGCAGTTGCAAGAAACTCACGATCTCGCACAAGCACAGCTTGACGACGAGAGGGCCAAGTTGACCGGATTTGATGATGAACTACATGCGCTTGAAGAGGCAATCCGGTCAAAGAATAATCGGATTGCCGAAGAAGGTCTCGAAAAGCAAAAGCTTGGTCACACAGTTGACAAATTCCACAAGGAACAGCAGCATGCGATACAGGCCGTGGCGAACATGGAGAAGGAGTTCGACTGGATTGCCGAAGAGAAGGACAACTTTGGCCGGACGGGAACACCGTACGACTTCAAGGGCCAAAACATCACGGAATGCAAAGCCACGCTGAAGACGCTCACGGACCGCTTCCAGGGCATGAAGAAGAAGATCAATCCCAAGGTCATGAACATGATCGATAGCGTCGAGAAGAAAGAGGTGTCGCTTAAGCACATGATGAAGACGGTCATCCGTGATAAGCGCAAGATCGAAGAAACTATCATCAGTCTCGACGACTACAAGAAGAAAGCCCTCCTCCAGACCTGGGAGAAGGTCAACGGCGACTTCGGCCAGATATTTTCCGAGTTATTGCCCGGCGGCAGCTTTGCGAAGCTGGACCCGCCCGAGGGCAAAACTATCAACGAAGGTCTGGAGGTCAAGGTCTGCTTAGGCAAGGTGTGGAAGCAGAGCTTAACAGAGCTAAGCGGCGGTCAACGGTAAGTCCTTATATGATTTATAGCCATCTGTCTTTTACTTACCTATCATATCATCCAAACCGCTAACCATAAAAACAAATAGATCGCTCGTGGCACTCTCGCTTATTATGGCGCTGCTGCAGTTCAAGCCAGCGCCCATGTACATTCTAGACGAGGTGGATGCGGCGCTCGACCTGTCGCACACGCAGAATATCGGCCGCCTCATCAAGACACGCTTCAAGGGCTCCCAGTTCATCGTCGTCTCCCTCAAGGACGGCATGTTCCAGAACGCAAACCGCATCTTCCGCACCCGATTCAGCGAAGGTACGAGTATGGTACAGGCCCTTACCGCCGCGGACTTTAAGTAGGTAGGTAAAAGGAATTTGTTCATGGTAAATTACATACATACATACATTTACATATACATACCTACGTACATAATTCTCTGTGCTGGCACCTACCTCTACGGGGATGGTGTGGGGGTCGGCAGGTTGCACGCGTTAAGTTCGCGTACGCCGGGTGCAATGCGAAAAAAAAAAAATTTTGTTTTTGAGGGATACTGTGACGATTGCATGACTGGCTGTAGAGCATTACTCGTTACGTCGTCGATGGTTGGATTCGGAGGGAGATTAAAACGGATGAATGGATGATATACCGTGCCCGTATGGTTTACGATCGACGGTGGATAGGCCGTTATAGACTCGAGCGTTTTTCGTTTAACTAGATCGGCCGTCGTCGTATTCTGTGGTTAATGATAAATTCTACGACCAAACTACTATCCCACATTCCCATCTAATCTTTTCAATTGTGCGCTGAAGTCTCTATTCCGTCTAATCTATCTATTATCTTGCTATAGTTTTGGCGGTCGTGTTTATTACGGGTCTTCCTCCCTTGTCCTCCCTTGTCTGATGTTGCAACCGTCTCTTCTCTCTCCCTAGCACTCCCACTTCCTCTTTGCGTACTCTTACTTATCTATATATATAGGTATACAGGCATATTCATCATCTAAATGGTATGGAAGGAAGTAAAGACGCCTCACTGTTTGATATACACATGATGTCCCCTTTGCTCGACCTCAACCGTCATGCCGACTGCGATCCAGGCCTCCCGATCTTCTTCTCCCAGGCTAGGGTCGAACAGAGGGGTGAGTTGCATGCCTAGACAGCCGTTCAGCGGCGCGCCCTCGTCGACTGCACGCTTCGCCCTAAGCGATTTGTCTGGCTCCGTTGGGTGGCGGAAACCAGTTGCTGGATCTACGTTGGGCATTTTACATCTGGCGTATGATAGTTAGATTATACGTGAGTAGTAGCAAGGGATGACGAAGGGATTGGTCTACTAACCTGACAGTTCTGCATGAAACGTGGAACGCGACGTCGTTATACAAGCCTGAGCTCCCCGGCTTAAGCCGGATCTGCTTCCAAGTCTCTTCGTCGTAGGCTTCGGCACCGGAAACTAAAAGCGCGCATGTTAGAGGGCCGGAGAACGCATGTAGGCAAGTGGTCTCTACTCACGGATGATATTAGGCCGGAATCTAAGCACGTCGAGCTCCTTTAAGTCGTCATCCTTCGGCACCTCTGAGTTGAACGCGTGTAAACTGGTTAGGCTCATCAAATGAAGCGGAAACTATAGTCGGTGTTAGCTCCGTATTAGAGGACCTTGGATTTAGGATAAGTGGGTGTCATACGGCATCTTGGAATCCGGTCACGGGCTGGTAGCCGGCTTCCTCTTTGCTCGGCGCGGTTCGATAAACCTCACGCAGCTGCCCAGGATCGAGCCTGAAGAGAGCAAGCTTGTTGCTAACACCCAAGTACCGTTGTAGCTCAACGGGTAGGTCCTTTTCCATGTTAAGAGCGTTGATTGTTTCTTTCCATATCTTGACATCATCGAAAGTGTAGCCCCTCTCCTTGATATCCTCCGCCGAAGGAAAGTCTACTGGTAGCAGGATTTCTATCTCGGGCTCGGCGGCGCGTCCTCTTGCCAGCTTAGCCGTGATCGTAGAGTAGATACCGCGCCAGCCATCCTCCTTCCAAGGGAAACGTAGGATTACGAAGGCCTCCTTTGACTTCATCGACTGTTTCCGCAGCTTCATCTCGTCCGGCAGCCAGAGATCGACGGTGACATTCGCCAACCTGGAGAACTGGCGCTGGGTAACGAATTCCCATTTGTGTTTTGACTTTTCCTCATCCGTTGAGTTCACAGCCACAGGGAAAGGGCTCTTGAGTTGAGCAAACATGAAAAGACGGTCGAATTGGAGTCCCGTCGGAAGGACTTTGCTCCTCTTCAGCTCAATACCCTTGCATGACTTCACTGGATAAATGACCAAACTGTGGACTTTCGGCGGTTGGCCGTCCCGCGGCGCATGTTCATCCGAGTATTGGTTCTTCAGGTTGCTCTTTGAACCTTCGACGCCGGCCTTTGTGTGCGTCTGTACCAGTGCATCGCTTTTTTGAAGACCGACTGGGGGTAGAATTATAACCACGGGTATCAAGAAAGCACAGATTGTAACGGTTAAGAGGAATATAGCGCCGCTGTCCAGATTGAGGTTTTTCAGCCACGAATTGCCTATGTCCATAGTGGTGTCCATGGTGGTGTCCATGATGGCGCGTTGAAATTACAATTACTAATAGCAATTGAGCTGCAACTTTTTACGGACGGCACTGCTCGGCCAGCAAGCGTTCTCGATTTCCGAAACTATATAACGGGAAATGAAAGATAAAAAAAAAATTTGAGAAAAGAGAAAGGAATATAATCGATACGAGCAGAGGGTGGGTCCTCGAGCCCCCGAAATTGAAGCTTAAAGAAAAGAGTGCTTTGAATGAGATTATATTACGTGTTGTATTCATCGGCGAAACATCTTGAGACGTTGAAGGGTGAAATCGGCTCATCAAGACATGTCACGTGAGAAGGCACGTGCTTTTATTTTTCATTTTCATATAGTTACTTCCATCGTACCTTCTTTTCATGTACCTTTAGAGTGACACAGCTGAGGTTATCAAACTTTAGGTAGACTAAATAAATCATTTTAGCAGGGCTAGTCTCCGGCTTTAATAAATAATAAGTCACTAATACAGAATGTTCATGAAATACATATGAAATCGGGCGTAGGGAATATCTTCTCTCACTTTTCATCAACATGAGCCAATCATCTACATCGCGCTCACTGGATGAGGGAATTCATATATGGAATTGATTGACATGGGAGCATTGCATTGTAACAGTAATGAAGGCAGTTGGGGCATCGTGGGATTTGTGGTGTGCATCTTCATGACAATCTCACCCCCCAAATATGACAACTATATTAAATCGAACAAGGCGGACGGTCGATCCGGCATTTACCAGATTGTGAGTGCCTTTAATAGTCTTAGATAGTCCAGTCAGCAACAGTCTATACAGCCCATAGCGTATTTATCGTGAATTTGCGCTGTGAAAAGGACGATGATGTTGCCCACGCAATGATGTGAGGGTAGCACTGAATGACACCCCAGCCATCCTCTAAGTGACGTACTCATCAAGTAGGGTTGGTGGAAATAATCAAAACCGAAATCGACGCAGAAAGATCGTCATAAACCCGAATAGCCACCGGTAAGATCTCACTGCTATCCTAACGGGTAAACAACTCATATCACGTAGGACCTAAACCTAGTCGATGAATGAATATGAATCTAACTTTGGTGTAAGTCACTTTAGTGTAAGTCGTAGCTATGTAGTTGAACCCGAGAAAGTACGAGTCTACGAGGTCGTATACTCCACAAGCTAAGCCGTGTAAGTGGTTATGTTAGGTATGTATGTGTTAGATGAAAAGCAAGATGGCAACTATAACCGCGGATGCATTCCGGATGCAGTCAAAGCCCGAGACCTGGACATGTCGGAGTCGAACTACCGCAATCGGATGCAACCATGACTTGTCGCCCGCGGCCCCCCTGACTCGGAGATATCGGGAGAGATGCTGACCAACTAATGCAAGGTACCAGACACCTTGACATGTAGGTAGGAAATAGGGGCACGTGTGGGTAAACTTGACGAGCAGAGTTCCAATTCCATCAAGATACTCACCGCCGGCGAATATTATTGTCGGCGGGCGCGTGGCGTAGATAAAAAAGGAGCTTGTACGCATGGCCAAGTTTTTTGACTGGTCGTTTTCGAGACATGCAAAACTATCTACCTTAGGTACCTAGGTAGTTTCATAGCCGCGTTAGGAGTCTTCGCTGGCCGAGGGTTTAACAATTCGCCGGTGCCTTTGCATGAGCTTACTGTAGAAACAGTGACGATCTGCGAAGAAATTCTCCTCTAGATCGCACATAACGATCCATTCTGGGTAGGTTGTTTAGGACCGACTTGAGTTTAGACCAGTGATAGCCAGACAGGTACGAATGTGAACTTATCAAGAACACGCTGTTAAACTCCCCATGTTGAGAAGATGATGGCGGAATTCTGATTCCGCGTAATAGCTGGTACTCCCCACATCTTTCCTTGGTCTACATACTACATAGTAGTTATGCCAGTGTGTTCTGGCAAAGATGGTTAGAATAGTTCTGGTGTTGCTTGGTGCTTCGCAGAGCGGCCTATCTCCCGGAGTTACATCCATCGATCTTCTGTCACCTATCACCTCATATACCTACATACATACACATCATATCTAAGCTAGAGGCGGAGCATTAATTCGTAGAGCCAATGAAACCGCCTAAAATTATATCGTTACAAATAGCATCGAGCCAGCTGAAAGCTACCATAGAGTAGCCCTGACTACATAGACTTCTGGAAGCTTGAGATAGTTAGTTGAAGCTGCACGTAGATCCAAACGTTATCGGGAATAGAGGCTAGTTACATGAATTAAACTACCTAAGGTAGGTACTTCGTAGCTAGCTAATTTAGCAGCTTCGCGGAGACTCTTTAGTGACTCCGCAATATGTATCGTTACATGGATGATCTTTACTACTTACTTAGTCCGTGTTGTTACTTTCGAATCTTCAGACAAACTAGCCGGGTATATAAGGTCATAACACCTTATGTAAGAATTAGGCGCTACACGACTTAATTTACACCTCCATGAAAGAGATGCATACTGTGCTGTGCGTACGATACAGATACGCTTTGTCTTCAAGATGATGGCGGTTCTGACGAATATTCAGGGGCCACTTGTCCTAGGTACAAGACCCGTTTTGCTACACACGATCTTCAACAAGGTCCTACATATGTACACTAGGTAGATACGTTAGGAAGATACGTAGACGCGTAGGTTAGATGTGTTGTACATAGGTGACTGAGAGGCCCTTAATTCGGGAACTTGTCAATTTCGCAAAAAAAAAAAAAATAAAAAAAAAAACGATCTGAGGCTTCGTTGCATAAACTATTGATATTACGACAATGTCAATTTATTAATAAGCAACGGTCCCATAGAGTCGGGAAATTCAATTACTCCTTTTGGAGCCGCCCAGCCGCCCAGCCCTAGACAGCATGATCAAATAGTCATCCTCCACCCCCATGATGTGCAAAACTACGAGAGCCGAACAAGGATTCCATTTCCGTGGTTCGGCCGGGAATGCCAAATCTAGCTTTTATTGTAATATGTCTAACTCAACACTTACCCTATGTAGGTTGCTTTACTACCATTGTCACTTTCGTCAAAAGTTGCTGGCATCAGAAAGGGTTTACCCCCGAAACAATTTCTAAATACGATCTTCATTCGTGTTCCATCTCCTTTATTGAAGCTGCCTTGCGATTTGAATTATGAGATTATCAGTTCGGTACTATCTCCATATGGATATATGTGCATACGTACGGACTCATTGTGAGATATGACCAAATCTCAATACTATGCACGCTTGCACAAGGTCACAACGACTAGTCAAAATAAGGCTCTGCGGATTCGTAACATGGGTCTCCCGTCCGATGGGGTCAAGCATGGGGGTCCAAGACAATCCGGTCGATAAATACTCGTACGATTGTAATTTCAACTGCGCGGAGAGGTAGGTCATAACGAGCCGCGCTATATTAAACCAACATATCAAAGTGAGAATTATACAAACTATTGTATTAGCGCCGCATCGAAGTATTCTAGCATCGTACATACTCGCTGCTGGGCTCTCAAAGTGGAGAATATTCGGGAGCTTTGAGCCGTGAAGTATTCCGTATGCATATTTATATGTATACATATATGCACATAAAGGCTGGGAATATTAAGATGAAGCTTATTACAGCTCCTTGGTCATAAGTAGCGTATTATAGACCAACCGCGCGGGCAAGCTATGCGCTGAGGTGAATGAGCCAGCAACTACATATTAATACAACCCCAGAGCCGTAAAGGCATTGATGCACCCTTGATCTTTACGATTGCGAAAAAAATAAAATACGAAAAAATGATACTCGGAGCTTATACGGCGATTTTATTGATCCGTTGAAGTACCTCTATAAAGGTATTTCCACATGGGATATATCACACCCATACATAGATGTGATATTTCCAAGGCCGGATTTAAAGAAGGTAAACCGGTATTAGCTTACCGACCAAGTTTTCAACTCACCTTACCTATGTACCTACATGACCGTTCATTGAGAAGTGAACCTGGTAGACTGGTACGTTGGTGCTATTCGTCATCAGCGTTGATGGTTCGTTACCCATGCTCACGAACTGCAATATGAGTACCTATTATAGCTGACAAGGGTTCGTACCTACACTAGTATAATGTTAGCTCATGTGTGCGTCACTGCATCTGTATTTCTATAAGGCCCCTGTACAATACTATGTAACAAGGTGGACATTCCAATTTTGCAGCAAGACTTTGCAGCAAGACAGTCGAGACCACTTTTGCAATTAAGGTTGAAGTAACCGATTAAATCAATTGTGAGTAATGTGTATGTATGTACGTTAAGAATACGGGACCCAAGTTAAAGGATCGTATTGGGAAAACTACACTAAGGACCGCACACCTTAAATTCCTGGTGAGGAAATTATCAAGATGGCAGCGCTATCCTTGTAACACAAGAGGTTCCCGTCGTGCTACTATGCCGGAAATCCGGGACAGAGCAGGTTCTGATGGCGGAGGGCGGATGGCGGATGCAACGATGGGTTAGGCATGGTCCACCACCACCATCACTCTCACATTACGAAAGGAACATTCCGAACACCTACATAGAGTATATCTCATCTCACATTATCACCATCGATCAAACCGCGGTCTATGTACGCCTACGACAGCAAATCTAGCCCTGTCGATCATGATCAACTACCTACGTATGCATACCTCATACATAGTAAGATGGATCAAGGTTAACCGCCATGTATTCATGCGCGATGACATTTCTGCACAGAAAACTCGATAGTAGTATCTCGGCCCCTGCAGGATGGCTTAAACTGACCGTAGATGCCTCTATTGAAGCTTGGGCTAACTATCATATCCCATATGAATTTTCCCAGCCACATGAAATAACAGAGCTCTTTACATATGTGGTTACTTAAAATCCCTACATAGTATTCCAGATTACCCATCACTATGCCTCAACGCGGCCTCAGATGAGATGGTCTATCAATCCCGCAAAACCCACCCGTTAAACGCCGGCCTATGTAACAGGTAATCAGTTTAATTAACTCGACCATTGCGTTATTTATGAGCCTCATTCTCAGACTTCTACTGTCAGGCCTCCTGCTGTACATTTCTGTATTGGAATGCTAGTTCCAACACTACGGTCTGTGCTTCGGGTTCGCCCTCCTTGATAAGTCCCTGATGATCCTAGAAATAAATGTAGGGGTCCCTGTCATAGCGGATCCAATCAGCCAAAATTTATGGTTTGCAGTAACGCTGGGTGCGGCCCCAAAAGACTCATATCCAGCACCGTTCCCTTTTTCTTTGCAGCAGCCAACGTAGCATCCAACCGTTTAGGGCCAAAAAAGGGCTTTTACCTGGGCTAAATGGATCGGGCCTATGTACATCTTCGACGGGGACGGACTTCAACTAGGTGGTTTTAGGTCTCGTTGCCTATACGCCATAGCTAGGTAGGTACCTAGGGATTCCCTTCTTTTAATAATGAAAATTTTAAGGAGAAGAGAAAAAAAAAGTTTAAGAGGATTGTCGATCAATAGTGGGAATTTTATAATTATCCCGCTGAGCTTGGCTACTTAGGGATTAGCTACCCCCAGAGTATTCGAACAAGATCCTGAACGAGTTGAGAATATATATACATATACTACGGGATACCTATACAGTATAAGCACATCTTGCAGTAATCTAGCATTAGCACATATGTACTGCTAGGTTAGTTAGTTTCTTGATAAAATTTGCAGATAAATTTGCAGATATGAAATGCAGCGCGTCAAGGTACGAGCAGGGTACAATACTACTAATACATACACTAGCTGAACGCACAGATGCCTCGGACTCCCTCATTCGTCTCATGTGCGTTATGAGATCAACAGATCGAGTACCTTCCACTAGCCGCCGTTGATCAAACCCGCTTGGTAGGATCTTGAGCAAGTCTTCAACCCCCCAGCGTGTGCGCCCCAGTTCCCCGCTGCCTGGTTCGCTGGGTGGCCCCATGACTGTGGATGAAGGACCCTTGTCTTACCTGCCGAGGCCTTATCTCGTCTCTTTATATGCTATGTAAAACGACCGGCGGTAGCAATATCTCTTGACCTCCCGCCCTGAATATGCACAATAGTAGGTACTTTTGTACATACGCTGTCACTTTTACGGTAGCCAGGCGTTTAGGTCTGTATGTATGTATGTATCTCCGTGTAGTTATGAGAGTTCAGCGTTGAATTAGCCCGGTAGGAAGCACGGGCAAATATCAGATGGCTGCGTGTCATCGGTTCCTCTCCCTGACATCCCGACTCCCACTCACCCAGTAGCTGCATCTTTCTAGCTCAGGGGACCCCCCTGTTTTAGCACCAACCGGATAGCAACGATCCTTATTGCGTACTGTATGCACTCAATTACTACACTACGTACCAGCATAGCGGGCTAAGGCTGGTCGATTTACCCACGCATTTATTGCAAAAGACAAATTCACTTGATCATAGTCTCTCGCGGATGGTAAACTCCTTCAACCGATTCTAAAATAGTATCTCGAGCTGTCGTCTACGGGGCTACCTCTATAACTCTGGAATTTTATAATATCAAACCGGATAACTAGGTGTTATCCTCTCCTCAACGCAACGTTTGCCCTCTTTGGGCAGAATATATGCAGATATCCCTAAGCTCCCGTCTCCTCGAGTTCCAAGATACATACTTCCGGATCTAGCGCTCGGCTACTCTTTTGTCATGACTTCATTACCTTGATATCAGCTACCTGTCGACTTCCTTTCCATGTTAGAAAATACCTCCCAGCAATAACAAGGCTTTCTACCTACTTAACCTTACGATCTAATACTCTTACCCTACCTTCACACTATCTCACCACTAGTTTCGTTAAGAGGAACAAGCCAGGTCAAGGTAGAGAGAAGACGGCCACGATACGGGTTTATCAGCGTTGATAGAGAGCTGGTTGTTCCGGGAATTTGATACTAGACTCGTCCTCGGGCTCGATCCTTCGGGCGTTTTCTAAATTGTGGGTGGGTTCTAGTATTCCGAGGGACAGCCTGCCGAATCCCAAGATCGGCTTCTGTTCCATGGCACCTAGTCCTCGTCTCCTTGGCTACCCGCTGCATAAGGAAGCCCCGCTATAGCTATCATCCTGTCAGCAGATCCTCGAGACCCTGCTCCTCATAGGTAGTGTACAGGCTCAACAACACTAGGGGGACTACCTGCAAGGTGTACTACAAGAGCCCCACAACTATTTCATCTTCAATACCTCCTAGTCACCAGTATCCATAGCCGTCAAGCTTGTGGATTGGTTGTAACTACCGTGAACAGCGCAGCCTGGCCAGCTAAGCCAAGCACAAGTGCAGCTCCGAGAAATTCCCAAGCGTAAATACCATATCTACCACCTCTACGAACAATGCGGAAGGGATTCCCTTCTCCATTTATGAAAACTTCGTGTTGAGAAAGGTCAAGACGGACAGCTCAACTTCCTAGGACCAAGAGGGGAGTGTCATAGGCGTAGAAGACCCTCTCGAGAGGCCACACTTATCCGACCCATTGGTTAGGGGAGGATTCTCTACTCGATGAGCGTATTGGGTCGAATCTTTTTCTCCGTCTTCAAATCATCAAATCATTAGAACCAGAACCCCTCCACCTGTAACGTCTCTTTTACGGAAGACTGGTTGAGACTAGGCGTTGGGCCATCAAAGAGGGTTCTCCAAAGAGGGTTCTCTATACTAGTCGACCAATTTTCTAAGATACGCCTTAACTTACATTTGCCATTAAAAGGAATATATTCGACGCTGTTAATTTATTCATTGCGATAGCATTTCCCCGAATCGAACCTGTGCCGAGGCGGCGGCGCACGGCTTTTGTACGGAGGGGACTCAAAACCTAGTCGCCCAAGTTAACGCACATCGAATACTCCGCTTGACGAATCCCTCCCAATGAGTGATTACTATCAACAATACTTGCCCTCAGCGGCGGGGACTGGGGAGTCACCAAACCTCAGCCCCCAAGATGCCCAATATCAACCTCAGCAACATTCTACACATACGGGAAACATCAGTCCGCCCTTAACAACTCCATATCAAAACTTAGGATACTTCACCGGATTTCCTGACCCAATTATGTTTCAGGCTCCCAAAGCCCAGAGCAATCGAAATCGCAAGAAATCTGCGTCGGGGGCAGACCACGTCAAGCATCGCCGGACACGATCGGGCTGTTACACTTGTCGAAGTAGACGAGTCAAGGTAAGCATTGGTTCTTCGGAGTTGGTATGGTAGTGCTTAGATTGACCTTAGTGCGACGAAACTCATCCCATATGTGAGCGTAAGTGTCACCATGCTAAACATTTCGAAGCCGAGCTGATAGTTACAGGCTGTCGCAAAGGCAAGAGGGATTGTGTATACCCGGAAGCCTCTTCCGCAAAGGGGCAGGCTAGCGAGCCAGGTTCATCGAAAGATACAGGAGCATTGACTCAAGAACCCAGCCCGAACTCTTCGCAAGACGAAGCGGACGAAGAAGGAGAGAAAAATGTTCGGCTCGAGCCAATCATTGACGAAGAGGAACCTACCGAGGCATTGTCACCGACCTCGTATTTAGCAGGACTAAGAAGAACGAGTACGACGTCAACCTCAAACGCTTACAGGACTACGACAAGACAGAGTTCCGAAACGCCTTCCTTGGAGGGCACTAAAAGTGCTTCGCCAGCAATTTCAACGGCTACTTCTGCAAGCATTCCGATTTCTTTCCAGATTCCAGATTCCTCTCTTCAGTCAGCCATCCCCCGCCCGGATTGGTCTCACCTCCCGACAGACCTACAGTCTCACCTAACGTACTTTTGCGAAAACATCAGTCACTATAATTACGGGTTGGTTAATGATACGGACGACTTCTTCCGCTCAATCCTCCCTAGTTTAGCAGTGCAGACCGGCAACGAAGCTCTTCTAAACGCGGTTGTGGGATTCTCCGTGTACCATCGGACTGTTCGAAATCCCAACGGTAAAATCCAAGACTTCTTACGATACTATAATAAAAGTGTTACCTTACTACTAAGTTACCTCAAGAGACGAGAGAAGCAGGGTGTTGCAACGCTATTAACCATATTGCAGCTCGCGACTATCGAGGTAAAAAAGCATACGTTAAAAGCAACCTTCGGAGAGACATTGCTAATTAGAACAAGGAATACCTAGGTGATTGGGTGAATCTCATGGGGCACCAGAAAGCCGCCTTCGAGATTTTGACCCGGCTGTTCACACCCCAGACAATCATGAATTCGCCTACGTCCCGAATATTGCTGACTTGGTACATTCGATTCGATGTCTTCGTAGGAATGATGGGGGGATTCGAAACAAGTCTACCGCGACAATGGTTCTCAGCAGTTGTACGGTTCTGCCAGGAGCACGCTGAGAGGGACCCGGAGGACGTAGGGATGAAAACAGAACTCCATGCTTCTGCTTTACGACTGATTTCTAGGGATATGTCGATACTCTATGCCAGAGGCGGTCGGGGCGAGATATCGGGTGATAATTTCGCCACGGAACACAATCATATAACGGAACGCCTCTACCAATGGAGAGCCAATTTAGATCCTGCTTTGACTGATCCGAATTTTCTCGTAACCGATCTCCCGCACAAAGTCCCGATAAGCGAAGACGACATCGTCGATCCTTACAAGTCAGGCCACCTTTACGATTTGCCCCTATTCTCGACCACCGAGTTAATAGCGGAATGGCATTCTATCCTCGTCATGCACAAGAGTCAAGAAGCGTTCGCATTGCAACAGAAGCCATCAGATGAGTTAAGGGGTTTGGCATACGCTATATGCGAAATTTTTGAAGCAGTAGAGCGGTGGCCTTCGGCACCAAACGGCGCCCTCATTCCAATTCAGGCCTGTCTCGCTATTGCAGCGCTTTTTCTACCTCGAGACGAGAAACACCATATGTGGTTAAGGCGGAAATATGCAATGTTGGAATCACTAGGGTACGTTACCTATACAGGTCTTTGCGCAGCTACCCGTCTATCGTCTCCAGCTCGATACTATACCGAGCCAACACGGAGTAAACACGTGGAATTCAATAACTAACCTTTCTTGATTTCAAATCACTAGATACGTTTTCCCGCTTACCATACGAGCTCGAATGGCGGAAATATTTCGCGAACCTTCTTGTATACAGTGGTGGCTCCCAAACGACGAAGGACTAAGCCCCGTATTACGAAGCATCCGTGCTTTTGCGGACGAACGCAACGCGAATCCTGTTTCCCAACAGACCGAATCTCTCCGAGAAATAAGCGCCATCTTTGCGAAGATGCGACTCGACCCCGAACACGAAGGCATATCATCGCCCGGCGGCGAATCCAATAGCGGCGCCTCTTCTTACTGAGGTGATATAATAATATTGTACTCGCGTGCGTGAGGCCAAGGCGTCACAAGAGAATCGTATCGGCAAGAAAGGAAGCGAGGTTGATGATAGAGCTTTACATGTCGACAGCAAGCTGGTTAGCTGGTTAGCTGTGTTTATTACAAGTCACATAGTGGCGCTGCAAAGACGTTTCTGTGACGTTGTGAACGGACTAGGGTCTGAAACAATGAGGTCTCGATGCGGCGAAAATGGGCCCGGAATAGAGACCGAACCGTGATGCAACTCTGCGCTGCAGGGCCAGGGGATGCTTGGGAGGTGAGGGGACCTAGGGGACCTACTATGCGGCCAGGTACTACTACATACAACATCAAAGCCCGTTGAAATTGGGGGGGATCTTATGAATAAGATGACCATGCATGCAGCCATAGCAAACTTACCAATGCCATGGTTACAAGCCAACCTTCAGTCCCAGTACCTAGGTAGTTAGGTAGTTATCCTGGTCCGACTTCCTACCTATAGACACCTCTTAACCACCCCGCTACTCCTTTACCCCCTTACCACCTACACTCATTAGACCAACTATATCAGATCTAAGCTATTATAGATCAGATCATTCGGGTGTGTGTATTGGATGATACTATACTAATGGAAGATTTCGGAACCCGCCAAGACAAGAAACCCCGGCTATTCTAGACGGATTAGAGAATCGTACGAGACAGAGCTCAGATGTTTAAAAGCGTCGACTGGTTCGACCCAGCAAACGCCAGTGCCAGCACCATCCCCTCCACGAACGATACGCTTCGTCGTCGTAGTAGAAGAATGCTTTATATCACATCGTCCCCGTTACGCAGCTCGGACTTGAAGAGTAACAGTCAAGCCTCGCCGAATACATACGCGGTTTCATTAGCCACCTCCATGCCTCCTTGGCATTCATTACCCGCCCTCGGTGGCGATACGCAATCTCTTAGTGTAACTAAACTGCGTCCCCGCACACCTGCATATTGATAAATTTCCCATATTCATTAGCTATAGAAAGGAAAATGGAAAAAGAAAAAGGAAGAAAAAGAAAAAGGGGGTATACTCGTCACCTATTATTAGATGGCATTCTTTACTATGCCCTCCTATAATTTATTCGCCAGGGAGGACTAATCGCCACGGGAACTTGCTTCCTTTTTTTTCAAAATTTTTTTCTTTTCATATTACTTTATAAAACGCCATTAAGCGGCTCTTGCAAAGAGTAGTGGGCATTAAAAAGATTTTACACGCCAATATACATACACGCAAAAAAGGCTTCCACGAATATACCCCTTAAAGCTGGACCTCTACGCACGGAGTTAGAATCAGGATAAATCCCGCTCGAGACAGATGGGTATTACAGGGTAGAGTAAGGGATTCCCGGGAAGAGGAAAAAAAATAATCATAAAAGGGCAGTGATACCAAATACCGAAGATATCCTAAGAAAAAGGAGGACGGCGCATATAGGTTTTATTTTATTTTATTTTTCCTACTATACTATCTAATACTATACATCTCGACATATTTCTATTAACTATATTGTGAAGGAATCAATGCTTAATTAATCTCATCGATTCGTGCAGCTAGAAGGGAAATGTGGATGAACCACGGGAGAGCCGATAATATAATGATACCCCTGGGTTAATGGCTCGGCTTCATTTACACTGGTTATATGTTATACGCCTACCTAACCTAGGTAGGTACATATATTTATAGTATAGTCGCCGCAGTTTACTTGGGGGTGACATATAAAGTAGGAATCCATAACTTAACTAGTTCGCTCTTATTAAAAAGTTAGGTTAATCGAAAACATTCCCTTAAAGTCGATGGCTTAGAGTCGGTAGTTATAGTATCACTATACTAAGTCAAGTAATTATCTACTATATTAGGTACCTAGTTATTAAGGTAAGCGGCCGGTAACTCCTCATAGTTAAATTATTTAACTACAATACTTTACTACTAACTATGCTCCAATTCAAGAGTCTATCCCTATGTGGTTTTCAAATTCAGAGTCCTAGCATCGAGCCTAGTTCAAGGAGAAACACGACGAGAAAGAAGAATGTTGGCAGGCATTAATGCAGCATGAATAAATTAGGTATTATTAAAATGTACATGTTGAAGTCAACAATATAGACAACATAGCCAAGCGATGCAACATGGGGGACTTGCTCGATGAAGCGTAAGCTCCAAGATAGCCAAGTCAACGGTGTCAGGAATAGAATCACTACGTCGCTCAGAGCCCTGGGCATAAGACATAATCATTATGAGTAGGGCTACTAGAGGAAGCTGATTACCAGCTTGTAGCACCACATTTACACATGATTAACCCGTCCGCCGGCCTCATCCTAACTATGCACTGGAGGATTATCCCTTCCATCCCATCCTCGCCCCCTAACCCATAAGCATAAACACTGTTCATACACGTACAACCTTCAACTTAGACTCGGGCCCAATAGCTCTAAGACGCGGAAACTATGCTCGTGCCGCAGCCAACGTTAATTCAGAACGTATCTTGGTCATCGTCAACATTTTCCGATTCTTCATTATCGGCGCCTCTAACTTGCCGTAATTTGCCGACGATTGCGTCTGTTCGTTCAACAATCATGTCTGTCTCGTCGTTCAGATCCTCATCGTCAGGTTCGTCGGTGCGATCCCACCGGCGGCGGAGCCGCTCCAGCGCCCGTCTGGCACGACGGATGACTGCCTCCACGGCCACCGGATCAATGTCTTCAAATCGCTCCAGGCCAGCCACGAAATTCTAGTCCGTGCCTAGATTCTTTGAACTTGACTTTTCTTCCTTCGCCTCCTCCGTCTCCTTCGTCTCCTCTTTCTCCACATCTGCTTTGGTAGACTCCGTCTCCGGTGTAGGTTCCTCGGCAGCGCTTGACTCGGCTTGCTGCTCTCCTTCAGCTGGCGTATCTTCCTGCTTTTCTATGCTCGGAACAGGTGTTTCATTTTCAACCACCTGCTCATGTTCTGGTAGGGGTACTTCTTTGCTTCCATCAGCCTCCACTGCCTCGTTTTCCACAGATATCTCTGATTCTGTTGGCACATCCTCTTGCACTTCTATCCGGATACCTTGGGAATGTACGTCACCCTGTTGCTCTTGGGGCTCAGACTGTTGAGGCACTCCAGGTTCCTGGACGCTGGAAGTATTTTCTAGCAATTCACCTTCAACAATGACAGGTACTTCGACTCCTGACTCCTCTTCTTCCATTATCTCGGGGCCTGAGATGTGCATATTCTTGAGTTTGTTTGCAACGTCCTGCTCATCTTCTCGTTCTTCAATAACAGTCGTCACGGAACTACCGGTTGACGGCCTGCTCGAATGTCTAGCCGTATTACTTCTACGAGCGTGTAGACCATGTCGATCATCCTCATGTTCGGTGCTCTCGTGTTGTTGCTGCTGAGGCGGCGGGGGCGGGGGCGGCTGTGGTGGCTTCGCAATGGCAGTTACTACGGGCTTCTTGTCTTCCTTCTCAGCCGGTTCCAGACCCTCTGCTTCTGGCGGGAGCTTGTAGTTCTCGGAAGGAAGAAGGTCGTACATGTCACAGACCGCCTTGAAGAATACATACAAGCCGGTCTGAGCTTCGACCGACCAGAATACCCCTCTATGTTGGAACCACGCATGTGCGAATATTCTGTGGAGCCGGCGGAACACATTGATAAGGTTCTTCAGCGCCGAGCTCTTGTCATGCCCTTCCGGCAACACTACAAATCTGCTTGGAAATATCTTGGGGTTGGTAACTACATTTGCAGCCCAATCGAGGGTATGGCAACAGTAGTCGATAGCACAGCAGCTCTTTGGTTGGTCATGGACGGCGCATAGAAATTGCCATTCGGAGGCTCGCATCTCGGGGCACGTTATAGATGAACATGGTGGCGTATCAAAGAGAAAGCCCACTATCAAACTATTGCATTGGGCGATGAGGAAACGGCAGAGCTCGTAGAGCCATAGCGTCCTATCGATGCCTGGCGGCGGCGTAGCTAATTGCAAAGCAACCGCTCGGGTGATGGGTGTCGTATTAGAGGCGGTATGGTGGTAGTGAAGTGCTGCGAGATGTTCTTGAAGTTGAAAAGCCGAGTCGAGCTGCAACGTGTCGTATTAGTAGCTGCCGTCGCAAAAAGGAAAAAGGGTTAGAGTAAAGCAACGCACCTCGCCAAGTGGAACAAGAGGCGGCCCAGCAGCCATATCCTCAGACTTGGTGCCTGGATGTATGCGCCGCTTCGCATTTGCTTCGGCCATGGTCCGCTCAATCTGTTGTGCTTCACGGCTTGCAGTGCTACCCAGTCCTGGAGATTTAGGTCCGAGCTGAATCTCGGCGGCAGGTGGTGGACTGGGCAGTCGAGGCGAGCCCTGCGCCAAAGACATGATAAAAGTACCTAGGTAGATAATTTGAGGCTAATGCCCCAGGTGCGAATTGTTTATTGGCAGATTGGGTAAACAAATGGTGTCCTTGCTTCGTTGTTCTGTCGCTAAGTGAACTGTTGTTGTGTGATTTGAGCAGCTGGCAGAAGTGCAGAAGCGCCAAGCTCTTTGATCCAGAAAGCAGCCAAGATAGGTACATGGAAGTATGTATCAAGTACCGAGGTACCTAGTATTATATCGAGGTGCCTAGTATTATATGGTTATGTAATAAAACAGGTACATATGCATTTAAGCATAAATATCTTTTTGTTTGAGCTCACTCGGAACCCAGATGTCATTGGGAGGGCGCAAGACAACAATCAAAAACTATATAATTGATAATACCTTAGTTACGTATTCTTCTCTTATCAACTTTCACTTATCAAATCGTAAACAATTACCAAAGTCGATATCTATCCCGTATTTAAAGACCTATCATGAATTTTGACGAAGATGTACCCCCAGAGCTTGTCGTGGCCGAGACAGGCGCGCAAGACGAGAAACTTGTCAAGGTGCCCATCACCATCGTCACTGGTAAATCCACGTTACGCTTTATTGATATACTATTACTAACCTTCTTGGAAGGATACCTTGGGGCCGGAAAAACGACTCTGCTCAACTACATATTAACTGCCCGGCATGGCAAGAGAATTGCCGTCATCATGAACGAGTTCGGTGATTGTCAGTGACAGGAGCCTACACCGCGCAAAATCAGTTCCTAAGCTAACCCCATCCTAGCACTCGATATTGAGAAATCATTGACGGTCAATAAGGGCGGCGAGCAAGTCGAAGAATGGCTCGACGTCGGCAACGGCTGCATCTGTTGCTCGGTGAAGTACCGTCCAACTACGTTAGTCAATGAAGTAGTATTCTAACCTCAGTGCAGGGATTCCGGAGTCAATGCTATTGAGTCACTTATGGAGAAGAAGGGTGCCTTTGATTACATTCTTTTGGAAACTACTGGACTGGCCGATCCTGGTAACTTAGCCCCCTTATTTTGGGTCGATGACGGTTTGGGAAGCACCATCTACCTGGATGGGATCGTCACACTGGTCGATGCGAAGAACATTCTTCGAAGCCTGGATGACTTATCGGGAAAAGTCGAGGGCCACGAAGACCATGATGGTCATGGACCCATCATGACGACCGCCCACGTCCAAATTTCCCATGCAGATGTCATCGTCATTAATAAGTCAGATCTGGTTGAACCTGCGGAGCTTAATAATGTCAAAGAGCGAATACAGGCGATTAATGGCCTTGCAAAGATCCATATAACGAATCAAAGCGTTGTGCCTCAACTGGATGGCTTCTTACTAGACTTGCATGCATACGACCAAGTCGAGGCTCTGGATACTGCAGGAAAGGGACACAGCCATCTTGACCCTGTTCGTTAAATGCCATTATTCAGCTGGGAATTAAGCTAATAACCCCGTAGACTATTTCCACGGTTTCTACCGATGTGCCGCTTTTGGCCCCTGGGCAGCTTGAGCTAGTTGATAGCTGGATAAGATCGCTCCTATGGGAAAGCCAAGTGCCAGGAGAACCGACTGACTCGGCTGAGCCCATCGAAATCCACCGCCTAAAATCCCGCTTAGTTTTTAAGGACGGCAGCGTGAAAATGGTGCAGGGTGTTAGGGAGGTGTTTGAAATTTTCGATGGAGAACAAGCGCCTAATGAAGATGGCGTAGCTCCGCAAGCTGGGAAGATTGTCCTTATTGGAAGGGGTGTGCAAGGGATCAACTTTGAGAGAAGCCTGCTGAATATACTCCAAGATATAGGGAGCGAGAATATCATTACCAACCATGTGTGAAAGCATTAAGCTTCACGGCGTTGGTTCGTAGGAGAAACCAGAATCTCGTCAAATTCAAGCTTCTACATGTTGTCCTGATAACATGTACCGATCCGTCGGGATTAGATGGCACTACCTAAGTCCGAAGCCCACGTCCCCAGGTATATCATGAGTGTTTCCATTCTCTATGTATGTTTCTAGCTTGATAATCACAAGTTTGTCGGGTATCAAATTAGTTATACGGATTAAAGTAAAGTTAGATTATCCTGGGTTTGACTGAATCATATACAGTAACCGATGACTTGTATGCTTCTTCGGAGTAGGTAGCTATGTAAGCAACCACAAAGCTGGGTATACCATTATGATATCTAAAAAGCTTTATTTAATCTGCGAATACTGCTAATTAATTGTCCAAGTAGGTACCTAGGTGTTTAAGCAACAGCTACACAAATGAGTGTTATGATTTCATAGCTGTTTGTGATGAAAATGGGGTTAAATATTCCTTTGGTGCCTTTTTTAGCTTTAAAACAACAACGCCGTACATAATTAATTATTGGCTTGAATATATTGAATATATCATCTTAGATGACGGGTTATATGTTTAGAGACTAAAGAGTTTCGTTTATAATTGTGACAGTAACTACCTACATTTAATCTTTGAGGGTAGTCACATAAATGACTGAGCACACATGATTCCGGAGAAGTGTAAAGACAAACACTAAATAAAATGGATTGAACATGTCATAAAAACGCTGTCTCTTTTTATCAAGCACCCAGGTAATCATGTATCTTAGGTACCTACCTGGTAGGAAGCATAGTAGGAAGTACTTTACAAGTAAAAAGGCACATGCACAAGGGAAGTTGCAGTGCGGGGAGTTTCAGTTATTGCATGGTGCATTGGTGGAAAGAATGGAAGAGACTGGAGAGTTGCGGCTCGTGAGGCTGGTTGAGGCTGCACAGGCTAGGGGGCAAGGCGCACCGGTCTAATGCTCCCTCTACGTAAGGCAACTGCACGCTTATCCACACCGTGCGTAGATAAGGCAATATGGGTAGACTAACTATGTTGGGCTTAGCTTGTGCTTAGGACAAGCCAACCCCAGTAAACTTCCCATCCTGCGATCGCAAAGCTTCGTGAATCCACATTACCATTTGGCATTTCGCAAATAGGAACATCATTAAGGATAGCTACTCCCCCCACGAAAACCCCACCGATCACGACGAGTTAAACCTTCCAAAGTTTATAGGGAGTTCACATCAGGACATCTCTAGTGTGGCATCGTAGTCATGAATCGAACAGGTAGTGCCGACCCTCTCTCCCTCTGCCTCGTGTGCCCCGCCTGTTTGCTTTGAATCGTGATGTCGACCACATCGTTGTCGCGCTCCGTCACCTGCCCTCCGACCCTCTTCGACCGGCTTGATATTTCCCGCTTCGAGACGTATAATATATAAACCAGGTCGTTGGATACCCTAAGACAACGGTAGGGCACAGAAGGACCATTTTCGCTATATCCTTCTGGCCTCAGCCTTCTCGAAATATCAGCCTCGTCTAGGGGAGTGAGGAGATCACAACTTCACAAGCAACTATTGCATACTAGATCTATAACAAATAGATATACCTCTTGTCATGAATTAACAAACACTTTGCTCCACTCATCATGCCCCATGAAAATACTTCATACATTTGGCTAATACTGAACGTCCTCAGGAGCCGTACCACAAACCCTCCGAGGGATACCGACTGGATTCGGAGGCCAACAACAACCCCAACAACCAGGTAGAACAGTGTCTAATAGGATACCGAACGGAAAATTAGGTATGATCGCGGGATCAAGGTGCTGGTAATTGCTAGATCCGAAGCTGATGTTCTGTCGCATAAAAGCGAATAACGGAGCCGGATGGGCGTTTGGTGGTGTTCCTATGGGGGGTGCAGGTCTACAAACGTCGTCGAGGCAACTAGGAGGAAACCTCAGTTTTGCTCAAAGTTTAAGCGGTTCGCAACCGGCAACGCCTCTCGACCTCTCGTAGGTATTTTCCATTCCGTGTTAGCTCTACCACCACCACCGTGCACTTGTTTTTATCCAACCGCCAAACTTTGTCGTATAAACACCAACCTTCGTTTTACCCACAATCCGCATCATTCGTTCCCGTCCGTTGCTTCATCTAGTTTGGGTAATTAGGTAGGCGGCATGGCGTCTTTGTCGCCAGGTCATAAGGCGAGAAAGCCAAGACTCATACTCAAGACCCATACACCACGTCCTACTACCCCTACCCCGTCGCCACTGGTAGTCCCAGATGTTGGCTTATCATATGCTACTGTTGCTGGACGAACAGATCAAGACAGCTTGCCCAAAGCTAGCTCTTCTCCAGACCGTACCAATCGGTAAACAAACACGATTTTTTTTTTCTCTTCTTGTCACGTTAAACTTGAGCACACGTCAACTGTGAAATTCCTTTACGTTGTGAAATCACATTTCACTCTTCGAGGCTAATTTTTCCAGCAGCGAATTTCCATCACTCTCCAACAATTCTCAATTACAAAGCGCAGGTGCTAGCTCTTTATGGTCAACAGGAGCATCAAGAGGTATGAGCGGTACAATACAGAGGAACCAGCAACCCACTCCACTCTCCTCTCAACACTCACAACAGGACGATTTCTTTTCGCCTTCAAGGATGAGCTCTAGCCAAGGCCAATACCGATTCGGGAGCCAGAATAGCGTGGCTCAATCATCACAACCTCAACCCAACAGTATCGACGAGTTTCCACCTCTGAATAATAACAACATCAGAAACAGCAACGGAGATATTGGTCAAGAACGTGGGTCAAATCTAATGTCGACCCTCGGATTTGGTGCCCAAGGTAGCGCCGCCCCTGGCTCCCTCCAGGGTCCTAGATCAGGAAATGGCCTGCTCAATGCGCTGTCTGCCAACAACCGAACAACCGATGTTCGTTCGCCAGATGGATCCACTGCCACAGGTATGCGGATACCACAAATTTCTTTTCTTTTTCTTTCGTCACTATGTTACGGTACGTTAATAGGTTTGCAGGTTCTTCGCGACCGCAGGACATTAGAGGTACTGGAACCGGCAGTAACGACGAGGCTCGCCAAAAGCCCCCTGGATTCCAAGACAGCTTGGTTTCTCAGTCATCTACACAAGATCCGGCAGCTCTGAATCAGCTCGGTGCCCTCGGTGCCATCGGTAGTAACGATGCATCCTCAAACAAGAACGGCGATCAGAAGGATGATCAATCCCCGTCTGTACATGACCCTTTAGCAGGCATGGCGCCTATTGATAAGTGGGGGATCAAAGGTCTTCGTACCCTTATGAATAACTATCCCGACTACAATGCAGCTGTTACAGGCTTGGATCCAACAACACTGGGCGTAGATTTTACGTCTCCTCAGTAAGTTTCTCCTCGCTTTTGTTTTTAGGTTTTCTTTACTCATAATTCTAGGCTGCTATCGACGCAGATATACTCACTCTTCAATGATACCATTCCCCGACCAGCAATTCCCGACTTCCGGCTGCCAGAGTGCTATAACGTGAATAACGTACAGCCTTTAGAAAACAAGATTAGCAACTTCAACGAGGAAACTCTAATGTGGATCTTTTACAGTTGTCCTGGAGATGTCAAGCAGCATCTTGCTGCTCATGAACTGTAGGATACCGCTCCACCACGTTGGCGACTTTGCGATACTGACATTTTCTAGCTACAACCGCGCCTGGCGATGGCACAAGAAGCTGAAGATTTGGCTGACCAAAGACGAACTAATGCAGCCCCGAATTCTCAGTACCCAGCATGAAGAGGGTTACTACATCATCTGGAATACAACAGACTGGCGAAAAGAGCGTGTAAGTGACTGCATAATATTTACTTTGACCTCTGAAATGCATCTATTGACATAACCTATAGCGTACTCTCACACTTCATTATGCGGATTTGGAGGCTAGCAATGCTGCTTTGCCATAAAGGGAAGATCCCCGAGAGAAGATGGTTGTCTGTGATATTGAGCAGTATGCAAGGCGCAACGAGCCTACAAACAGGGTGGCGTTGGTTTTCACGGAATGCACAACCTAAGGGGCACGGTTGATTGCGGGCAACATATGGCTTTCATGCTTGGTAGTCACGGGCGTAGCAAATGCCCAAGTCGGCGGAAAGGCTTTGATTCATCAATATAGGATTTTCAAATCCATGGCGTTGAACTTGTCCAAATGAATGATGATTTGTAAAAATGTAGTTATAGTAAGTATATCTAGTGACCAGTTTGATCATAGGTAGGTAATTAGGAATTATGCGTATGTATTCCTCTCGATCTATATGAAATTCTTGGAGTTTAGAGGCTTTCAACATATACCTTTAAGTCTCGAACTTGGATATCCCATTGGTGTTGCAGCTGCAGCTTTAGCAGAGCTATTGTGCCCGTACTCAAGCCCGCGTAATACGTCTCGTAAGAAAGGTATCGCGTCGAACCATTTCCTAAGTCGACGAAAACGTTGGGGTGCTCTGCCCGCGATCCGACGCCGCCTATGCCATCGTCATAATGCCACGCGTTGATGAGATACCCCTCGGCGCCAGAGGGATCCAACAGGCTGATGACCTCTGTGCTGGTGGTATTAAGGCTGCCGATCAAGCCATTGGAGGTGAACTGCATTGTCATGCCGACGTATATATCGTCGGGAGTCGACGTAACGTTGTCCGGGAGAGCGACGTCGATTATAAACGAATTCCATCGCGGATACGACTTGAAATCCAGAATCGCATTGTAGGCGGTCAGCGGCCCGGTATTATCAAGCACGAGTTCAGAGCAGATGGTAAATATTGCCCCTTCGGCGCCGTACGTGGGTGTTACTAGGGTGGCTGTGGGATCTTCAGGGCAGTGGAGGGAGCCGTAGTCGATTTGTTGACTTACGAGAGAGGAGGGAGTAGCAAGCGGCGCAGCGGCGAGCGCGATGAGGAATGGGGGGAGCTGGAACATTACTGTTAGTGTTAGTTACTGTTGGTGGCTATCTAGAAATCGACTTGGTCTTTCTCATAATGACGAGAAATGGGGGTTTAATGGGAATCGACGTGTTTACATATACGTATGACTTACCTGTTATAGCCGGCTCATATCGTATGATTCGGGACGGCGGCCACATCTGTAATTCGGTGGATCCCCCGTTTACATGGTTGCATTTCTCCATGTTTTCCGCTTTCCTATTGCCTATACTGGACCGAGTTTGAGTAGTCCAGGTAAGACTATATCCATAATCGAGCTTATTGTGTTTATCGCCATGTTCAACCTATATACTAGGTAGTTTCCACAGCTTAGTTAGGCATTGTATAAGCCTTTATTCTTCGCCTTGTAATTAGTGCCATTAACATATGTATAATTCGCTTGTCTGTTTTGGTATTAGTGGTTAACTATATAGAACCTCATCTTCAGCTCTTAGCTCCAAGTATTATTCTAGGACAATCTTCATAGCTGACTGCCGCCTAGTTGAGTGTTTGTCAGGATTCTAGATGAGACATCTAGGACAAAGAACATGTATGTATATACGAGCCACGGGCTCGCCAGGTAGGTTAGAGTTCCTCGCGGAACAACGAAGTTGTTTTCATCTTGTTTGGTTTCACCTTGTGACAGTGTTGATCTTTACTACGTGTTTGCTAAATTGCGGAGTTGGTTCCAGATGATTTTATAATGAGTCACTCCCCGTAATGAGTGAATGGGAACGGATCCATCGTTAAGTAGCTTCGCCCAGTCACTGGGATTATAAGCGGCTATAACTTATATAGGTGTTCAGTCGAACGAATGTTTTTAATCGAGCAAATGGGCTTGCTCTCGATTAATGGGAAATTTATATTCCTTGTTATTATCTTATCCGCTTGACTGGCATAAAACAGCAAACCCTTTATAATCAGTAGAGTACCTAACGTAAGTTCAACGCAAACAGTCTATATCCTTTAGCCAATCTTGATGTATCGATACTGAAAATAGTGGGTTTGCTGTTTTATGACAGTCAAGCGGACAGGCTATTATTGTACGACTTCAAGTTTAAGAAAACGAATAATATAAAAACGCCTACCTAACGGATCGTCTCTGAAGCCTCAATGTCTGACGCTACGGAATTAAGCGACGATGACCTCGTCGAGTTATCTCTCTTACGCGACTTCGAGGTAGATGAGCTTATCAGGGATGGATTCCTGGACGAGAGCGAGCAAATGACGAGGCCCTTAGATAAAGAGCTTGTCTTTAAGTACGACGAACTGTGCTTATATATCACCCCCGGCCCCCTATATCCCGCTGCGTCTGCTACTTGGGAGCTCGAGAGCTACGAATTATCGCGAGAATCAGTGATCGAACTTCGCACACAGCTGAGACAGGTTGTAGAGGCTGCAGCAGTCACCAATAACATCTCAAAATGGAATAGTCGGGGAGAGAGTGTATATGGTGCTTTTGAACCAACTATGGCGGTTTATGAGCTTGCCAATGCGACAAGGGGATATTTGAAGTCATGGCGCGAGAGGCTTCCGAAGAAACCAAAAGGCCGTATTAGGTCAAATATTCTCCCATTTGAGGAGAAGCCAGCGAATCCGATAATGACATCTAGCGAGACGGCATACCATTTCCTACGGCAAACGCCCCAGGAAATCTGCTCCCAGATTCCCTCCTGTTACAGGGTTCTCCACGTGGAGGAGGTTATAAGGTCTGACCTCGCCGTTAGATTCTATAAGAAGCAAACGGAAATAAGGGAAAGACTATCCGAATACTCTGTAGGGACACTTCACGGTTGCGTCCCTGCTAGCTTACACCACAGCAAGAGAAAAGAGGTATACCTAGATCATCTCGTGAAGCCCACGATGACTTTCCATGGGACCCAAAGACAGCTCGTGCCATCTATAGTACGCTACGGATTCCTCAAGCCTGGTCAGAAGAACCCAGGTACTAACGAGGCGCACGGGGTTCGCTGTGGATCGACATACGGTAGGGGAATTTACAGCTCTCCGAACGCGGACTTTTCTCTCAGTTACACGGGTAGCTCATGCCAGGCCACCAAGCCTAATGAATATTTCGGAATCAAGCTTCTCGTATGCGCGACGATTATGGGCCGCTCGGCCGACGTTTATAGGGACGACAACTGGAGGAATCAAAGCCAGGCCTACCCCGGGGCGGATTCACACGTCTCCAATCGCGGGCTCGAGTACATCGTCTTTGATAGTGCTCAGATCCTTCCAATATATGTGATACATATCGACTGGGGCCACGACAATCACGAGCACTTTGAGGAGCTCCCCAGCAACCCGGAGAGCTTCGTCCCAACAAATCAGACAAGGCATCCTAAGCTTTTACAAGGCGTCCGCTGGCCGGGTGACGTACAGCGCGAGAAAGCCGCTGCCTTCGCCCGGGCAGCGAAGTGGTTCCCGTACGGCTACGGGCCGTCGACCGGATCCAAGTTCGTCGTGGAAGAGGTTGGCGAGGTCGACGAGGACGAAGAGGAATATGGCGATTACCAGGCGCTCCGAGGCGAAGAGATCAAGGATAAGACGAACCTGAACTTCTGGAGTTGGGTCAAGGTTGGCGAGGAGATAGATGCCGTTGAAGGGGGTGGGCTTGAAAATGAGTATACAAAAGATCGCCGCTGGTATTATAGTTCTAAGACGTCGGAGGAGATGCCGAACTGGGATGATATCCCTTCGCCTGAAGAGGAAGAAGAAGAGGGATATGTAAATCTTGAAAGTATTGAAAGTGATGATGATTTAGGTATAAGCCGGCTGATGGTTTAACTTGATTGGCGGTATAGCTAGGTGATTATTATCAGTTTTTAATATAGCGTAAGGTGCCATCTTGTCATGTTAGTGATATTATTATTTAATTCGTATATGATATTTCAATCTAGCTGCTTTGAGAGTTAGAATATATTGATATATAATGTATTATTTTGGTATTTGGTAGTTATATGAATTCAAATTCCTAAGAATAGAAAAGTTCACCGTGTACCTCTTTTGCATTATTGGGGTTATTGGGGTAGGCACCTACTAAGGTTGACTGGCTTGAGAGAACCTCGAAAGATTAATCAATTGAAATGTTCCCCGCGTGTGTAACCCACTAATGCACTAATGGTCCAAGCTCCTATGTTTACACCCACTTCGCTTGTAGCCAATGATCTGCCGGCAATCGATACCGCCGCCCACAATCCCTACCTTCACTTGAACGTATCTGCGTATTCCTTCTTTTTTTACCTTGTTAATTCTATCTATTAACTATCGTCAATCGACACCAATCGCGCCCCGATTCGCGCTTCTTATCTTCCAACGACATCGTTTTTTCTCCATCTTCGTACAATGCACAATGCTTAATTGAATGTTGCTTATTCTAATTGTTTCTTGTTACGCCTTCCTGGGAAACCGTACGCGATCTGATCTATAATAGACGCGTTTCTCGATATATTCGCGATGGTCGGGCCACGAGCGGCGCGTCTGCCGGTCGGCTCTGCGCCATGGATCTCAGAAGAGAGGTCATCTGCTCTGCAGATTGCACAGTCAGAGGTTGAGGAATTCTCTTTCTCCGCTAGAAACGACTTTGACTGGTTGAATGAGCATATGGCCGAGATATTTAGCGAAAATCAAATGTACGCGGGCATCTAGGTTCTTATGGGAAGTCCTTGAAGCTAACTATCACGGTAGCAACGTTGCAGAAATATTTAAAACCCCAGGAAAATTACGAGGCAAGACTCCTCGAACGATCCGGAAAATAAACGCGGGAGAGGCTCGTGTCGTGAGTCTCGTTGGGCTAACCTTTATGTGATATCAACACTAACGCTTTTCAGCCCCTCTCTAACATATTTTCCGCTACGCCTAAAGGGGCCCCGAACCCTTTTATCATACCTAATATGAATCGAAGTAATACGCCTAAGATTGAAATTGCTGCAGACCCCCAACCATCACCCCCCAAGGCAGTTGCGCCAGAGAGTCCCTTGAAGCATGCGGCTTCTCCAAAACACACGTCCTCAGCCCAGCCGTTTTCTGTTGCGGATTCCGGATATCATGGTAGCCAGTCCCAGGATATAATGGATGTTGATCATTCTGTAGTGGATGACGAGGCAACACAACCATTTAGTCCACAGGCGGACACGCAGAGCGACGATGTAGCTCTTGATACTTCTCCTAACCATCATGGACATGACAGTCCAGCTCCTCACTCGCCAAATCCTACAGTTGATACGAACGTGGGCGACCTTGACACACAGTATCTCACTGCCCACGTTCCGCTAGGAGCCTCATCTGATAAAGTAGATGGTCCTCAGGAGAGCACTACGCCGGCGGGTTCACCCTTACGATCACCTGCCTTGCCGGAAACATCCCCCGCGGAGCACTCAGCTGTTGTTAGCATATCTGGTGCTGAAGTTGAAGACAATAACTTAGAAGTAGATGCAATGGAAACCGTACCTGAGGAGGAGCCGTCGAGATCCTCTTCTGAGAGCTCAAGTCCTATTCGACCTATTGTTCGGAAAAGTAGTCTCAATTTTGCTTCCTTGCCTGCAAGAGAACCTATCACGCATAAAAGCATAGGCAACCGGGTATCAAGGACTAGCCACTTGGAGCAGAATCGAACGAGTTACTACAACCGACATACTGGAGGAAAGAGTTTGGGACACACAAGACATGATCTTACGGACGATGATAATGATGACATGGACATTGACGAGGACCCATCTATTCAAGAGCCTCAGTCACAATCGGCGCCGGATAATACAGTCGCGCATAACAAGACTTATACGCAACGTCTTCAGGACCAAATCAGCAAATTAGGCCAAGCGCAAACACAGACTTCCAGGACTTCCAAGTCAATTCCGGGTCCTTCTGTCGCTCAAACAACAACAGTCGCAGCTCCTGCGCCCCAGTCTTCGTCTCAGGCGAAGCCGTTGCCCTCACCCAAAAAGACTACAACTCCAGGCGCTTTTCCGGACGAAGACGATGAAGACGACTGGATTGGACCTCTTGGTTCGCCTGAGAATGCGTCTGACTTCCGTAGTCCTCGGCCTGGACTAGCTAAAAGCTATACTGCCGACGTGATGGAGGGTGTATCTGGTAAGGATACTGTCAGCGGTGGCGATTTTTCAGTGTCGAAGACTTCTCAGGACCAGGCCAAGTCTCCTGAGCGCCCTCCGACGGAGGAACGGGGGGCTACTACTTTTGGCCACCACAAGTCCGCATCCGTCCCCTTGTTGCCACTTCAAGAAGCTTCGGGGGCTGATGGGGATAACCTTACGAAGACTATCTCTGCGTCTAACCCACCCCTTGCCACTGTCCATGAAACAGATAGGCCTACTACACCTACGAAGTCACCATCGCGAGGCTACAAAGATAGTCCTCTAAAACAGGTCAAGAACAAGCTGTCGTCAATTCTCAAAGGTTCCAAAGGCTTGCTAGCTAGTAGCGCTGCTATTAGTGCCGAAGGGAAAACCTCGCTCTTGTCACCATCTAGTACTAGATTGGGCCTACACATATTTCCGTCTACTGATACACTTGCTTCCCCCAAAGGAAAGGATGTGCAGCCTCTCTACCCAGATCTATCTCGTCTTGCTGTGGATACTCAGACTCTTGAGAGTGTAGGTAGTCCGACACGACCAGAGGCTCGAAGAACGAGGGCTTCAATAGAGCGGGAAAAGGCTGAGGAGAAGCGTAAAGAAAAGGAGGCGAAAGAAGCTCGACGGATGGCCGAGCAAATGGGCAAGCTCGAGAAAGCCCGCGAGAAGGAGCGTGAGAAAGCGCACGTGTTCAGCCAAGAGCAAGAAAGAGTTGCCGCGATGGAGAAACAGGTTGCTGTCCAGAAGGAGCAGGAGAAGAAAACAGTCCTGCAGACCCCTGGTAATACATCGAAATCAGTCCGACCTAGCCCGCGAAAGGCCAAGACGCAACCTGCTACCGAAGAGAAACCAGCCGCTAGCAGTTCTTCTGATGAAAAGCAGGTAGATGATGTTGACATGGTTGACGCACCCAACCCAATGCCACCGCCGTCGGCTCCTCGGTCTATTGCACCTCCTTCGGCTACTAAGGGTCGAGAGATTAAACGGCCTATCAGGCCTGGAAAAGAACCAGTGGCCAAACCGAAGCAGGCGCCCACCGTAATTCGCGTGAATATGGGTTCGCAACATTCTCAATATAATCCTTCCAACAGTTCTCTGTCATCAAGCCTTCATGAGACGCTTTCCCAATCTCAAGGCAAAAATAAATCTAACCAGCTTCCACTACACAAGCAGTCGTTGCAGAGTCTTAAGAGCTCAACGTCATCTTCGGGCCGGCCAAAAGCACTCGACGCGGCGGCCAGAAGGAAAGAGCAGGAAGAACGCGAAGCGCAACGCAAACGTGACGCAAAGGCTGAATTAGAGCGCAAGAGAACCGCCATGCAGGAAGAGGAGAGGCGCCAAGAGCAACAAAGAAGGGCAGAAGCTGAGCGGAAGGAGGAAGAACGAAAACAAGCTGCGGAGGCTAAGAAGAATGCACAGAGACAAGCAATGCTCGAAAGGGCGAAGCAAACTAGAGCTCCCCCACCGGCGGCTAGGAGCCAGCCAAATGGGCCCCCTGACTACAGCCGTGCCGAAGCTTCTATTCCCCGTCCGCCCTCTCGCTTAGCCTCGAATCTGCAACGTTCCCAAGAAGATATTGGACGTCCAGTCAACGCGGTATTGTCGAATGCATCTAAGGCGCCTACAAAACGACCATTGCAACAAGATTATAAAGACGACAACGCCCGCGCAGCCCCCTCCCGTGCCACGACTGGCTACCAGTCAAAAGAGTCGAAGCGAATGCGCATGACTGACGAATTCGACGACGATGTTGAGATAGAGAAGCAGCCAAGCTTAAAAGGGGCGCCTGTACGCCCATCGGGTGGCTATAAAAAGGTAATTTCTTATTTAACAAGATATATGGATAGGAGGCTAACGATTATTAGGATATGCCGACCAAGTCGATGTTTACATCTGGATATACGAATGTGCCGTTGAATAACAGGGATCTATTCAAGACTACTGTAACGAATCAGCACAACAGCCAAGTTAAGACTGCACATCCGTTGGACATGGCTCAGGTGTCTAAGGCTCCTATCCCCTTTGCACCCAATCCAAACGCGGGCGGATCATCTTACAAGACACCTGCGCGACCTCAGGGAGTCATGACTGCCAAGTCCGTCGCCAAGTCAGCAACGAGGTCTTCTCCGCGATTCCAGAATGGCGAGTTGATTGACTTGCCGGAGATTAATACAGACGACGAAGACGATGAAGACGATGATGGTGGAAAGGACATGGTTGCGTCTTGGGCCGACTCACCAAACCTTCGGCAGGCGCTTGTGGAACAAGAGTCCAAAGATCCTTTCCAAGTTTTCGGGGCGCCAGGACCGTTGAATATGGAGGAGGTGTTCGCCAAGAGCAAGGATCGATTCCACAAGTTCCGCGCTCGAACTTCAAGCGCCAACTGGAGCGGCTCCGATAGGCTAACAGAGGAAGATATCCGAAAGGATCTTGCGGCACGTGACAAAATAAGACGGGATGGTGGATGGAGCTATGAAATGAGCCGAGATATGGTATAGAAATTAACAAGGCCGGCTATCACTGGACCCCGCGGGATGGTTTAAAGGAACCAGTTTTAGCGGGAATTATTGCATTGAACAGGTGTTGTTGGTCCACCTTGATCATGGTATTCTATGGCTTGGTTGAGGGTTTTGGCGTTTACGGTATTAGGGAAAGGTTACTACATTGGCGCTCATGGACATATGAGAACTCAAAACGCAGATAGGGTTGGCCTGGCCTGGTCTGGTCTCAACGTAGGGAAATATAACTAAGCCTTGAATGAATGAGGCCTTCCATACTTCATAATGTTTCGATGGTAGCTTGACAACTGTAACATGTGTAAGTATCTATGTGTAAGTATCTGCTTCTGCGGGGGAAAACGTGGTTTAATGTGTCATGACGACTGATGTTTCATTGGGGCAATCTACGGGAGGCGAGATAGTATATACTGACGGAGTTTTATGAAAGACATGCATAAAGGAGCCGACCCTTCGGGAAGCTACCTACGTACCTAGGGTAGGTAGGCAGGTTAGGTAGATACCTAGGCAACTAAGGGCTAGTTTCCGCAGGGCATCAAATCAGATAGGATACCTATTACCCAGATGGGATCTTGACGAAGAGGCGCTAGGATCTGGGTAACATCACCTGCCAGTACTGCTACTTTAGGCAATCAGTTTCGAGGCTGATAGAGGCACTGTCGAGTTTAAACACATATCCCGTATGTCGTGCAAGATCCCGTATAACAAATAATCTTTTTTTTTCCCGATTTGTACGGAGAATATAAAAAGGTAGATTATGCACGCCTACAAAAGTTGACGTCATTTTCAAGCTCCTTAGCATTTTGGGGGGTATTCACCTGTGGTTTAAAACGCCACTTACAATACAGTAACTAGTAGGAATTCATCCATTGTACATATGCATGCCTCACAGATGTATATATTACGTTAGATACCTAGTAAATAGAAACGCTATCAGTCAACTAGAAGCATCGTGGACGGAGTCGATACATTAGGTATTAGATGTTCACCTGCACTATGTGGATGACATGCATTAGGTTATGCTACCTACATCACACGGTCCATTCATCTCGACAAGGGTTACGGCCTTGCACGAGATTTTCATCATCGTCAGCTTTCATATTATTCAAGTCCGTTGATCTATCCTCTTGACCCCTTACCGACGCCAGGGTTAGACGAATCCCTCTAGAAATATACCAACAACACCAAAAACTGAAATCTTCAAAAAGATTAACTAGTGTAATTAGGAGGTAACTTCAGATATTTCGTTTCCCTCGTTTCATTTCCAACTTCAATAACTTCTTTCTATTCCCCACCTGCCAAGTCCCACCAGACCCCACTATCCCACCTTCCTGCAGATTATCCAGGTATTGTTCAGGGCACCGCTGTTACCTTTGATCACCCTAAAACCTTAATACACTTTTACACTATTCCATCCGCGTCACCTAGTTACCCAGTCAGCCCGTCACAACGGCAGAACGGTTAGGTGGTGTATTGATACACGCGAACACACAACTGTAATAATCTACGACTTCTATTTACTTTATTCACCTTGTCCAAAGCCACGTATTTTCCTACTTATTTTCTCCAAGAATTATTTGGAAATTTCTATCCGCTGAGGCTTCAACATATTCCAAAAGCTCCAGCCTCTTCCCCCCCTTCGCTGGTGCCTGTCTCTCGTATCGCGATAAAACCAATCGGGCTGCACTCCTTGGTTACCCAGGTACTCCAAATTTTCCATTCCAGGTATTGTCACCGAAACAAATTACCAAATCAGCTCCCTTAACTTGATTACTCACGTACCTGTCATTCAACTGCTCTTTCATCCTGACATAAATAAACAGCCCTTCGCTTTGGAATGATAGAGCAGAAGATTTTATTACCCTATCGCATGTCGCATATCACCTCTACTCGCTCTAGACTTTTCTCCTAGGGCTGTCATCATGCCGAAGTGGGACAAAACCCGCGATTATTACGCGGACTTGGAACTATCCGCGAGTGCTTCTACCGAAGAAGTCAAAAAGCAATTCAAGAAACTAGGTAAGTTTCGTCCCGAGCCTCTTCCCGATATGTTTTACCATCTGCCCCTAGCTAATTCCGACATATCTAGCCCTCAAATACCACCCGGACCGCAATCCTGGACGCGAAGCTGAAGTCAATCCGAAGTTTCAAACTATCCAGTGCGCCCACGAAATACTAAGCGATGAGACCTTGAGAAGGCAATATGACGATGCCCGTAGGACGTATTCCATACGTAACCCTAGAGGATCTGGTGTTCGAGGTAATCCGTGGCAAGATATCGCCAAGCAGTATCCGCCGCCGCCGACGCGAAATCCAACGCAGAGGTCACCTACCAGACCTCATTCGGGAGCCCAGCGCTACACTAGCTTCACTACGAATATGCCTCGAGCGCCTAAAGCTACCCCTCGAGACGATCCCCAATCTCGCAAGAGCTATGCTGATGCCTGGGAAAATATGAGGCCAAGCGCCTCCCGAAGAGCGCCTCCCCAAACTCCCGGTCGAGCACCAACGTCGGCAGCACGTAATGCAAGACCGTCAGACTCGGAACCCGTCCCGCCGCCCAGAACCGCGTATCAGCAACAGAAGGCCCAGGCAGCGTTTGGTAGTAGGCGGACAGGCTATGTACCGCGTTCCCCTGGACAAGCAGACGAGCCTCCCGTCACGAACAAGAATTACTTTACGACTCGGACGCATTCAGCTATGTTTACCGAAGTACCATCCGATACGACACCAGACGATTCACGCACGTCCAACATGGCAGATCCACTTGCTCAATTTAGGGAGAAAGTTTGGGACGAGCGGCAGAGCATGCCTTACCATTCTCCTGGCGGGGAGAAGACAAGTTTGTTTGACGACGTACCAGGAATAGGACGAACTACGAGCACGCGATCACCTCGCAAAGCAGAGATGCCTGGAGCGTTCCCCCAATCACGTGCCCGAAGTTCTAGCACGCCGCGAAGTTCTAGTAACGACGGCGGATCTGAAGATTCAGGAAATTTTGACAAGGGCACTAAGCCATCAACTAATCAGCAGGTCCCCAGCGGCAATAGTACCTTCGAGTCACGATTTGGCGATAGGTATAAGCAATCGGCCGAGGCGAACGGCGTCTATCCACCGCCCCGACCAGGAGCCGCCGAAAACGCATCGACAGCGGATGCTGGTAAACGTATGTTGCTGATTTAGATTTATGTTGTCATTCCTAGTTTTGAGACTAATTCCGCATTTGTAGCAGGTCCTAGCTCTACCCAGGCTACTAACGGCCCTTCAGTGTATGCACCACTATTTTTCAGTCCTTTCAGCTCACCCAATCCCCAATACCACCATACCAGGCAGACAAAGGACCGCACAAGTAGTTATTTGTCTCGTTCTATTAATGCGAATCGTCATTATCCCATTCCCCAGGTTCACAACCCTTCGAGTGGAGGGGTTAAGGTTAAGCAAGATCCTTACCTACTCCCCGTCGAGCAAAAGCAGAGAAGCGCTGTTGACGGTCTGATCAATAATCGATCGAAGGGTACTCGAAAATCCGGTACTTTTTCATCCGAAGTCAATGATGAAGCCGAATATTACACATCTCCTCCCAAGAAGACCAGGCTCAGTACTGACCAAGAATATTCTTCTAGCTTCACTTTCCCGGCCGCAAGCGACATACACAGCCAGGGCGCTGGGCTCTCCAGAAACAGTGCCGACAGCATCAATACTAGGTTTGTTGATGATGAGCTGCCCGAGGATTGGAAGTTTAGTGCCGGTACGGCCTCAGCAAGCGACCCCCAGACACCAACCAGGGTACCACCCCATACGCGTAGCCGTGTAGGTAGGCGACAAGTGCCGAGATCCAGACATACAGAGACGGATAGCGTGCCATCCGCGCAGAGTGGTGTGGGAAATGGAGTAGGACTTGGGTTTTCAGCTTGGGAATGGAATGACAAAATAGAACCTCGACATTTCGAGCCACAACAGCCACCACGTAGTACTTCTAGTTCTCCGTCTCGCCGCGCGAACCTAAAGAAATCCAAACCCGTTAAAATGACGGCGGGCACGGCCGGATTGGTAGATGAGGAGGAGAGCGAGGGATGGCAAGAAGCCCACCAATCTTCCGGATCTGCGCCAGTTAACATGGATACTGCAACCGCTATGGACATTGACTCGCCCCCGTCGGAGAAGGCCAACGACACCCCCAAGGTGTCCCAGATGAATGGTGCACGCAAAATACCCGTGGAGCCTCACAGAGAAGAATGGAGAGCAGGTAACGTCAACGAAGTGCGTGGCAAGTCTACAAGCCCGACGCGAGACGGAAATACCGCAAAGGGAAATTTCGCCCAAACTTCTGCTCCCGAGGCAGCTTCTATTCCTGCGGCGCACCCCTTCGTCGCCCAGCATGGTGGCTCGGAAGATACTGATGAGTTCCGTACTACATTCTCAGACTTCAAGAAGGTAGAGCCATTTATCGACCCACCACCTAGGGGTCTTGGAGATTTCGGGGATCTGAAGACTACATTGCCCTTCCAGAGCAAACCTTCGGAGCAAATCCCTCTTGAGAAGGAACATCCGCCCAAGCCTACAACGCTCGAGTTCCCAGCTCCGCCCGTCGCTCCACGGCTTCCCCAAGCTGTAATTACGGCGGGAATTCGTCCTAATCAAGTACAATTCAGCAAATATGCCCAGGACTTCTATCAGTATATGGACAAGTGGGAAAGCTTCAATGCTAGAATCATGGCTCATTTCACTACTCGCCAGGAAAACTTCAAGATCCGTCGTCAACAGCGAGGAATAGCGTGGCTTGATACATCCTTGGGGGGTAGCGATGCTGCACGCGACTACCTGGCGGAGCTTGAGCAAGATCAGGTGGTTCGTCAACAGTGGCTCAGCGCCCATGCAGATCATCAGGCCAAGATCCGCGAATTCATGATGTTCAGGGACCAGGTGAAATAGTATTCCCGGCCTTACGAACAGCAGAACTTTAATTTTGTCGATCCTAGGCTATACCGCACGAATGCTGCGCCATTTCGTCCCACCTTCCTATATTCCGGGAAAACAGCTCCATATTGATGGCCAACTGGATCGTGCAAGAATACGAGCCATGGGAAATCTAGGCTATTGATAGAGGCGCTACATACGACACCTTGGGTGTTTATAGACGCGTGGGAATCGGCCATGTTATCATTTAGTTGGCTTAGGTCGATATCGTTTGCCGCCAGTACGATATTTGGCGTTTACTTTTACGGGTTTGGTTACCTGTAGGATAGGTCTGGAGAAGTGGGAACTACTAGAATCACGGAATAGCATGTGAAGTCTCTACCATCTTGTGGGATGAAAGAAACGAATGGCGGAGAGTAGAGAACCCAGTAGCTCGAAAAGAAAGCTACAGGCGTTTATTTCTCCATGGTATAGCCCGGGAAGATAATTCGCACTGACTTGGGGTATGTGAGTGAATGAAGGTCAATAGCCATGACCCGGGAGTTGGCGGGATGGGAAATTTGCTTTTGCTATGAGTTTGAGCTATGAGTTTGAGGGTCGGCAATAGGTAGTCTCGGTCTCGGTCTCGGTCTCGGTATGGCGTTTCGCGGCTCTAGGGGAGGATAGGCGTGCTTGGAATGCCAGGGTGACGATACCGACAGGATACCGATACTACGATATACAGATAATTGTGGGCTCTAACGCTATGCTCGGCACGAGTGCGGCGATAGATAAATACGGATAGGTGCTCTCTTCACTCACGATGGTGTTACGCGCGTTGATTGATTATATCGAAATTGATGAAATTATATCCGGCCTTGGATTTACTAACCGAAATAGGTATATCCATGTGGGCTGTCTTATGTAATCCGGGCCGACTTTAACGCCTAAATCGACACCAGAGGATTGTTGGTATTAGGTACCTATGTATGTATATTACATAAGCCTTTGCTAATGTGCTTCTATAATATCGACCCACCTCGGCGTCGTCATGGCTTGTGATACTTATGTACCTATGCAATTAATATTATGTCATTAAAATTAGAGACGCTACATAGCAGCTGGTTTTCAGACCAGATATGACGCATCCCAACTATCTCTACTGAACAACACAACTGTCAATACATACAGGTAAAAAGACATTTACGCCGAGCTACCTCGTATATCCGACGATATGTTGGACAGCTTCGGAAAATCCACCTCGTGTAAGGGATACATTCACTAGGGACTTTCCCTAGCCAATTAAACCCCGATCGAATGTTCTTACGTAGTCATAGTCGAAATATGATTGGTTGTATTGGTTGTAATAAACGCTTTGGCTCCAAACACATTGGCTCTTATTGGTTATCCTCCCCTCTTATGTCCGCTGCAGGGGACGGATTTGTGAAGCGCTTTCCAACAACATCTCCGCCGGGATGGGAAGCCGGATGACTCAGCGTCGGATCTGCAGCAAAGCTGAGCGAAGGCGCTGCAACCTAGCCTTGGTTGGATAGCCCTATGAGACGGTGATGAGGTGGCTAGTGTAGGTAGCTAGGTAGCTAGCTAGCTAGCTGGCATACCTATTATCGTGGTGCGTAAGTGAGACCAAGTGAGACGGAATAGGTATTTACTTGTCTGTCTACCTTATAAATTACAACATATATATATTTATATTTATATATTTTGTATTTATTTGTACATTGCGACGACCTTCTCACCACCACCCACTTATCGAAGCTTCTATCGTGTGGAATAGAAGATAAAATAATACCTACCCCGCCACATCCACGTCCACGTCCACATCCCTCTCCCCCCTCAAACCAGGCAGCATCCCCACCCCGGAACTATCCAACAACATGGACTCCCTCCCCGAAGAAATCCTCGTCGCCGTCATGGACAAGCTGGACCGCAAGGCCGACATGTCCACCATCCTGAGCCTGCGCGGCGTCAGCCGCAAGTGGCGCCGCGTCGCCACCCCCTACGTCCACATCGCCGTCCAGAACTACCAGCCCCGGGACGGTGGTCACGCCGACGACGCTCCCTGGAACTGGAACTGGAACTTCCACCCCTCTACCGATCTCCTCTGCTACCTCTGCTGGAAGCTCTCGCAGAAGCCGCACCTCGCCCGCTTCGTCAAGGAGGTCGCCTCCCGCCCCTGGAAGGACGCCCGCTGGAAATCCGAGGTTGCCAAGGCCGACTTGGGCGCGCGGTACCGCGGGGCGCTCGCGGGCGTTGTAGGGGCTGCTGCTGCTGCTGTTCCGGACGATGTGAAGGATAGTATTGTCGCCGAGATGCTGTGCGATGCGGGCGACGCGCTGCTCGCGTTCGTGCTGATCCTGTGCACCGACATCGAAGTCCTCATGATCCCGGCTCTCGATAGGGGATGCGGGCCGCGGACAAGACAGGTTCTCCGATGCGCGCACGCCGCGCAGCTCCAGAGTCCGCCGCTGCCGCCGCCGCGGGGGGATGGCCGCGAAGCTATTATGCTCGGCGCCGTCCGACACGTCCAGCTGGGCGACTACGTTAACGGGTTATGCCTCGCGGACGCTCTGGATATCCTCGCCCTGCCGAAGCTGCAGCATCTCGAGCTGGGCAACTTGGGAGATACTACCGTCGACGGCAGCCAGCCTTTACCACCCCCCTTACGCCCCAGGGCTCCTCACCACCTGCAGAACCGCGGGCCGGTCGATATAACGCTCGAGTCGTGCCGTCTCAGTGGGAAGGGCCTAACCACGCTCCTCGCCGCATGCGGCCGCCCGCGCTCCCTCTTCGTCAAGATGCGGACCGGCAACGTGCAGCCCTCGCGAGCGCCGTGTTTCGCCGAGGCGCTCGAGAAGTATGGCCAGGGCCTCGAGTTCTTGTACCTCGACACGACGGCATTTGAAGACGGGTTAGCCGGTGCTACCACCACCACCACCGACCCCCATCCCAACTCCAACTCCGAAACACCCACCACCACCCCAAGCGCCCACTTCCTCCGCGCCCTATCCACCCTAACCCCCACTCTCCGATTCCTAGCGCTATCCCGCGCCGACTTCCCCACGCCCGCGGCCCTAGGAGCCGCGCTACCCGCCTCCCTGCGCGAACTCCTAGTCCTGGAAGTAAACGACTCCTCCGACTCCGATGACGGCGCATACCGGAATCTAGTGCGCGGCCGGGATACCCCTCGGCTAGAGCGCGTAGTGTTGTGCCAGCGCGCCACGTCTAACAGCGACGCGGGCGCCATGTACGACGGCTGTCTGCGGGACAGGAAGTTACCTAGCACGCGGGTGTTGGAGAAGAGCTGCTGTACCGTGTTTACGTGGTGCGTGGGCGTAGACGTGGGCGAGTAAGTTACCTAAACTAAGCAGGTGACTTATGCCATGCCATGTTATGTTATATCGTGCTAGGTCTAGGGCGGAATAGACCGACCGCATGTAAAACTACCTAGGAGGTAGGTAGGTATATATATATATATCTATTTCTGCGTTGAGCGGAAAGAAATAAACACCAAGGAAGAGGATCTGCTTCGGCACGCATAGTACATATGTAGTGCTTAAGCCGCAGCTTTGTATTATAATTAACCTAGCAAGCTAGTTAGTCTTTTCCGCTTGCTTGCTTCGCTATTCAGCTCTCGGACGGCCATCTCGATGGAACAGCCAGTACCTAGGGCGGTAGATACCTACCTATGTATGTATGTAAGATATAAAAAAGGAAGAAGAATAAACATATGCATATGTAATCTCCTAAGCTAACCGCGCGTTATTATATATCCTAACTACCCAGTCAGTACATAGGTAGTCGTGACATGACGTATAATGAATACTCCTTTGAACCGGGTATATATATTATTATTTAGTATGTGATGTGATGTGATGTGATATGGTCTTAACAGGTAGATATTTATAATTCGTAAGGGTGCTTGCTATAAAATTATAAGAATGGCCCTAGTTAAAAGAGAAAGTTTGTAAGATACCGAAGGGATGAAATGGGTTAAGTAAGATGTAAGAAAGGAGGGGAAAGTTAGCCGCAAATCATCGCTGGCGTATACGCGTATAGGTAGGTATATATAATAAATTGTGGCAATCTCTAATTCGCCCCGTCCAAACACGACTTCTTAAACAGCCGATTGTGTCCAAGGTCCTTTCTCTTACCTCAGCTGATCAATAGGTAGTATGCGGGAATAAATTCGACATTTGACGCAACCATATGAATAAACACTTAAACCTCGTAATCTTAATCACTCGAGGTTTTTAATGAAGCAAGGCAAACCAGACATACTTTTTGTCAAAGACAATCCATTTATTTAGGACTATATAATCCACCGCATCATCATATTAACCCTAGGCGTCGAAACTGAATTCGTTCATGCAAAGGGCATAACTGATCCTGACCTGAAATGTCTCAAGGTAACCGGTAACCATCGCTACCGCCATTCCATTCCATAATGTTTCATTTCTCGCCCAACGTAAGCCGCAGTAAATTAAATCAACGGCGCAAGCAAGTGCTGCATTTAAAATCGTCCCTTTTTAAAAGACCATTCATTTTCCCAGCGAAACGCCGAACCCGTGGATGTAAATCAACGCATCAAAAAAGCCCTATCCGTTTCCTTTACCAGTCGATAGGGTCCTTCAGTTCCTGTCCGCGATTTGTCGCAGGTACCGGAACCGGCTTAACCGCCAATCGGCCGCCGCGTCCTTTCCTCTTCAGGTATCCCGTGCCATCGACCCAGGGGGTCCTAGCAGAGGCCTTCTTCTCGTAGTCGACAATCTTGTCCTCAAGTTGGAGGGTTAGGCCGATATCATCGAGACCGTTGACCAAGCAGTGCTTGCGGAATTCCTCGACTTCGAATCCGCAGAGCTCGTTGCCGGCAGCGTCGCGGATGACTTGGTTGGGAAGATCAACTTCGATCTCCTTACCAGCACGGGCTTCCGCGGCAATCTTGTCGAGGTCGGCCTGGTTCTTGATGGCGATGGGTAGCATGCCGTTTTTGAAGGTGTTGTTGAAGAAGATGTCGGCGAATGACGGAGCAATAATACATCGGATGCCGAAATCGTTCAAGGCCCAAGGAGCGTGTTCTCTTGAACTACCACATCCGAAGTTAGGCCCTGTGCAGACCAAGACCTTGGCATTCGTCCATGGTTCTTGGTTAAGAACGAAATCGGGGTTAGGCGTGCCATCCTCGTTGAATCTTGAATCGTGGAATAGAGCAGTACCGAGACCAGTTCGCTTGATAGTCTTGAGGAACTGCTTGGGGATGATGGCGTCGGTATCGACATTAGATCGGTCTAGGGGAGCAGCAATTCCCCTGTGGACGGTGAATTTGGGTAGACCCTGGGAGCCGGCAGCCTCCGTAGCAGCGGTGTTAACATGCGGCGAAACGTCCTCAGGCTGATCAGCAAGTCTTTCCTTGGCGGTGTCGTCATCCTCGATGCTCTCATCGACGTGCGCCTTGCCCGACGATGTTGTAGTGTTTAATTTGTAAGCTTCAATATGGGGGCTGGCCGTATACTCAGTCAGCTTTCGGACGTCGGCAAGCTTGCCAACGATGGCAGCCGCCGCCGCCATGACTGGGGACATCAGATGTGTCCTACCCTGAGCACCTTGTCTACCCTCGAAGTTTCGGTTGCTCGTGCTCGCACATCGCTCCTTAGGTGATAGAATATCAGGGTTCATGCCAAGGCACATGCTGCATCCCGCTTCTCTCCATTCAAACCCGGCATCGAGGAAGATTTTATCAAGGCCCTCAGCTTCAGCTTGGTCTTTGATGACTCCGGAACCGGGTACAATCATGGCGCGTTTGACGTTATCGGCCTTCTTCTTGCCCTTGACGACTTGAGCAGCAGCTCGGAGATCCTCGATTCGCGAGTTTGTGCAGGAACCAATGAAGACCTTGTCAACAACAATCTCTTCCATAGGAGTGCCGGGAGTGAGGCCCATATATTCGAGCATCCTTCGGCCAGCTGCCTTCTTCGCGTCGGTCTTGAATGTTTCCGGGTCGGGTACAACACCGGTGATGGGGATGACGTCCTCGGGACTTGTACCCCAGGTCACAGTTGGGATAATATCCTTGGCATCGATTTGGACATCAACGTCGTACTTAGCGCCGGGGTCCGACTGGAGAGTCTTCCAGTACTTGATAGCACGATCCCATTCGGGCGTGCCGTAAGGAGGAGCCAGAGGCTTGCCCTTAAGATACTCGAAGGTGATATCATCTGGGGCCACCATACCAGCTCGGGCACCGGCCTCGATTGACATGTTGCAGATAGACATACGAGCCTCCATGCTTAAGCTACGGATGACCGAGCCGCAGAACTCAATGACACAGCCAGTGCCGCCAGCGGTTCCAACTAAGCCAATAGCGTGGAGAACGACATCTTTGGAGCTAACGCCAGGTGCCAGCTCACCTTCGACTTGTATCCTCATATTCTTGCTTCTCTTGGTGATAAGGCATTGGGTGGCTAGGACGTGCTCGACTTCACTGGTACCAATACCAATGGCGAAGCAGCCAAAAGCACCATGTGTAGAGGTGTGGCTGTCACCACAGACCAAAGTGGTACCGGGAAGGGTGAAACCTTGCTCGGGGCCGATGACATGGACAATGCCCTGACGTTTGTCGCCTAGACCGAAGTAGGTGATACCGAACTCTTTAACGTTCTCCTCCAGAGTTATGCACTGTATGCGGGAGTCGTCTTGTTCGATGAAGGTGGCAATGTCCTTGATGCCTTTTCGGGACTTTGTGGGAACATTCTTGAATTAAAAGTTAGCTTTGTCTAGCCAATGATCTATAGGAGGTTATAATTAAATAACATACGTGATCTGTGGTGGCAAGAGTGCAGTCTGGTCGTCGTACGTGGCGTCCTGCATTCTTTAAGCCTTCAAAGGCTTGCTATGGCTCCAGTTAGATTTTGCATGTTAAATACAAGTTCCGCATGTTTGAAGTATCACGTACAGGTGAAGTGACCTCGTGGACAAGGTGTCTGTCTATTTGACAAAGACAAATTAGTATAACTCTCAAGCAATTCCTAATTGGGTGTCGCATACCGATATAGATAAGGACTGTGCCGTCGAGCCTCTCATCCACGACATGAGCAGCTAGAATCTTGTCGTACAAGGTCTGCGGAGCACCTTCGGCAACGGGCATCTTGAAAAGAGCTTTGAAATACTAATACTATTTCCCTTAACTTCGTGACCCCCTTGAGGAAAAGCTTTATCTCGGCGCACACGCACGCTGAAGTCCGAACGAGAGGAGGTAGGTTAGGTAGATATGAATAATAAAAGAAACTACGTCGTGAGAAAGTAAGGGAAAAGGGAGGGAGAATCACTAAGACAGGCGGCTGACCGGTTGAAAATCTATAAATGCGGGGAGAGGCTTTAAATAAGTTATTAGGGAAAGAAGAGAAGCATGTACAAATTGAAGTTCAAAGGGAAGGCGGCGACGCCGGCACAGGAACGCTCTACCTTAGGTAGGTACAAACGACGTTCACTTCTTTCGTTTCGCATTTTTTCCTCTCTTTTGCCTTATACGGTCCGCCGAACATCGGAAGGAGGACCCTGCTCTCCGGTAGCGGGGTACATATGTATGTACCGGTAGGGATGGGATTTGAATCTGTGGAACTGTGATTGGTTGGTGCGAGGGCAGTTGCGAAGAGGCCAGCGAAATGCCATGCCTAGAAACACCCCGCTACCCCACGTGAGGGGCCTTCGGTGCGAGTAAACTGCAAAAGTATTGTATGTACATATGCTGATGATTGCATGCAGACAGATACATATGCCTTAGGTACCTAAGTATCTAACATAGGTAGGTAGAGGTAGGTACCCATATCGGACCCAAGAACACTTTCTCACGGGGCGGCATATAATTTAATTCTCCATTCCCTATCCTCCTATCCAGCACTAAGTACTCTCGTATTCACTATAAATAAATAAAAAACCCCCAAAATAATATTCTCAAGGCAAGGGCGGTAGTGTAAAAGACATAATCTTGATTATAGGTAACACGAATTCGGACGCTCACAGTAAAAATCCCCCAATTGCCTCCACTCGGAGATGAGAGGTGAGATACTTATGATGTCACGTCGGTAGCTCCAGGTCTTTACCTAGTCCAATGAAATTGCCCTCATAAAATCTATAACTTCGTAGGGAGGTGCCAAGGTGGTACAAAGATCCCTGGCAGATCAACCACGCTCCGCTCTTTCTGTGCGATGGTGAGGGTACAGCGGTACATGTACAATACCTACACTAAGGTTGCCCATTTTAGAACACAGGCACACATTCCTACACCGCAGAATATATACCTGCAACTATGTACCTGCAACCACCTGCACTATCCGAACCATACCTGCATCTCTCTTCCAGACTTCGGATAAGTCTCGTGCGAGTCGTGCGGGCTTTTAAATAAGAACCCTCCAGCCTTCCCAAAAAAATACAATAGCGAAATCGGGAATCGGGAATCGGGACGCGAAGCTATTGCTGATTTTCCATAAAACTACCTCTAATGAATGCGGTATATATATACACCGCATCTTTGGCTATGCATATTAAGTACCTACTACTGCTACGTGGTATGCATTGTCCATGTGAGAAGCCCCCGATTTGGCGGACCGGTGACCCTCCGATGTTTGCCGTCGAGCCTCTCCCAAGCTCCATTTTTTGCTTCCGTCGGGACCATCGGCTCTAGTCGGAGCCTCAACCGTCTAGAACAACCTACTGCCCCAACCGCCCCATACCTATGTCCGAATACCGCAGTCGACTACTAGCCCGGTCTCCAAACATACCTAGGTAGGTATGTACTATAACCCCGTACATAGTACAGGAATATCAGCCTATTGATCAGCCTATTGTACCGTGGTAACCCTTAAGGCTTAAGGCGTCATCGCTCCAAAAGCCACCAGAACAGCCTTGACATGTACCAACCGCACAATGCCCCGACCAGGCAGAATAACCCCGCCGATGTGAGAACGACCGTATCTCTCCACGTGCTCTCCTTCCTGTGCCTCCTCCTCCACAGATCGCTTCGCGGATTGAAAGCCGGCCGCACTATGGTCCACCAAGTACATGTTAGACCTAGGAATACTATGTAGACCGTCTTACAGAATCGTACTACCCTTACGGATGCGTCTCGTTTGCCAACAAATCCTTCCGTAACCCCTTTTTTATGTTGTGCCTTATTAGTAGTCTTCTCATCCACCTCGATGTGTTCAGGCTTGGAAGGAAGCTCGGTGCCTGCGCCTTCTTCGCCGCGGTGTTTCTTCCTCGGTCGTTTTTGAAGCGACCGCTTCGGCTCCGTCGTCGTCGTTTTGCCGTTGGAGACTTGCTTTCTTACCGGACTGGGAGTTCTGCTCCGGTTGCGGCTTACTTTGCGGTCGCCCGATCTGCTTCTTGCTATTTCCTTGGCTCTTGAACGCAACATGGCAATTCGTGCCGCCTCTTCTATTATGATCTCCCTCGGTGCCTCGTATGATAGGCGCTGATGTACTTCTTGCGAAGTTATTGTTGGCGTTCGAGTCATACTTGAGCTGCGACTCTCTCGGTTGATTCTCTCGGCTCGTTCTTGTCGGATTGTCTTCTTGGTCTTTGAGTGATCGGCCTTTTCTGTCTTGGTCATTTCTGTCTTCTCGACTGCGTCCCCGTCCTCTGACACGTCCATTTGATTCGTTGTGCCATTCTTTTGGACGAGACGGCAAAGCCCTGGAGTTGTTTGTGGGGAAACTCTGGCCGGCTGCTTCTTCTCTGGCGTCACACGGCGAGTTGATGAAATACCGGTCCCTGGTATCCCTTGGGCGCGCTCGGGATTCGGCAAGCTGTTCTGTGGCGTTGTGGGAAGGGAAGACGTCCTACGTTCCTCTGGTATTAGGTCTGGCGTCATGCAAGGGTCGCGCTGATGCAAGGACGCCGGGGTCGCCGAGCTGTCCATAATGTTTGTTGTGCCGTCTATCTGACTGGCTTCGACACATAGTTTTGGCTGCGGGGTATCGGGTTGGCTCTGCTGAGCGGGAACGCAGCCAGTAATGGTGGTGGTGGGTGTGGACACAGATTCTCTCCGGGCCCGCTTGAGGTGGTTTTCCGCGCGGTGTAACATCCTGTTTGCCTTCTCTAAGCTGGCCCTCCCTTGCGGGCCCGGCCGTGAAGGCTGGCTCTGGCATACTGGAGCGTCTGCTGGTAAATTGTTGACCGTGCGATCTTGAAGTTCGTCGAAAGTCGGAGGTGACATATGGTGCTTCTCTATGTCCTTGGTGTGAACGGTAGCTAATAGGTTTGGAACTAGTTTGCGGTGGATCGGGGACCGTCTCATTATGTCTCTCAGCTTCGAAGAGGATGAGATCACTGGTGTTGTATTTGTGCTTTGGCTGACTCTCCCGTTCCCCTGTGAGTATACTAGATTTGTGGTCGAGGAGAGTGCCATCTCGTTCATCCCCAAAGAACTTGGATTGGGCGTTGTCAACGGCGGGTCTTCTAAAAACGTCGACTGGTTGTCGGCCGTGTCTACTGGTTCCGGTGATAGGAGATGGAGACGATAATCCGGGATCGTTAGGTCGGCGAAGTGATCCTCGCGAATGTGCTCGATCGAACTCGATATCGGATTCTGGGCTGCCATGGACACCACGATCCCTCCTTTGTGAGCTGTACTTAATTTTCCCGGGTCTGTCTCCCGTCGGCGCCTCCATAAAAAATGCCTCTCGCTCTTCGTCCGTACAACGTTCGGCTGCTCAGCGTCGAGACGTATCCCTGACGGCTGGGTGGCTGGCCTTGTGAGATACGCAGGTTCGAAATTAACATCTGGTGAGTTATGAATAATAGTGTCGGTAGATTGGTTAAGCCGCCTACGCCCCTGAGGCTGTGTGCTATCGTAACTAAGCCGTTCGGCTTGGTCTGGTAAGGTAATCTTTGATACTGGCGGACGATTAGGGCGAGAGAAATTTGGAATAGCTGATGTGATATCCTCAGGATCTGATAGGAAAGAGTCAGTGGGGAGCTTCGAAAACAATAAACTAGATGCCTCACTGCTTCTAAGCGCCAAACTGTCTAGAGACTGGGCAATCGGACTGAGGTTGGGTTCGGCGGCGGAAGACCAGTTGCGCTTGTGCTGGCTCCATTTGGCGAATTGGTGCTGACGTCTAAGCTCTTCCTTCACACGTTCGATTTTGTCGAGTTTCGCCTGGTCCCTGTCTAGCCTAGCCTTATCCTTCTCTTGCTCTTCCAATAGCCTAAGCTGTTCGTACTCTAACATCGCGGCTTTCTTCTTCCGCGCCAACCCGGCTAGCTTCGTACGCGTCGACGTGCTGGTCGTCTCAGAGCTAAGAGTGTCCGTAGGTGTAAGGACTGAGAACTGTCCCGAGTATGGATCAGCACCTTGTACACCTAGCCAATCCCCACTCTCCTTTAGGCTCCGTCGATTTCTCCTGGTTTCTTCCTTGGACTGGAGTATCTCGTGTACTTCGGTCCTTGTCAGCGCCTCCGACTTTCGAGGTGGCTGAGATTCACCATCTGAAACTTCCGGAGCTTGTTCATGCCAACGGGATCGGCCCCTTGGTAAGTTCTCAACGAACCTAGAGTCTCTCTTTTGCGGGCTCCAGCTCCAGACCCGGCGGTGACTAGGTTCTTCTGGCCCGCTTGTCGATGTATGGTGTGCGGGAAACTTTTCTTTAGCAAGGTTCCAACCGGTCAGCTCGCTACGGCTCGTCCCTACCGCGTTGTCGTTATCACCCGTCCAGTCCGTGCGGCGGGTGCCTCCTTGTTCTGGACGGTTACTCGGTAGGATCTTGCTGAAGAAGCCGGCGAGCGAGGATGCCTTCTTTTGGGACGACGGCTGCTCGGCGTTGGCAACCGAAGACCTCGAGGGGCTCATCCTTCTTGACCTACGCTGCCGGATCGGTGGTGGTGGTTGGCTCTGGCTCTGGCTCGTGGGAGATGCGGATGATGCGGGAGAAGAAACGAAAAGCCAATCGGAGCTCAAACTACGTGGCGACGACGATGAAAATAATGATGAATACCGACCACGTCCTCAAGTTGCCATGCTGCTGGACCTTCTAGACCCGGACGACAGGGAGAATCGTGGTTACCCGCCTGAGAGGGGAGGGAACAGACGTGAAACGGAGCTAAAGAAATACCGTTCGTGTTTCTCTCGCCTATGAGATCAGACAATCCCGGCACGCAACTGCCAGAGACCGTTCAGGTGGATAGACGAGCCAAGGTTACCTAGGAAGGATCCGATTAAGACGTAGGGGAATGTGCGGCCTAGGTTTAACAAATGAGGGATATCGGCATTTGTCTGAGGTTAGTAGGTATAGAAGGCATAAGCATTTAGGTTCTAATCCCAACTTAAAAGGGGGACATGACCCGTTGAAGAAAGTCAATAAAAAAAGGGGAAGTACGTCAACGGCTATTACATTAATGCCGCCGCTATTTTATTTAGTTCTCTGTAGATGCAGCCCGTATTGGTACAAATGCCAGTGAATGTAGAAAAAAGTCCTTAACGTAGGCAGTGTAATGCAATAGACGCCGTGCCCATCCCATACTCCCCTAACCTGCTCCTAATGTTGATGCATAACCCTCAAATATCACAGACCCTCTATCGCCACATGGAGGGATATCTCTCGTACGATGTCGGTTGGGTCCGTCCCCAACTACCCGGCTGAGAGCTCGTCCCAGTGCTTTTCCTAATGCTCTTCATAGGACTAATACTACGGTCCCTCGCCGATTGGTATTGCTCGAGCTGAGCCATCTCGCTGTTATTACGCGGTGATCTAAACTGAAGCTCGCCTAAACTAGGGCCTTTCTTCAGGGGTGATTGTGGGTGGGTATATACGCCCATATATCCTCCATCACCTCCGTGGTTACCGGTGTTGGTAGAAGAGGAAAGAGCGGAGGTATAATTCGTAGAAGTTCCCAATTGGGATGAATTTGCGTTAAATGATGTGGAGAGGCCTGATGTGCCTCTCCGATGAGGAGGCTTGGCACTAGCTAGAGGAGTGCGAGCCCTAATATCACTTCCTAGACTGTCCGTATATCTCTTTGATGCAGTAGGGGTAAATAGTCCGGAACTGCTGTTGGAAAAGCCACTGCTACGATCCGGATCAATATGTTTGACATAGTTGGGGTTCGGTCGCGTTCGGAAGCCTCGTCGAAGCTGAACAGTAGGCGTGCCAACTTGTATATCCTCATCACGGTCATCCCCCTCGTCATTCTGCGATATTTGCGTTGCCACATCCCTGACCGTAGGATATAGATTGGGATGGACGAATTTGGTATCGTATTCGTGCATGACCTGTTTTTGGATAATAGCCGTGTCCTTGTTTTGCTGGGTAAATCTGTTCTGAAATAGGAGCAGCTGTCCTGACAGGATGAACTGCAATATGATGCAGTTCAGAACAGTAATGCTTGGCCTCGTATCCAAAGGGGCCAGCGGTAGAAACATCATGTAAACCAAAACGTGACCGGGACTGAACAAACAAAATATCTGCAGACAAATCGGCAACGGGTCCCAAACCGACACCTCCCACACATCTCGGCTTCGGTCGGGATGCGCTCGCGACTCGGCACTCTCCGAACCCATCAGACCCGTTAATAATCGCAGAGGCGACGACGATACGGGGGAGGACTGGACGCGGACGCGATGCGCCGAAGGGGTTTCGGGTTGCTTCTCCACATCTGCTTCGAATAGTCGGTAGTGACGGGATCGGTACATCGTGTAGATCGCATTAACGACCGAGAAGCCAGCCAATGACCAGACCATAGTGCCGACCTACAATGCAGCCATCAAAACGTGGTTAGCAATCCAATCCAGCTCGAAGCTACCCACGGACCCAAGAACTTACAAAGAAGGTAACCCAACCAGGCACCGAGCTATCTTCGAACACGGGATCTGCAGCGTGAGTAAGACCACTATTGGCCCTGGCGAGCAGGAAAGCGAAGTTCATAGCCACGCCCATCTGAGTGCCGACAAGCTTAGAGTTCCAATCGCGCGTCTCGATCTCTTCGGATAGCCACAGTAGGAAATCCATAGGGTTCAGCATCGCCTTGACACGCTCCGCGAGCGGTCTCCGACGCACCAGTCGCGGCGGCATCGTGTTCTGTAGTCGACTTGGGAAAGGGGGGAGAACAACAGCAGAATACCGAAGCTCACATGTGTGGTTTGATTAAAGCTGCAACAAAAATCTACGGCCTGGCGATGATTTGTCTTTGAGCCTTTGTTGCTCGGTTGTCTCGTTTTTGGATAGGATGATTTTTTGTTGACCTGAAAGAAAAGGCGGCAATGGAAGGTCGCGAACGTAGATGGAAATTTTGCGAAGACGCGGATCCATTAATCGGAATCTACTGTGTACTAGGGTGCTGCAAGCTTACATAGCTACCTGCTAGGCGCATGAAATAGCGGCTGCTAACTGGCTGGATTAGGCGGGTACATGCCTAGGAGGTATGTATGTAGGTACCTAGTGTACCTTAGGTAAGTAATGGCGGGGTTAGGTAGGGGCCAGTTGGGACTGTGTTGTAGCCGTAACTTAGGCGGTAAGACAGTAAGAGCTCTCTTTTAGCGGTTATCAATGTTCTACTTTCCAAGGTCGCAATTGTACAATACCTTATTACCTGTACATCATCAATAGGTATTATCTTGAGCTCACCAGCCTGCCCCTATTGACTAAAGCCCCTACGATTTCGACTGGACCACGTCCTCGCTGCCTAATTCTAATTGACTCATAACGATGGCGTCTCAGGCAGACTACAAGGACAGGCAGTTCTTAGCTGTCATTGGGGACGAGGTGTGCACAGTCCCTCGCATAAGTCAGAACTCCAGAATACTAATTATAGGAATGACTAGGACACGATCACAGGCTTGCTATTAGCAGGAATAGGTGTAAGTTTTCTTATCTCTAGTTTACTTTACACTTTTTTTCTAGTCAATATACGGTTCATTTACTCTAAGCCGGGCGTTTGACGTTTGTTGACAAGTATAATTAGCATGTCACAAACCCTCCGGACTCCCAGAAGAACTTCCTAGTTGTCGACAACAAGACGGAGACATCAGCTATCGAAGCTGCCTTTGAGTCATTTACGACCCAGCGAAAAGACATCGGTATCGTATTGATTAATCAACATGTCGCCGACAAGATCAGATATCGAATCGATACATACACATCTGCCTTCCCTACTATACTCGAAATCCCTAGCAAGGAACATCCGTATGACCCTGAGAAGGACAGCGTGCTAAAAAGGGTACGACGTCTTTTTGGAGAGTAAATATTATTTTGAAAGGGGCTTTCAACAACGGTACACTACTCGTACATAGGGCAAAGGCGGGATTGTATTATAGCCGTCATTTTCAAGCATGATCGGTTTACGATATCCAAGTAGCAGAGGTTTAAGACCATAATCCAAGGACTCAAATATTCCCTCGCAGGGGTATCATTGCATATGCGCGAACTAATGCTAAAGCCATCTGATTACGTGCCGTTACCATGCGGTATCAAAGAAACATTGAAACAAATTTGCGGAAACAAAATCAAACTGTGCTGTCCTCGAGTCCATTAAAAATCCAGACGTGGCAAAAAATATGCCCTTACGTCCATCAAAAGAGTGCCATGTACTTCGTGATCGTCAACCCTGTTGCAATTCGGACCTGCCTTCAAATGATGATATGATAACACCAGATCCATCTCGGTAGTTAAGGGGCCATTTAAAGGTCACCGTCGCCCATGGTGTCGGTGTCGACGTCCTTCTTGCTGCCGCCAAACTTCACCGTAGCCTGAAGACAGGTGATAGGCTTGCCCTCGGCGGTGGCGACATCGGCAAAGACGTTATATGTTCCCTGTAGCCCTTGTTAATACCAGCATCCAATTCATTCGTTGTATGTGGGTTTAAACGTACCGGAGGAACCTCCTTGGGAATATCAACAGACTTGGTGATAGATAGGATACCCTTCTCGATGGGGCACTCGAGATCAACGTTCCCAATCTGTTCGCAGAGGTCGGCCCTGGTGGCAAGGAGGCGGATCAGACCGTACTTGACGACGATGTCGACGTAGGCGCCTTTTTCGATACGTTCGAATACGGTTCCCGTGGCGCGGATAACCAGCTCAGCACCACTATACACATCATCATTCATCAGTTAGCAGAGAGGCCTTTATTCAACACGGCAATTCCATCATCATCAAACCAGACACACGTACGACTCAGGAGGATTCGGTAGCAAATCGACGTTCTCAATCTTGATAATATCCTTGCTGTGGTCCGAATCGCAGAACTCGAGGGGAGAGTCACCGGGGACCTTCTGCACGTCCTTGATGACGACTTCTTGGGATCCGCCAAACCAGCCTCCAGCCGAGGCCAGGCTAGCGGACATGGCAGCCACGCAGGCGGTAGAGAATCTCATTGCGAATTGAGGTGATAAAACTCTTTTGATTATGTGACAAGATTTGCTTGGAGTAAGTCAAGCGAAGAGGAGTTTATGTTTTATGGTTTCGGGTCACACTTTGTAGATAGGTAGGTAACTAACTGCTCAACAGAAAGTGGGTGAAGGTATGGAAGAGGCAAACAGTGGATTGCGATAAAGCTAAGGAGGCTAAGGAGGCCTATGCTACATGTGCTACATGCTACGCAAGGTTGGGGGTGGGCACGTCATGAGACGACTATATGACGCTTTGATTGGTTGAATTGCCCTAGCCTTGACACTTTTCAGCAGCCACCTAAAACATTGGCTTATGTAATTTACATACCTGAGCTTCACGGTTGTTGAGATGTATTTTTATGATGAGGTAGCTTAGACAAGTCTACTTTTTCTTTTTGCCCAACTTTTCTTTAATAGTATAGCCAAGCAACGAATTCATTACAACAAAGGACCATCATATTTTAATACTATCGTCTTCATTATTATAGTCAGGAATTAACCTGACGCTCGCAAAACTTCATTGGAAGGGTATAATAGACATTTCAGTACTCCTGTAAGCGATATCCTTAATCATCACTGACTTCAACAACCTAAAACGAAACCTCCATCCTAATACTGGTGATTCAAATTTGATATCATAGCCCGAAACAGAAGACAAGTTCGAAACAACCATGGAGAAAGCCATAGTAGGACTAAATCTGCATTGTAGTGATTCTTGAGTGAGTCTGGTATCTCATACCACGAGGCTTAAACCTCAAACATTCAGTTTAGTAATAGACCTTTTCCTCCCAAACAGGTGGTCGCACAGTCTCCGTGTCCCATTCTAGTTTGTTCTTGTCGCTTAGTATACATCCCTCATCTGTGATTGGGATCACCTTGCTAGTATCCCGGACCTCTTGCTTCGAGATGCCCATTGGGTCCTGGGGGATCCAAAGCAGCGGAGAAGCACTGCTGACCGAAGGTGGGAAGTAGGCGTTGCGTTCAACCTCGTCTGTGTAAAAGTTATTCGGGTCGACCTGGTCATGAGGCACAAGCTTGCGCAACGTTTCATAATCGCAGTATTGCCACGGCTTCAGGAACTTGGCTAAAAACCCTGGCTTCTTCCCCGCAACAGCAGTATCACCAGAGGATATCTTCTTGGCATCCAAGATACCATCCCGTTCACCGTTTTGGACAGTAGAGTAGCTAGCGTCTCGAGTGGGACTCTCCACGTGCAAGGACTTTGATTCCTCCTCAGCCTCAAGAGTCCGAGGGAGGTTATAAAGTAGGGGGTCGATAGCGCTGTTGATAGTTACGTGGAATAGAATAGTAAAAATGAGGAATGCTATCATAAGAATCAAGGGGCCGATGGCCACCGAGGTAGCAAAAATTCCAATCATACACAGCTCGGCGATGTAGATGCCGGAAAAGAGCTGTTTCAATGCTCGAGGATATATTAAGCCCCGAGTGTCGACAGCCGTGTCCGTGACAAAGAGAACATTGTAACGCCATGCGAGGTAGAATAGCGAGAGACCGACAGTGGCGAAACCAAGCACCAATGGCGCGATGGCAGCGTACGTAATACCTAGCACTATTAGTTATATGAATTTTAAAGGTCAAGTCCGTCAAAGAACTTACTGATCACGGCGATATTGGTGTATACCGGCAATACGCTACCCCAAGATATGGCGCTGAGGTTTGCCCACTTATTATAGAGAGCACGTGGTGTCCCTGCTAGGAACTTGTACATGAGCGTGAAAATTACGAATCCGGCAACCTGAGCGAGCACGCTTGCGGCGACGCCCAGACCCTGTACGATGAAGTATGAGATGTAAAAGTTAGAGGCTTTGGGAAGGTTCTCCGCTAGAATACTTGTAACCGAGCCAGGGTTTTGGTATATTTGCGCTGCGACAGCTGTTGCTGATGATGCGATCGTTACTACCAAGAAGCCTTGAATAAGCTGGAAAAAGAAGTACGCGTTCTGAGTGAATAGCTCGACTCGCGACAGGGAAGGCTCCCCTGAGAGCTTGGCACATACTATATCCAAGTGTTAGACATATAAGACAACACACGGTAGAGGATTTAAACTTACATCTCATGATTACAGGTACAAGCGACATGAGAATAGATAAGGCAACACTGGGTAGCAACCCCTGGATGAATCCCAGGACGACGTCAGGGATCGACAGGAGCCATTTAAGGAAGAAGACCTGGTTAGCAAGATATGTGATATTCGAAATTGCACCGACCACAGCGACCGGAACCGCCCAGAAGACGATGAGTACGGCGATGAAGCCAAGTACTGCGAATCTTCGGACAATCCTCTGCCACCATGAAACCTTAAGCGCACCCCAGACAATTTCGCCAGGCGTGATGCCGATATATTTGGGTGTCATTTGTAAGGCCTGGTGATGTGACAAAACCTGGTAGGCTGTTTCGGCGTCTGCCTGGCGGTAGAACTCGATGAAGACACTGGGGATCTTTTTGAATTTTCCAGTACGGTATTCTCCCTGCGCAGCCTCGACAGCCGGGATGATGCGTTCAAGCTCAGCCCGGCACCAGTTAATAGTGTCGACCTTTTTGCCTACAAGACCAAGGAATCCAAGTCGGTGGGTGGGCCGTTTCTTCTCGGGAACCCAGCGAGCAGCTAAGCTACCCGACTCCGCGTCCACGGGTACTTCAGCTCTCTCGTTGTTAGAACCCCCTTTCTTAGCCGACTTGATGCGTTGGGCATTGGCAAGCTTTATCAGCTTTACCTCGGCCTTCTCTAGTTTCATAGCGACCTCGTCGCGTTCCTTAACAAGATCGTCAAGCTTCTCTGTGTCACCCGTGATCCAAACATGCTTAACCGAGTCGCCGTAGACTTTGCGTAATCTAGCCTCATCCAGATATTTGTCGGGAACGGAAACGAAGAGCACAGTTCGCGATGAAATGCGGTTAGCATAGAAAGGCGAAAGCAAAAATGCCTGTCGCAAGTTGACGTAGAATATGGATTCGCGTAGGATCATGTACATGACAAACCCGTAGAAGATCCAGGCCATAAAGGTGTGGGCATAGTAGCGGCTCGACTGCGTGTCCTTATCAACGCGAGCGTAAGAGAGCATATCTACCTGCAAAGCAGCTTGGTTGCTCCCCGTGGCGTTCACGGGGAAGAGCACCGGCCATAGTATACAGCATCCCGCGAAGCAGATGGTGACTAGAATACGTAAAAACCGGAGGAAAAGATAAGCATCTAAGGATTGATGCTGTAATGCATGGACATCAGGAATCTTCCAAAATGTGCTAATCCAATTAAACCAGCCATTGGGAAGAACTGGCGATCGCTCGCTAAATTATAAAGAGTAAGCACGTAAATCTAGTCATAGAGCATAGAGCGGGCGGTTTGCTACGAAGCTTTTAACTCACCTAGGACGAAGACTTCCTAGATAGGTTCGAGGAGCATAGTATCGCCTCTGGCTCTTTCGCAGGATCAGGAATATGGTGAAATAGACGCCGGCAGTCAAAGCAACAGGCCCGAGAGTGAGGTAAAGAGCTATTCGAATACGTTAGCAATTTTCAATTGGCCTTGAGCATGTGATTGCGCTGGTATCCTACAAGCAGCCGACGCTGGCGGAGTGTTATTAGGGTCGGTATTAGAGTCGCTCATCCTTATTGTTGATGATGCCTCTACCTACTCAGTAGGAGGCGTAGGTAGTTATTATGATAGGCCGAGGAGATGGATGTTAATTAATCCAATTGACCATGCCGACTGTATTTTTTCAACAGCTGCGGGCGGTGTATAGAAGAAGAAACAACAAAGGTAGATTACAGCAGACGTAGGCGGCTATGTACGTGTAACTCTGTAACTCGAGCTAAAAAGGAAACTATCGGCTCCAGCAGATCGTCAGTGATCGTCGTTCCGTAGATCTGGGATATGTATCATGAATGTCACTCCCTATCAAAGGAAAAGCGATATAGTAGACAAAAAGAAAAAGAGAGGGTGAATTGGTGAAGACATGCTACGGTGTGTGGGTGTGTGGTCTGTATGCCTTGTATTTGATATTTGATATGAACGCGAGCTTCAACTACCAAAAGTCTAGATTTTGTGTGAGGTTGCCAGAATTGCCAGAAATTTTCAGGATTTAGAGACGATCCTTGCCGTCAGATCTTCACAAACTTGATGGGAACTGGGAAGGATGTTTTGCAAGGGTGGAGAAGTCATGACGGTGATTCGCGAGGACCCCTTGTCTTGTCGAGCTGATGCTGATCCATGATTCGCTCAACCTTGGAACCTTCCAATTTCCTTTTTAGGTCCACTAACCTTTAGGTAATGTTAGGGTAACGTTAGCTGCGTTAGGTAACTGCGTCCCTTCTACATCTGCGGGATCCTCCCGATAAATTTTGGGCAGTTGCTTAATGTTTGGAACCCGGTTTCAAGTATATAAAGAATTCTATAGATAGCGAAAGGAAGTATACAAAACAAATAATAAATGCACGATACCTTCAGGAGGTTCCAACGAAGATGGGTATATACCCTTATCTTTTTAGAACACTATACTTTGCGTACGTAGTGTATATGTCGTTTGCTTTATTGCTCTGTCATAACGTCGCAATGTAGCAAGGTAACAACAGGATTGGTTGGCGCTTCGTATAGTTCAGGACAGCAGGGCAGGAGGACAAAACAGAAGCAGGACAGAAGCAGGTTTGAAGCAAGACGAAAACAGCAGAATACGACGCTCTAATCTTCCAGGGCCTCAAGACCTCACTTAGAGTAAAACTTTATCGTCTCGGCTGCTTCTGTTTTATTATTTTATTTTTTATTAGTTCGCTCAATTTCATCCATGACATCAGACTATCGATATATTAAACTAAGACTATTACAGGTCCGTCGTCAACTAATGAACACGGCGGCTAAGCAGCTAGCCAGTATTCGCGTGCCATTCCATTCCTAGCGAAGACATCTGACGATGTATCGGACCGCATAAACCCGCTTGCGTACAACATAGCACACATAGTGCCTACACGCTATACGCTTACACGCGTCTAATACCTAAAGGCTTTTATCAGCTAAGACGCTAGAATTTGACGCCAGGCCTCCGACGAAGAACGTCGTTGTTATGTTATTTTTCTTGTCTCAGCCCGAAAATATGTGAGGGTATGTACCACAACTAATTCTAGCTCAAGCCACCGAGAATGAGGAGACTCGTGCACGGCATCACTGTCTCGAGTCGCACGACTCATGCAATAGATTATTTCAGCTCTTCTCTGTATACCCTAATCGGGTATACTTGCGCAATGAAGCGATACTTGGGATGTACAGACGAGACTGCAACTAGTTGCGAGGTGGCACACGTAGTTAAGCCCTTTTTGTCAAATCGAGGGAACACGATTTGTGCGCTGGTGTGCAGAACCGCAATGGAGCCGGAAAGGCATGAGTAGCTGGCTGCTCCTGGTCACGATAGTTCATTTCTTCACATTAACAACTGCGATTAATTAAGCCGGATACCTAAATCACATATCTTTGAGGTGTTGCGCCGGCCCCGTTCCCAGATGTGGGAAGGCCTAAAAGCATAGGTTTCTGCAACAGGTCTGTCTCATTCCAACGCGACACTGACCCCGGCTTCCAGAAACACGATGGGTATTGGAAACGTCTATTGTGACCAAGGAGTGAGACCGCCATGTCTTGCACAGCGAAGATATAGTTTCTACGCACACCGAGTCCAAGACTCATTCATTCCATACGTGTGTCTACTTTTCCAGAGGCAGCCGAATCCGGATAAAGAAGTTGGTACCTGGAGCTTCTTCACGCCGTACCTAGTAGGCGTGTCTATTAGTTTTCATGAGACTGCAAGTAACTAATAGCCTCTTTTTCTCGAAATACGTAAGGTTTAGTGATTGATATAGGCAGATTCGTTTGCTAACCCAAGAGTTTTCATCTTAGTCTCTATTCCATCAGAATCGATAGACACATGTATCTATAGACGTTCTTATTAGGCGTCCTGAAGTAAATGCTTTCGAATATGCTTATCACAGGCATCTATCATGCCGTTTTCATTGTTCGCCGAATTTTTATGGCACTAAAATGGCACTGGAATGTTGTGTAGCTCAATGGATTGTCTTGCTATTCCGGTGTCAAGATATTTCTTTCACTCTTTTAATGATTCATCAAGAATCGTTCCCATGCTAACAAGTTCTTTCTTCCTATCTACCATCGCTTTCCTTCCTAAGCAATATCTATCTTATTCCTAGAAGGAGTGTTGTCACCTTACTCGTACTAGCTAAGCCGTGCACCGAGAGAGATTGCTTTCAAGATGGCTGACGGGCAAATCCAAGATGTGTACGAGGGCATGGATGGCTACATTAAGGCCACTCACTGGTCAAAGCCATATTATTCTAACCATTACCATGAAAACCCGTCGTCGAACCCTAGAATGCTCGACCATGTCAATTGCAGCTACTTGTCTACCCCTGGCCGACCGCCAACGCTAGAAGCTCTAAAGCAGCACGCTCAGTCTCTAACTTACTTGATATCGACCATTGCACCGAATACCATAGGAGCTGAGGTCGACAATGAGAATCTTCCCCAGCAAGATGAACAAGGACGGAAGATACAGCGGGACACGTTTCCAAGACACCAAGCTTATGACTGGTTGAACAACTTGCAGGTTCCCTATGATAATATCGACAAGGCCCACCGAATGCCACTAAATAGTTTAGTCAACTTGGTGAAGCGGAATAGCGACGAGGAAGGCGTTGTATTCCACTGCCCACTGACCGAGACTGACCTTAAAATGGTCGAGGACGATTTTCATCAGCTAGTCCGCCCCTTTCAAACTCATATGACATTGCTCATGCACGCCAACGAGTGTCTCGAGAGACTCGACCATGAGTACTCGGCCATGGGTGGGATACTCGGAATCATTCCTACTGACAAGGACGAAGTAGTCGACCACCCAGAGCTAGATGGCGTAAAATTAACCTTGGTCGGACAGTGGCTCTTGCACACACAACAACTCATGTGTCGCATGCATGAACTTGAGATCTCCTACGCCAATGCGATGGATCTTCTTGCGAGCGAGGCTATCGTTCCGGCGCAACACTTGAGCGTACAAGGCCCAGACGGACGGTCTGGTAGAGAAATCGTGTTCCCGCAGGATCGCTGGATATTGGCCAACGCGGGAGAGGATGTTTTTACTTTTATCCATCAGATGCTCGACAAGAGCGAAGCAAAGGGCGTTGCACGAGATCGCCAGTGGATCAACCGACACGTAGTTGGAGAAGCCCTACGGGATAGAGACGGAGAACAGGACTACCTCCGGGGTATCGCCCACGTCGACCTCGAGACTAGATTTTACAGATTAAGAGGTAGCGGCCACGGCCCCATATTCGTCCTCCCGGCTTTCTCGGACCGCCCCAACACGGCATACACCAAAGAGATAGAAAACCGGCCGACGGTAGTTACGATCCCAGCACCGTCAAACCCAGACCGGACTTCGGCCTGGGATAGGAGGCACAGAGACATGGAAAAGAAGATCAAAGAGCTAGGGAACGAGGTCTCCCGTCTAACTATTAACAAAGCCGACCTCGAAAGCGCCACTAAGATACAAGAACGGGAACTAGGGAGGCTAAACCATCTCAACAGGATCTACGAAGAGGCTCAAGGCGAGGACGCGGCCAAGACGTCGGAAAGGATAGCAGCGATCGAGACGGAAAGAGACGCCCTCCGAGTCAAGTTCGAAGAGGGCGCCGCAGAACGCAATAAACTGCTTGCAGAGCTGGCCGAGTACAAACGGGGACGACAGCAGGCGCAGGTCAAGGTTCCCGCGGGAGCTACCCAGACCGAGGACGGCGGCTACCTTATACCCCAGCCTCTGCTCGAGCGGTACGAAGAACGCACGACGGTGATGGCTGACGCGAAGGCTGGGGTCGAGCGGGTCAGAAGTGTACTGGAGCAGCTTGCTCAGAAGGGGCAGATAAGCCGGGAAGAGTTTGGCTGGATGGAGCAGATTGCTAACTGTAATTGATCCGGACTATGTAGGTATATAGCTCTCCGGGGAAGGGGGGAGGGGGAGGGAGTTGGATTGCGAGCATTTGGTCACGACATTTCCGGTTGTTAGTCTAAGATGGATTTGGGATTGGGGCACCTTATCTCTCTGTTTAGAGAGATAATAACATGGATTTTATTCCATCTCTCTCCATTAACAAGTAGTTAACTACTTAATGCAGTATAACTATGTAGGAGATACTCGAGTATCGGCTCGACCAATAATTCTATTGTGGTGGCGCCGCGTATTAGTGCGGTGTTGAATTGCGACTTACGCGTTGTGCTGATCTCACGAAAAGTCAATCTTCATCAAGTCATGGTTGTTGTGACTTGGGGATTTCTCGGAAGTTTCCGTTATATTGTTTCTTTTAAGGCACGTTGCTCTGCCAACCGACTTTCAACCCCTCCAAACAAGAACTCCTCGGTGCTACCCTGAGATGCATTAGGCAGTTGGCCAAGAAGGTCGGAAAAGAAGAGGATTCTTTTTTTTTTTTTTTTTAAATAAAAAACCCTGTTGTAGAGTAGTATCGATACGATCATATGTTAGGTAGTTATTTGACTCTTTCGAGATATTCCTGTTCTATATTGTTTGGCCCCTAAACAACGCCAGTACTTTGTTTGTATGACAAGCCAAGCTTACAAGGTGTGGTGCCAATAGATCCCCCGCCATAATCCATAATCCATAATCCGGAGAATCTGTCTTGTACTCCAGGCCAAATAACAAGACCCTACCTTGCTCCGTGCTCTTCACCTAACCCAACTCATCCCCGCCTAGCTGTCTTGATCGTGAAACCTAGTCTCTCACCTATACCTAGGTCATGAATTGAGAATCGGGATTGTGGGGTTTGCGCCATAGTTGTCGACTTACACTACATCTTTTCAACTTGTTGCTCGCTGGTTTCCGGATGCGATTAGGTCAAGCTACATACAATACATAGGTAGACGATGCTTCCCACAGGGTTGAGCTAGGTAGAGCTATGAATTATTCCTTCGGGACGACATCGATGTTTGCCAGCAGCGATACGTTAAAAGCGTCGCGGGTGACGGCAGGTATCCGGTATCTGATACTCGTTGCGGCCTGGGCGCGGTTCACGACACTTGGTGTAGCTCAGACATTGCCGTATATCCCCACGAGCATCTTCATTCCAGAGTCGAAACCCGCGCCAGCCCAAGACAATGCGACTATCAACGTGGCATACATATTCTCGCCACAGGGAGATTGGGTCGACCTGTTAGCGCTCAACTTTTCCGGAAACCTCCGAGCTTCATCGTTGCCCTTCCAAACCCTGTCGTCAAATGTACCCTTTCTTGATACGAATAACACGGCGTTTATACCGTCGCTCGCGGACAACGGATCACTCATCGTCTATGCCGGCGACTGTTCATCGCCGGCAAGTTCCGAAATCTGGACGTTCAATCCGTCTCCTAACGACGATGCATCGGCGTCTTGGATCAAGGCGAGCACTACGCTAGCGACAAAGGCGGATGACGTCCAAGTAGGACCAAGTTTCTTGGGCACCGGATTCAGCTTTTCAGCCACCCTAGCGCCTGTGCTATCACAAGCCAGCACTTATGTTTATGGAGGAATGTGTCCTGACGAGACCGCTAACGGAAGTACACCCCAAGAAAAAGCCGCCTATTCGAACCAGATGGTCAAGATCGCCCCATCTGCAACTGGCTCGGGAAAGTTCGTGGTCGGCCCAGTCTCTAATAATGGTCCTCCCGTGCCCGAGGCTGGGTTTACGTTTACCGGCTTATCTCCCTCTGTCTCGAATCGATCAGGCATAATCACCCAACAAATCAACTACGTACTATTAGGTGGTCATACCGAGAACGCATTTATCAATATGAGCACCGTCGCAATATGGAGTTTACCGGAGGAAAGCTGGAGTTTCATTTCCAATATCGTCACAGCGAGTTCGAATTCTGCCAACACCGAACTTGCGGTTAAAAGCAACGATATTTACACGAATCACACGATAGACAGTCGATCTGGCCACACAGCGGTACTAAGTGAAGACGGGACTTCTTTAATCATCCTCGGCGGCTGGGTTGGTGACTTAACTCAAGCTGCCACACCACAACTAGCTATTCTCAACATCGGAGCTAGCTACGGCGGGAATGGGGACTGGGAGTGGTCTATTCCTGATGTTCAACCGCCCGGGCCCGGGTTATACGGGCATGGTGCCGCACTGCTGCCTGGAAACATCATGATGGTCTACGGAGGCTATAACATATCATCATCATCCGAAACCACAACTAAGAGACAAGCTTCTAGTGGTGATAGTATGCCCATGTTCCTCAACCTTACATCAATGAGCTGGTCTAGCGACTATACAAACCCAGAATTCGCTGGAACGGATTCAGGCGGTGACTTGAGTAGTGGTGATAGCGATGTTGGTACACGTTTAGGCATTGGACTAGGCGTCGGCTTGGGTTGCGTAGCTATTATCATTGCCATCCTACTATTCCTCTTGTACCGCCGCCGGAAGCGCCACAGGCGTACGATCCGGGACTCCGCCATCCGCGCACTTGCCCAGGACACCTCTCGCTTCCTACCTCATGACGACGAAATGATGGAGCAAGATCACCCTGGTGGAATGTGGTATACGGGTGGCCCAGATCCGTATCTGCGTGGGAACCGCTCGCTCGGTTATCAGAGCTTACAGACAGCTCGTACTAGCGTAGACAACGGCCAACAACCGTGGTACGGCGGCATGTCCCCAGCGCAGGTAGCAAGGAAGCCGCTCTCCCGCCGGAATACGTACGATCCTCCATCGAGTGGGATACACCCCATTATTGAAGCAGACGAAGACGGCTCGCTTCACGACGGCGACATTACGAGCGAGCCCGTTAGCCCCCTGCGGGACATGAATAGCGACGGTAGACATGATTCCGACCCGTTCCTCACGCCAACGCAGGAGAATCAGATTTCGTTCCCGCCCTCTAACCGTGCCTCAATAACGCCCAGCCCCGAAGAGCGCCGTCTCACCACGGACCCGGAGGTTCAGGACTGGATGACCGATGTCGAGGCCATGGATGCGTTATTAAACAGTCGCGGCGCGGCACGCGTATCAGCAGCTTCCGGACAGGTTTCCCCAACGAGACGAAGTCCCGACGACTCGCGAACAGAAAGCAACATCTCCGAGTCCAACCGCAGCAACCCAGGTGTAAGCCGCTCGGACTCGGTGCGCTCAGTCCTTCGCACCGGTTTCGGCATCGCAGCCGCCGCCCTAGGGGCTACAAACGACGAGGGCCGCGGCGGAAGCAGCAGTTCGAGCTCGGCGCCCAGCTACAACACTGCCAAGAGTAGTTTCGCGGCGCTCCAAGCCGAGGGTCCGGCTTTACTCATGGGGAAGCCCCGGGACGACGACGAGGCGCCGGGAAGCCCGAGCAAGAACAAGCCGCGGCGCAACTGGCTCGGCAGCCTGCGCCGCGTGTTCAACGGGCCCAGCCCGGCCGATACACCGGATAGAGAGGGGCCCGTCGACGAGAGCTTCGCGGACGCAAAGGATTACGATATGCCGCGCAGTGGTCTGAGCGAGATCGCGGCTGGAGGGTTGCTGCGCAGGAAGAGCGGGAGAGGGGATTGGGAGGGCATGGAGCGGAGGTACAGCGAGAAAGGCAAAGGGAGGGATACAACAAGTGCGAGTAACCAGGAGCGCGCCACGGCGGAAAAAGACGAGGAAGAGGAGGAGTGGGATATCGAAAAGGCCGTCGAGAGACGGCTCGTGCAAGTCATGTTCACGGTGCCTAGGGAGCCCCTGCGCGTGGTCAACGCCGAGCCCGACACGGAGAGCGGCAAGGACGTCACGGTTGCGAGTCCGGAGGTAATAAATCGAGAGCAGGACATAACAGAAAGTCGCAACGCGCCCGTTACGATAGAAGGAGAAGAAGAGGAGCATCATGATCTCGGCACTCCGCTCCCAAGCCCGAGCGAGGACGACGCAAGTCTAGCCGAAGCTAGGGACGCCGAGGAGAAGCAGATCCTGCGCGAAGTAGGCCAAGAGCTAGAGGCCGAGTGGAAGCGCGCTACGGATAGGGATAGTAGGGGCAGACAGCCGAATACCACCCCGACACACCACCGCACGCCTACGTCGCTGCGGGAGGAGGGCGTGCGTCTGCTGGGTGTGGTGGAGCCGGGCAGCAGCGAGTCCCGGAAGAGGAAGCCATCGCGGTCGCCGGTGGAGGACCCGGACGGCGATGTATTTTCCGCGCAGGCAGTGCGGCTAGAGCGGCCGCCGCGGACAAGGGTCCTGGCTATGGTGGAAAGCCTCGAGAGTCTGCATAATAAGAGCCGGGAGAACAGTCCCGCCGTGTCTCCTTCGCGGTGACATGGCGTCGTCTAGGTAGGGTCTAGCACCTGGGATAAACTGTACCTAGGTAGGTAGGTAGGTAGGTACCTATAGAAGTTTACTTACTACCTAGGTAGGCGTGCAACCTCAGGATCGGGAGTCGAGAACGAACGGAGTTATTAATCGTCGGGGCATAGCGGACCATCGTTTGGCAAAGGCGTTGTGTTTTATTGGGCTAGGAATGGACGGACGCATCGAATATTCCCCCTGGGTATGGGGACTGGAAGGAAGGAAGGGAAGAAGTAGAGATAGGTCTACGTACATGTACTGCGATGTGTTGTCGCGAATGGAATTCGTTTACTGAGGAAAATACCCGTTTTAGTTGATTATATTCTAGCTAGCTATGCTCGCACTGACGGATAGCTTGACGTGATTGTGGTGTCTACCTATGTTTCTTTAAGGTATGGAAGGGCGAGTAGGTAGTTGGGTACCTAAGTCAGTATTGTTCGTGATACGCTGCCCTGTATTTTACGCAGGAATGGTCGATCATACGACAATTTGTCTTCCAAGGGGCTGGCTGAGTGCGTTTATATGTAACCGTAAGAAGCGAGACCCCGTTTCTCTATTTCATTTCCTCGTCTCAATAAGTATTATATATGTCTCGGTGGCATGCAATCCAAGGGATGAAGCTGGATAGTCTATATTAACTATCTAGACTACCTCCTAGGTACCTATGTCAACCTACACTAGACAGTCGGTAAGTCTTCTTAAGAGATTTGAGACGAGTGTCTCGACCCCTAATACTAGTACATATTGTATGTAGCAGTTCCAGACGTATTTTTATGTTTCACATTCCTAAGAAAAAAAAATCCAACACAATTCCTCTTCATACTGGATGAGACGTCGCAGTTGGTCACGTTTTACGTGAACAATACGCGACTGGAATACATACGCGAATTCAGGTTTCACCATTCGCCGTCGTTCTACATTATAGGTATTGTACAGGCCGCCGGCTGCGCTACCGTAGCAAGGCGCGAAACGGCACGCAACAGAAGCCTGTGTTCGTACGCCTCCGGTAGCCAACATGATCGGTTATGCTTTTTCGGTAGCCCAATTATTTACGAGAGCGGAGAATTAAGACCTGCAGTAGTTAGGCGAATCTCTAATGGTAATAGCTTTCCGGAAGCACTCTGACATGTCTGTGTTAGGTACCTAACATCAAACAAGTACCTGCTGACTGCTCTGCCTAAAACTTCAGCTAGTGGCACATCTCGTAATCGCGGTATATAGGTAGGTAGGTACTGTATAATCTTAAAAGAGTTTTCTTGAGTTAGGTAGTTTTCTAAGCCACTGTCGCCCTGGCTTCACTTGACTAATACCTATGTCCACAACCGCCACTGGTGCTCGACACTTACGCACAACGTGGATGTTTAGCGAAATTGCTTGGTAGTTTTTGGCGCTAGCACGGTCTTACAAAATACGCGTACTTGAGCTACTATAGTACATTAGGTAGTATATCTAACCGGATAGGTACGAGATAGCATACGACTACGTACCTGAAAGATTTGGTCTGGCTGAATGTGGTAGTTGACCTAGAACAGTCGAAGCTAGTGTGGAGAGCGTTTCAGACACTCGACAGCCGAGGACTAGGTATGGAGTGGATAGGATGTTATTAACGTATGTACTTCGCATACCGATTAAAGGAGAATATCATGATGGTGCCTCTACGTGGGAGTGAGGGAAGAAAACAAACCGTGGGGGTTTATGTCATCGGGACATGTCAATGCAGCTAGCCGTGTAGGAGGCGTCTTCTTAGAGAGCCTGCCACAAAAGTCGACAAATGAAGTATGTTACTTGATATTCCCGTGATCTTTGCTCGTGAAGATTCTCAGGTGCCTTTCGACTTGAAACGGCGTCGGCATGGCAAGTTAATATAAATATGCAGAACCTATGCAGAACAGCCAAGTTTCAGTCTCAATGCTTTGATACAATAGCTCAGCAACACGCATAACCCCGACGACGACGTGTTCACCCGAAAAAGGCCTCGAAGCCCTATGTACCTAACATAGTGTACCTAGACACCCGCTTGTTATGTACATATGTAGGAGTCAGAGGGCTGACGGTGGTGTAGGATCTAGTGTATGAAGCATTGACATCGTCGATCATCATCTCAGGGGGAGAGCTAAGCATCGACCACGCACATCTGCGGAGGTTCCGAGGAATTGGATTAGACCTCAAGGAACCAATTATATCCCGTACGTACCTGTTTACGCACCTGTTGATTCTTGAGGCGTCTTAATCCGTACACACTAACGGCTTGACTAACTTTTTACTGGTCCGAGTTGTACCCTATTCAAGCCTGACTTTACGCTAGGGCTGACCAGGCGCATCTGTTTTAAAATTACCTGAAGATAGAGACACGGCCTGATGATGGGATTGAACATTTAAGGTTGATAATACACCTTCAGTGGCCGGCCGATGACGTCGGAGAATAAGAATAAACCCCTGACCCGGGACCGACGGGATCTTCTGGATTAGTCTGAAGGCCGATTTTGACATTAGCTGATTAGGTATCTGATGATTTAGCACCTTATTAGGCTTTAATATATTATAATATTTACCCCTGCAATAATACACTACTAGAAACTCTATTCAACCTACGGATGCGGCTGAGGTGTACGGATCCGTACCTATCCGAACATCTATTCCGTTAGGGAACAGGGTTACGCTGTATCTACAACCTAACGTCTATAGACTTTTATAGTCTTATTTAACGGGTTTGGTATTTTTATTTTCTCGTAACGCTATCGCTGACCCCGCTTGGGCAAAGAGACAAAAGAGGGTTTCTGTATTTCATCACTCATAATGATGACTATACGAACCTCGGCCTAGGTTTTAATAGATTTATGATTTCGAAGTAGTGATAGATTGCCGCTTAACAATATGTATTAGTCTCATCAAGAGAAGAGAATACATAAGACGCTTCTAGGCTTACTTCGTCGTCAAAAGCGGCAACTCCATGCTTTGATGATAAACAAGTTAAAAGTAGTAAATTGGGGAGGTTGGTGAGCTATCGTCTCTTTATCTGTTAGTTATGAAATTATAAGTATCGGAGTTCTGATATTAACTATTTCACGTGTACGCATTTCCTGCCGTTGATAGTATCACCATGCATGCGCCGTGTTATCAATACCCCTCCGGCCTAAAATCGGAATAAATGGATGCATCTCGGATTTGCATGCGGAGCGGTGGACAAATCTATCCTGAACAGGAAGGCCACCTAAGCCGGGACAGCTTCAAAGCGTCATAGAGTTTCGGCGATGAGACCTGGCTGAAAAAAGGAAAGCTCACCCTTGCTTAACTTTCAGGTCCGATTTTAAAATGCGTGTTTGAAGCTTACTTTGCATTGTTTGAATAAGTCCAAGGCAATTCTTCTCAATTGAAGCCATCGTGGTCGGGATTGGGACTAAGCCGATACCCCCGCACTGGGAAGCGCCGTAAAGTAGCTAAATATGCAGTATCATGACGCGAGATGCAGATCTACACCTTAGATTTGCTCTTAGGCGGCGTATCCCGGTTGAGAGATCTGCAACTCTGGCACCATCTTCAACCGATCTCTGTTCTTCTCGATGCCATGTGCGCAGCGTAACAAGGTCCACATTCCGCATTCCGAAAAGTTCGCAGGGACACCCAGAGATCAGGAGGGATTCTTATCGAAGTCGGTCACGAAGTCGGTCATGCGTAAGTGAGGGACACCTAAGCTATGTAAGTGTTGACTGTGCATTGTGCTGCATTAAATACTTCTGGGTGGTCACGCTCGTATGGTCACCTCATTCTTCACATCAATGATATTGTGGGGGAGGGGCGGTAAGTAAGCAAACCATTTACAACCGTAGCCTCTTGCTTCCGTGTCTCTGCCATAGATTATGCATAGTGAATCGTGATGGGTAGTATCATTGCCTTGAACTATGAGCGGTTCGATAACGGCAGCCTATAGAGGTATTTATAAAGTCGAATGGCATAGGTATTATTGTTTCCATAGATAGGTCTGGGTAAGCAATGAGGTAGGAAATAAATAAAAAATAAAAATAAAAATCGATTCACCGTCTCTTGCCGATTGGTATACTGTATGCCTGTATGCGTACGTATATTACACAAGCTTCAAGGCTTGCATTGTTAAGGCTTGCATTGTTTATAATGCCGCGTAGCCCCAAAAAGCTAAAGGTTCGGCAAACCAATGCGAGATGCAGATATGATCGGCTATTTACAGCCCCCCCGTATTGCTCACTCGAGGGGGGGTTGCAGATATAGTGCAATACACTAAGTCTGCACTAAGTCGAGTGATACGAGCAATTGAGCAATCACAGGAGATTCCGGCGTAAATAAAGTACGAGGCGTTCTGGAGACTATCCGACTTGAGATTCGGGCATCCGACAGTGTGGGGTGATTTACGCAACTTGGAAGTCTCACGAGATGCTTGGGATGCTTGGGTCTGAAGTGGTTCCTTTGCGACTCTCCGTCAACACCGAACAGCACGTACACCTCTCTGGTCTGTGAGCAACTCAACCCGCTTTCATGAAGAGAACCATGATCTGGATTGGTCTCGGTGCTGGCATCGCACACCACGTAGGCCTCGTACGGTCGCTCAAATCGCTCTTAATGTCCGACCGAATTCCGTTACAGAAATCGTGAGGCGATACCAAATATGTATGTGTGGTCTTCGATAGATTAACGGTAGGTTTTGCATAACTAGGTGCTAATGTGAGGATTGTTGAGTCAAGTTTATCAAGTGAAGAGTTGGGGTTTTTTCTTCTTTCGATATCTCATTTCTTATATTAAAATAAGGAAAAGAAAGTGAATTTAATGCTGTCAAATTCGAGGACGCCATTATACCTACTGTACATCAGTCTGACTGTACATATAGGTAGGTAGGTACCTAGGTAGGCAGGGTCGCTAGATAATCCGTAAGTAAATAGGTTAACGAGGCAAAGCGTAGTGTATGGAGTATATGAGAGCTAACGCGTGGCGCTACCATTAAACAGGACCAGTGGAAAATAACCACCGTGCTCATGCATATGCACGGCGAGTGGAAGAAATAAATAAAATGAATAAGCCTCCCAGCTCAGCTCGTGGTTTGTGCGCAGTCGGGAACAGTGGCATCTCGTATCTAAGTCCTCATTCTCAGGGGTCTCAGCTCGAGGAAATTCCTACATAGCTGGATACCTACAAATATACATATGAGAAATATTGCAATCCAAGACGTGCCGCAAAAAATTAGGTGAGATCCGAAATGAAACAAGAGGGTCTGGGATAAGCGAGAAGTCCTCTCGGTACCGTGGTATCGTGAATCCAAGAGGTTAGCAGGATTTGACTGACAACTGCAGTCGGCCAGTCAATAGGCGAGCGTTTTTCCTTTTTTTTTTATACTTAAAGCCTACGAATGTTAAGTGACGTTATCGACGTTACATAGTAACGACCTATTTAGGCCTTAATCCACCTTCCCAGTGTGGTAATTGTGACCAGTAAGTTCGGTGGTTGCTCTGTCGTTTGAAACTGCTAAACGGATCCAATAAACTGGATCTGCGAGTAACGCCACTTGATGTTTGGCCGGCAGAAAGAGCTCGAAGGGCTTAGCTTACATAGGCACTTACTGCATACACTAGTAGGCGGGCACCTATGTAGGTAAACTAGTGTAGATAGCTGGCCTCGAACATTAGTTGATAGATTTGGCCGAAACATCCTCTAAGCTCGAAAAGGTAGTCATTTATGTACTACCTACAGTATGTTAGGTATGTATTTTGGCACCCAATTTACACGGTCTGTACACGGTCTTCACGTATCTTGAATTTGAAGCTTCCGTTCAATCTCATTCGCTATTCCCGGAATTCCTCTTCGAAGCCCACCGCGTATTAGTTTCTTCGTTCCAAATTCATCTATTCCCAACTTTTGCTTCCTCCCTCCTCTTCTTTTTGTTTCCTCCGTCAACGATAGATTCGACGTTATTCTATTTTACTCTGTTTTTAACATCATTTCCGTTCGAAATCATTCGTTGCTTGAAGTCTTGAAGTCTTGCAGTCTTGAGGTTCAATACGGTAGCTTCCGATCGCTTCCCTTCGCTCGTTTCACAGGGACCCCCCGTTCATTCTTCGTCGTGGCTCACACCGTACCCCTGCTCTCGTACTCACATACTACATACCTACATACCTACACTCGCTATCTAATTCATGCCATATTCATAGGGACTTCTACTCTCAAGTTACATACCTACTTAGTACAAACAAACTGATTGCATTCGGAATTTACAGCGCACAGCCGCTCCGCATATCAAACCGATCCCTTCTTTTTTTTTTTTTGTCCTTTGTCTCTTGGCTGCGTGTGGCAGAGTTGGACTGAAAAAAGAAACAAACCACTCACCTTGATATCTACACTATTATCTACACTACCAAATCTACTATTCTATCTATTTCTTCCCCGGTCCCAATAGAGGCCTTTAACGTTTAATCCACTCGTCAACCCCGATCGGCCGTGGACTTGGCATCTGCGACCTGCAACTGCTGCAGTGCTCACGTATCCCAAGGCCCCATCCTAGGTCATCCCAGCTAACTGCCCAGTGCTGGATCCTAGCTTTCCCGGCCGCTACGTACCCAAAATCCGTTCCTTCCACCCATAACCCCTGTCTCTACACTAACTTTGTCTACCTGCCCTGCTTCGTACCCTGCTAGCCTGCCATCCACACAACACCACCCACTAAGGCCACCACAGTGTGTGCACCACTAACCTTTAAGGCCTATCTATCCCTTCCATCTCTTCTTCCTCGTCCCTTCGCTCGTATTTTCCCTCTTTTCTGAGACTTCGTCCGAATTGCACCGTGAGCCGTGCCTTCTTTCCGCCTCTCTTCTGAAGGCATCACAGCTCCACGATCACGTTGGCATTTGGCATTTGGCATTTCTGTTATTCTGTTACAGGTCTGCCTTTACAACTGGTCACCCTCCGGCGAATCCGCTTGCCTCAATTGGGAACTGCTTAGCTTGTCATGGCAATTCTCGCGAGCAACTCTTTCGGTTGCCTGTGACATTTCTGCTGTGAAATATCGGATTGCTTGACTGGCTATTCAAACTACGTTCGTTCGCTGGTGAGTCTACTTCCTTGTCTGTTGGTTGTAAATGAGATTTTGTAATGGTTTAATCACCTTTTAACAATTATTATAGTTACCTGCTAACAGTACTTCTTATTAGACCTCAAATATTGGATACCTTCGAACCATGTCTTTCACTACCCGATCCGTGGCTCTCGTAGGCCTAATGGCCTTCTTTAGCAAACTTAGCCATGCTCAATCCGTCCCTATTGCTTATTGCGCAAGCATCAACACGGCATCAACAACGGGCAGTATGTTTGGACGCATCTAACACAGTATCTTATACATTAGACTAACGTTTCCCAAGACAGCAGTATATACCAGTCTGACGGACTATGCCATGACTTCTGCGTAGCTAGCTTCGCCTTTGCTATTGTTCAAGATGAGGAGTGCTGGTGTAGCGATTATGTACCCGACGAGGCAACTCAGGTAGATACCGACGAGTGTGATACGGCATGTCCTGGCTACCCGTCTGATTTGTGCGGAGGTGATGGACTATGGGGATACATGTCTTTGAATAATGAGCCTTCGGGCACCAAGTCTGGGGGCTCCGCCTCTTCTACTAAAACGTCAGCTCCTGTAAGTCACCCAGTTTTGTTTTTCGTCTAAGGAATTAGTGCCTCTTCGAATCATATCGTCTGGGCTCTCATTTCTTCGCCGTGTCTTCGGTACAGTTGCTCCTTGTCGAGCTTAGGGGGGAATATTTGTTAAGACTTAGTCCGGCATCAGGACCCTACCACAAGGACTTTACAAAACACGGTCACTGTTACTCCAACAGTTCGCGCGACCACGGCCGTTCCTGTATGCTCTATGCTCTACTAATCCCAGATCCTTGTTTTTCATTTTATAAAGCCACTTGTTTTATCGGGAATATTGTACTCATTGATAACAGGATACATCGAAAACAACGGGAGATAGCTCTACAACCCCCACTACTCCAAGCGTATCTACAGTGACAGCGGGGGGTACTGTTAAGACTGTTACGATAATGCCCACAGTTACGAGTGATCCGGACGCCGCTACTTCACCGGATACCAGCTCAAGTGAAGTGCCATCGAATCAGCAGCATGGTCTCTCAACTGGTGCCGCAGTTGGCGTGGCAATTGGTGTATTTATTGCCGTGGGTATGGCTATAGGTATCGCTGTCTTCTTCTGGCTCCGCCGCAAAAGACGAGACCAAGGTGATGCTTTCGCAGACTCCCCCGGAAGTCAGCGTGGAAGTTCAGCAGGTATGATGAGCACGCCAACAACCGCAATGGCCTCGGTATGGGATGGCGATACCGCATCGGGAGGCCGGAGAAATAGTCGATTTATGCCGCACGATCCTCGCATGGACCCATTCGCAGCAAATATCTACAGCCGCGAGAATAAGAGCCAGGAGAGCATTAACACTCTTCAAGATAACCACGATTATTCGCGAAAAGTACTTCGAACCACGAATCCTGACCCGCCCGATGGCGAATAAGACTACATGGTCCAATTCTATGGATGGATTGGGAAGCCGCTTCAGAAACGGCTAATGACGTAGACGATCTCTTTCTGGTCGGGTTCACAATTGGACCATTGCATTGCATTTTCGAGATACCAGGCCGGCGTTTTCAGGAGAATGAGATTCTAGGACAAAGTTAAGGGGTTTCACGCACACATATACTTGGCATCGTAGTTAACGATGACACATTCAATTCTCAGTATGGATTTCGTTCTCTGGCTCGGTATATGAATATCCACCGCAAGGGGAGAAGGGTAGTTCACGGCAACTGCGATAGTTAGACCGGCATGCACGGCATATAAGCGCTCAGATGGATTTTGTTGGATCTCTGGACTCGATTGTAGGAGAAGTGGGCGGGGTGGCAGACAGCGTGGGTGGTAAGGGACGGCACTCGTAGTAAGGACGTACCGGCAGTACATACAGGAATAATAAAAAGGTCAATAAGCAATCGTCAATGGTTAATAGTTAGAAGGTTTAGAGCTACTCAAGGATGAGTAAGCCGGGCATATTTGGGAGTCAATATAAGAGATGTTGTTGATTTTCGCGTAACCTTATTTTGCTATGTGGTAAGCGTCTAGCGCTTAGTAGACGATAATCACCAGGCACATGTACCTAATTGGGATTGAGTCCAGGCTAGTACCTGGCATTAGTCAGGATAGACAGGTACTCTAAGAAGTAGTGTCCGGGTGATCCGGCTTGTAAGATAACTGTACAACTACGCAAGTACAAACAAAACTCTCGATCCTAATGAATGAATTGTCCAATCCTGCACTAATCCAGGGGTAATAATGCCTTTCTTCATTAGATGATAGATGAAAAATTTTAGTGTATGAATGCACTAATAGCGTACACGTCGGCACATCTAAATGAGGATTGTCGGCCCAGTCACAAGCCATTTACATCATCATGATGGCCGCCCGCCCAACGGCCCAATATAAAATAATAACGGTCAACTCATATTGGGGTTTGATGGCTGATTTGCAGTATAAATGGAGAAGGCTGGCCAAGTCAGAGATGTATGTATTTACCCCTCAGGTTACAAAGATAATGCAGAGTACGTAATCCGGAAAGAGATCAAAAAGAATCAAGCTCAATTTGGCAATATACAGGTTTCGGCTTATCCATATATATTCCGTATCTGTACATTAGGTTAGGTACCTATTAGTATGCAGCATTGACCCCCGCGGCCCCGGTCCAAGACCAGCCGCCTCAAACATTGGCATCCTGTTGGCGCGCGGCATTGCATGCCGATCAGAATCGATGGGCACAACAACGTCGACTCTAGAAGGTTTCTACTCTTTGATAGGTCTCATCATTTATCATGGGATCTAACTACATCTGGAACACGTGGACATGTATGGGGTATGAACCAGGACTACTGTATTAGAATATGGAAATACCCGTAAGACGGACACGCGTTTTTGGCCTGCTCCATAATTGTTATGAAGATTACATACACTAATCCGTACATAGCAGCATGAGTTGTCCTCCTGTCGGCCGAGATGCGTCCAGAACAATCCCGACGGGTGACCGTGCAGCATCATGTATACATCCAGCCCTATCCTTAAACACCCATTCCACTTTCGGGACTGTCAATATAAAAAGGATGACGACGCTTCAAACAAAACAAAAAATCGGTGTTTTCAGCCACCCCCTTAAAGCATCAAAGCTTCAGGCGTCGAGACCCTTATTTTAAGAATACGAGGCTAATATACGGAATACAAAATAGCCTAATAAATCACCATATTGGTTACGTCTTTAAAGACTTCAATGCTGTCTGTGCCTTTGGTCTCAGACTCGGGATAGTTAGCTCTACCTATATGCCGTATGGTTCGTTTCGACGAGGTCGGTTCGCGTTGCCGAATAAATATCTAATCAATCTTACCCAACCCGCTTCTCGGCCGGCTTTCTATTAAGAAGCCCGACTCCGACATAAACTCCGAACGGCACCCCTTTAGAGGACCTGTTATCTCGAGTCACTTTACAGATTCGTTTTCCTCTTACATATTTGCCATCACGAGTAGCACCCATAAGACATGGGAAACACGACGCTGTTTTGCTAGGAACTCTAAACCTCAACTACGGAGGCTAGTGACTATACGTGCAGAGCATTGTTTATTCCAGATGTGACCTCATCCTACATTCTATAAATATCGAACTCGGTGCTGGACACATGATCCTAATTATTTAGTAGAATGAGTCTAGGATGTTAGAGAGCAGATGAAAGATGATCTTTATCCTATGCAAGATACTCGCAGTACCAAGTAGGTATCCCGCTGTGAAAAGGGGCTACATGCCAGTACCTACTTGGTAACGAGTTCTATTTCGCTTTAATTATACTTCCTTGCGTTATAAATAAGGACAAATATTTGTATCAATCAATAGGAGTGGTTCTTTAATCTACTCTGGATAGTTCTTTCATTTTCATAGTTGTATCTTCTAACCTATCATCTAATCGTGCCATTGTAAAGAAGAACTGCTCTTTCTATTATGAGCCATAACCCGAAGCGATAGCTAGTTCTCGAATACATATGGGCAAGTACAACCATTTCTATACATAACTAAGATAAAAGTTTGGGAAGTTTGGAGTCCCTGAATATCGAAGACTCGGACCATGAGATGGTGGGCTAGTATCGGCCCAGAGGTCGATGTAGAATCAAGACTTATCAAATTTTCTTATAACTCGCATGGCATTTGAAAATAGTAAAATCATGTAAATTTATTGTCACTCTTATACGAGTTATCCACGCTAGCCAGGCGAGTTGCGTTTAGCAAGAAATAGGGGTAGGACCCGGGACCAGTTAGGCCACTCAGGCCAACTCCCGCCGAATTCCGGGTCATCGTTAAAGATTTTGAACCAAACGTCCCCGTCTCCTACAAAGGCTTTGGCAGTCTCTCCTTCCGGAACCTTCGCCATGTAGAACTGAAGAGGTCCAGGATGCGTAACATTGCCGTCTGCTCCGAAGCCCACCGTGTTGCCAGCCTTGACGGACATGGTTTCGGGGCTCCCTTTACCTGGCTCAAGCTCAAAATATCTGAGGTCTGTCGATGAGACGTTGAAAAGCGGGCCATGGTCGTGAACGCCAAAGTTGGTAGTCTTGCGGACATAACTATAGAAGATTCAATGATCTCTTAGCTCTAATCTGCTTATAGGACGGATAAAGTTACGTTCAGTCCTCCTCAGTAACACCATTATAGATGAGTCTAGGGAATGTGTCTACTTGGGGTTAGTGAGGACCTCACAATGAGGATGTTGGAAAAGTACAATGAGCATGCACAACTGAGGCGAGTGCAAGGGCTACAACGCCGTCGGCCTTCATGGTGAATAGTGATTCAATTGTCTGCCTTTTAACCTGTTCACTTATTTAATATGTACAGAGCCGTGAGACCTACATAATCTGCTCAATATGAGAGTTCCTAATAAGGACAAGATAGAAAAGGGTTGTCCGTCATCCATTAGTCGAAAGTATAATACAATATACGCTTATGGCTACTTTAGCCGTATAGCCGCACCAATCAACCTCTTAGCCTTCACAACTTAAGCTTTAACAAACAGCTTATTTAGAACTATGTTAATCGTCAGAGAGTGTAGTATATGGAGAGCTATACGGAGAGCCTCAAAATACATTCACAAAGTCGTTCTAACTTGAAAGCATTAGGTAGTGAATATCGCTTGGTTGAGGGTTAACTTACCTAGATATATTCTTTCTGGACCGTTTCTTCCCGGAATTATTCGTCGTCTTAATAGAGCGATGCTTAGATATAACAGGACGTAGCCCTTTGATTCTATTATTACGCAAGCCTATGCTTCGTTATCTTCATTGTTTAGTAGGGCTATTGACGGGCATGTTCTTGCCTTTCACCACTTGCCACTGTCGTCAGTAGCCCTGCGAGTGTAATACCTATTAAGGAATTGGTAACCTTTAGCACAACTCCTCACGATCTCCCGCGGCAACAAGCCTTCCACCTTAAAACCTGGGCTACTGAAGGACTTTCTGCACTGCATTTCACTTCTAGTCCTTCCTTCTTATCTCATATGAGTCATAGATACTTGAAGCCACAATTTCCTTTCTTTCCCGCAATATTCTGTGTACTTGATATGCGGGTCTGTGGTTTCTTTCTTCAGTTAATTTTAACCACCTTCAAGCTTCATAGCCCCCATCATCCATCAACATCATAGGGAAGTTTCAACAGGCGAACGAGGTCCAGTCGATGACAATACAACAATGGCACCCGGATCTACCACCATGTCTCGAGCTCGTCTCTATTTGACGGTTCCCTGCGATTCTGAAGGCAGCGATGCAGAAGCTCCCACCGAGGCCCCATGCCAACTTTCCATCGAGCGACTATTCGAGAGCTTGCCAAATCCAGCGACCAATGACAGATACCCCGACCAGGAGCAAGATCGCCAGTACAACAGAGCTCTCTGGCTGTTCCTGGAAGAAGAAAAAGGGCCGGCCGAGCATGACAACGAGTGCCAACGGCTCAAGGCAGTTGCTAACAACGTATTGAGAAGCAAGAACCCCCATGGTGTTCGCGTCGCGTTTATCGATGGTATTGCACCTATGGCTATAGACATGTCCAAATACGATGCCGAATCAGCCAAGTCACGATACCTTGCACAATGCAAGTGGATACTGCAGGGGAGAAAGGACCACGATGCTTACGACGAGAACTTATCAGATCCGGACCCAGATGAAGACAGCGACGTAGAATACTCCCAACTCCCTAAGAAACTCACCACGCAGAAAACATGTGCCTACTGTAACCGCGAAGGGCGCCAATTCTGTTGCAAAGATTGCGTGGAGGCAGACGGTTCTCACGTGATCTTCGGGACTGGTTACTGTCGTAGGAGATGCGAGGTGCTCGATAAGGAGGACCACAAGCCCATCTGTTCCATGCGCCAGCGTTTTGTGCGAAGTGTGCGCCTTATGAGACTCATTCTCCTGATCATAGAGAATCGGCAGACCAACCTCTCCCTAGAGGCTTCTTACGAGCGCGACGGCATGATATTCTTGAAAGAGAAGCCTCGCCACTTCGCGGCCATGCGAGGAGACAACTTGCTCGGCGAATTCGACGAGGATTCCGTGCAAGAGAAACACATAAAGGCGGCCCTACAAGATCAGTATCTCCCGGACTTGCCCTTCATGATGTTGAGTTCGACTCAGCGATGGCTTTGGAAAGGTAAGCTTTCTCTCTTACACGTCAGCGGGGTGCTAATTACGGATAGGTCTCGTCGAGAACATTGAACAATACACCATCTTGGTCAAGAATGCTCATCGTCCCATCGTCCGCCATACCATACACGATACCCTCGAGTCCAGCATGTTGCGGCCTCATACCGTCTTTCGCGTCACTCTACGCACCGGAGAGCAGTTTGCGGTGGATTACGCGGCAGACCGATTCGGCTGGTCTGGACCTATCACGCTTTGGGATCACTTTGCGGTACATCGAGTGAAACGAGTGATTAGAATAACGTTCCCGGGAGCTTACGAGCGGGATCCGGCAACGATGGTACCAGCTTACCTCCCCTCGAAGAAGAAGGCTTATCTGCATACTATGTTCCTGCGTCTGGTCCAGACCGAAGTGAGCCAGCTTCTACGGGGAGCACATCCAGATGTATCGTTCGACAATGCCCTCAGCCCATCGATTACCGATCCGGTCTGGGAAGATATCAAGGAGAATTTCATAGAATATACCCGACTACTCTGTGATAGCGGATTCACAAAAAGGTTGATCACCGCTTTGCGTATTAAATGCCGAACATATCTCAACGCCAACTTCGAGGAGTGCGTCGAGCACCACGACAAAGATTCCGAACGCCTGGCGAATGTCTGGTTTGACGAGGACCGGGTCGCGTGGGTTAAGACTAATATCCCGGATGACATTGGAGTCTTGAAGAACGTATGGAATGATTGGCTATCTCACCACGGTGTTCGTTTCAAGAATCCTGTGCCTTCTCCTATCGAGATTGAGGACGGTGCTTCAGTTTTTGAGGAGTAGGTCAAGGGATAGTGTACCTCTTTTAGGACGTCATGTTTCGACGTTATGGATTCAGGGGGGAGGCGGTATAACGATAATTCTGTATAGGTGAATACCTAGGAATACCTAGGTGAATATCTAGGTAACCACCTTGGCATAGGAGATAATCGGCTTTGCTCTTTGTTGCATGGCCGCAGTTGTTAGTCCCGGAATAATTGGCTGTTGCAATAGTGTATGTGTACTACAGAACCTGTCATTATGGAGTGTTTGCTACCTAGCTTAATACCTAGCTTAATACCTTTGATTGAATGAAAATATATGCAGTAAAGGAGTTACGGTTGACCAGACTAACAACTGTGCCAAAATGAAAAAAGTTATGCGAACTTAGCTTAAAAGGGTAGTTAGCCACAGGTTAGTGCAATTAGCTCGATTTATTACGGTACTTCGCATTTTATATAGGAAAAATGAATCATTTTTTATAAATACATACCTTATAGCGTTATATATTATATGCTTTAAAAGGGTATGCTTACTTTCAAGATCAACCAATTAACTTAAAGGATTCAATTGTCAATTCAATTCGATTCAATTCGCATCAATTTCAACTACCACATCTACACATTGAAATAACTTTACAATTTCAATAGTCACGACGTTATAATTGGTATCGTTTGATAGCTTCAATTGATGCGAAAATAATAATTCAAGTGGCATGCTTATACGTCGTGTCCTTATACCATTATAATGTAAATGAAAAAAGCCTTATTCGAGGAGACGGGCAGACGGGTATAGGTCTTTAGGAGGATGAATAGTAGCGCGGCACTAAGTCTGAGTATGGCTATTAGCACGTGATACCCTTTGAGATGATTGTTTTTAAAAGACTTCAAAGATCTTAATGATAATACATTATATAAGCATGCAACCTGTATCATTATTTTCGCATCAATTAAGGCTATTAAATGGTACCAATTATAATGTTGTAATTGCTAGAATCGTAAAGTTATTTGAACGTGTAAATGTGGTAGTTGAAAATTAAATTGAATAATACTGGTTAAATCAATATGCCTATTACAATAAGCCATAATAAGGCTTGGAAGTATACATTTAATATTTTCTAAATTGTGACAAGTGACCTCCTACCAACTTTAGTTTAGTCTGCGATTACTTTTTTCATTTTGGCACAGTTGTTAGTCTGGTCAACCGTAGGAGTACCTATGCTTGATATACGATATTGACTTATACACTACGAACTGTATCGTCCCTCACTTAAAGTCAATTTTGAGATGACTTAGGTACCTAGGTATTTGTCATATTTCCTCATTCCCTGATTCCTTTGGGAGTGCCCACTAAAAACCTTGATGTCCTTGTGTAAAACGTATTCAAGTCATTTCGAGCCATTGGCTACGGTGTTTAAACGTACGCATTTCCGGCATCCCACACCTCGCAAATCTTATACCTTTGATTTCCTCCTCGCCCGGCTGTAGTTAAGTATTGTATTATTAGCCATAATCAAATGTCTGATCAGCCTTACCCCGCCGACCCCGCAACTGTGCCTAATAGAAACATGCTTCTCAAAAGAGTATATATCTAGTCTATGTCAACTTCTTATTCGCCCAAATAAATTGGGTATCTATATCGGACTTTAGGGGATAAGATGGCATGTAGATGCCTAGATGTTGCGACTACGTAGGTCTAGAATATGTGAGAAGTGACAGGCGACGATCTCGAATAAGACTGAAATAATCAAAATCAAAATCATTATCATTGAAACTAGTTTTATAGCTAGATACGTATATCGCTGGCCAATTAACTTCTATACTGGTTATAATTGGGATAGCCGGATCGACGATATTGTCGCGAGGTTCTAAACATAGAGATTGTGGGTGTAAGTGGTGTCTCGATAACCTCGTGGGCCCCAGCCCTATAACACCTAATAACCTTCGAACTTATACCACGGTAGTTTAGAGGCTGTTAGGGCTATCGATCATATGGTTTAATTTTACATCTATTAGGATATCTATTCCTTAACCTCGCTACTAGCGAAAATCTGACTATGCTTCGCCTGTATTCGTTTGGGATGGTTGTCTAACCGGGTAGTCTAAATACGGTCCGTCTGTATTTACGTAAGTATGTTTTTATACATTGTACCTGCAAGGCACGTATTCAGCCCCCCGCGTTACTTGTTGAGTGCTATGATTAATTAAACACCTACGACTACGTACCTAGGTATTGATAGACTTCCTATTTAGGGTGGATTTTGTTGTTGAGTATTCGTGTGACATGATTCTTTCTCCTTGCTAAGTCTTCGGGCAAACGATCAACTGGGAATTACTTGGGAAATATGCAAGTCAAAATCTCTAACCAATGATACGGACACACGCAACTTGAAGGCACCCCACAATGCACGATCCTAAGTGACAACAGACTTGACCAAAGTGTACTTTCACTTAGGTACTTTTAATCATGACCATGATTAAAGGTCACTGTAGAATGTAGCCTTTGACCTTTGCTATGATTAAAAATGTCTTCTTCCATGTTTGTTGGCAGTTCTACTTCGACCGGAGCAATTGGGCATTCGTAGCTTAGAACCGAGCAGTAAACCAATCACGCATTCTGGTACAAGTGTGATGTCGCTACCCCATTTCAGTTGCCGCTCAGAGTATTGATAGACCTTTAAAATCCCATCAAATGTGTAGATCTACGTGAATATATTCTTCTATGAATGAACTCCAGCTTGAACTGTATATGACACGAGACGAATGCTATGAGCTCAATAGAGAAAACAAGTTCAGAGGGGATGGTATGGTATTGTGTAAGTCATTTACCGAGAGAGTGACTAATAATACTCCCTCTTGGGCTGCTATATATTAACTATTGACTAATATTCATCAGTGCAATTGTGCATTTGGGGGGATGTCTCAAAAGCTTCACCTAGAATGTGTACATTGCGGGCGAGTGAGATGCAACAACTGTCAGGGGGAAAAAATCCCTTTATGTCGAAACCCTAAGAAGGACAAGCACAGTACATGTACCAATAACAATGAGGCTCTGCAAGGTAGTGCCAGCCACGGATTTGAGTTGTTGCATAGTACGACCCATACATCAGCAATCAGCAGAGCCGCGTCACTACCACCTGAGGAGGCAATTGAGGCTCAATCACCTTTGAGACAGTTGTCCTTTACCGAGGGAACCCTGACAGACATCCCCGAATTTGCGGCTCTAATTCATTTGGACCAGGATAGGGCCGACCCGATCAGTACCAGGTTCCAACAAGAAACCAGCGGGTTGGGTCAGGCCTATGAGGGCGAGCGCTCACCCCGTAGCAATGAAGAGGATGAGAAAGATACTTTCGATTTTGGGGCTTTTGACAGGGACACGAATTCCTTCTTCGGCCCAGTGTTATTTCCCGATTCTGAAAGGCTCGGGGGTGCAGTTAGCTGGTCGCAATATGAATCGGGTAATGACAAGATAGAGACATGTGGTACTGGTGAAGGGCAACGGGCAAAGACGGGCAGCGCAGAGGGTTTCGACCCTGACGGAATCGACCCGTTTGAGGGATTGAATTTAGATCCAGCTTACAACTCAGATACTTATTCCGTTGAACCTCAAATATCCGTACCTATCTTCGCCTCGGACATCAATACAATCGATCCCGCGCAATTTCCCAATGCGTATCCGTTTCCGGCTCCGTGGACAGGCTACAACATTGGACATACCGAGTTACCTATGCCATCCTTTCCATACGAATCTTCAGACTTAGCTATGAATGGGATTCCAAACACTGCCCCTCAATTGCCAGATATGGAGTCATTAATAGATCAAAAGGAAGAATTCCATTGCCCTCGGAGCCCACCGCACCACAATGGCGACGATCGTCAGCTAGGTGCCAACAAGAGACAGCTTCATCAGGGAAATCGGGAAGGCAGTCCCGACAGAGCATGTGAATCGTGCTCGTTAACAGCTAGCATCGATGAGAACACGCCTCTTGCGTGTCTGTTCTACAAGCGCAATCCGGCACGGTATCCAAACTGCATTAAAAAGACGTTCAAAAGCATTGGCCACCTTAGGCAGCATTTGAATCACGATCACAAATTAGGGGTCTATCACTGCAAAAACTGCTGGGAATCTTTTGCGGATCAAGAGTCCTTGGATGCGCATGTGATGTGTGAGCCAACGCATGGCAGTTCCGTCGACGATCTCGGGCGCATTACTAAAACCAGACGGACTTTCAACAATAAATGGTATTGGACTTGGAGAAAGCTTTTTGGAAGAGGGACTGCTCCACCAAAGTGTCCATATTCGCATCCTACTCGGGATATGGCAAGTCACCTATTCAGCCAGTTTCTTCAACATCTTACGGCTCAAGGGACGAATCTAGATGTCCGCGGATTTGAAGAAGCGATCTCCCAGTGGCTAGCATCATACCACGAACCTTCAAACGATACTCGCTAAATTGATGCAAATACTACTGCTACCAACACATAGATAGCACCTGCGTATAATTTCCTTTCTGTGGATTTACATCGGCTGAGATCGGCTGAGATGGAACACTTTCATGTATCTAAACCGGAATAACAATGCCCACCTGGTTACTATGAGTATTTATGACTAGTTATAGGTATATTATACTATGTTAGATTAGGTACCTAGGTTAAAGGAGCACGTTATTTTACAAGACAATTATTTGCACCCCGGCGATAACTTCTCTCGTAGTGTCATTGTATTGCATTTCGAGATATAAATAATGAAGCGGATAATTTCTAGATAAAATGCCCTCTTTACTGAATGATCACGCTCCATGCCCAATACCACACGTAATAACTTACCTATAACTTAATATGCTAATCATGGCCAAGAACTTGAGTACCTAGGTAAGTATTACAACAGCTATTCAGTCCCTTGACTTTTAACATCGATGTACCGTGAAACCCGCAACGTTAGTCAACCCACAAATCCAATGGGATATCCTTCATCTATGCTTTGCTTCTAGGATAAGTACCTAGGTACCTATGTTGCATTAAGAAGGCCCCTAGGTAGGAAGCTCAATGGTTTGATGGGTTAGATCTCTATAGAAGAACAAGATCTCGACTTACGTACAAGGTAATAATACCTTAGCATCATAAGGAGAAGGGCCCGACCGGAGGGGCTCCACGTAGGAAAGAAACGCCTTTGAAAAAAAAAAAAAGAAAAAAAAAGAAGGCTTGAAACGTCAATATATTCATTGATAAAAATGAGATCTGATAGTCTTAGCACGCTTAGAAGTTTGGTCTGGGCTTCCGGATATTGAAAATTTTAATATAGATACAATTGCGGCGGCCCCATACGATGTGCAGGAGCGGGTGGCACAGCAAAGATAAGTTTGAGCTTTCGTCGGAAAATGAACCATACACAGCCTTTTATCTCGATGGCATCTCCGGGGTAAGAGACGGATAAATCCATTAGCTGCCTGCTTTGGCGGTACTATAGTTGCGCTGGTTAAGGAGAGATAGAAACATTGGAACAACAGCTGTTGCCATTATTCGGCTCCCGATTCTACATAAACATTCAAAGCATTCGGTTCATGGTTTTGGTTAATCTGGCATCACATGTTGCTGACAGAGAGAGCATGCTCTTTATTGGTGTATTGAGTATAAAACCCTAGCCTAGGACCTTCGTAGGTAATACCTCTTAGACACTCGCACTTCACAACATCTACGTTCAAGTTCAAAATAATCCTGTCCCGATCTCTAAAGCGACTACAATCGAAGAGCTAGACTGAAATCTTTATTAACGAACAACCCGACTCCATCATGCGTTTCACTATCGCAGTCATCGCGACTATCATCGGCCTTGCTGCCGCCAACCCCGCTTTCTCCGGTAACCTCCAGACTAGGCAAACTTCAGAGTACGTCCTATTACCCCAAACCAACAGCACGGAGATGATTGGAGCCATGTTGGTATTTCGTGTAGTTACAGATAAACCTATAAGGTTTATGGTGCTATAGACCAGCTCGCATCACCACCCCCTTTAGCTCTTCTTACGTACTGAATGATAATGTAATAATAGACGCTTGACTAGTAACACTCTGTGTATCTGTGTCAGATATTATACCCTTGATGGATGTCGTACATAGAGTGAATCTTGGGATAGATAGATTGAACTAGTGACGTCTGCCTTTTTACCCTCTCACAAGGGCGCGTAGCGCCCCTTATATAGTATGTAGATACACCCCTGTAACTACCCCTAATCCACTTATACCCTGACACTCCGGTATATATACTACCTGCATGGTTGATTCGGGAAGTAAGAACTATTGATCAAAGGCAGCTCTGTTTGCGTAAAATCGAGGGTTAAGGTTTTGGAGTCTTTCTTACAATTGATGCTAGTTATCTCACATGTAATTCTTGAACTTTATACACTATTACATCCTCCACATATAAGAGTCCGAATAAGAGCCATTGGACTTTGCAAGTGTACTAATACTAGGTATTCGCTGATCTATTGTATCTTACTTATCATTAACTTATAAGGTGTCTCGTCCTGTATTTTGCATATTCATCTAGTCTCAAGACTATTTAGCATGGTTTTCTTGTTGTGTCCTCCTTTATTAATCAGAGTGTGATAGGTACCATGGTCCGTGATTTGTATAAGCCTATGATGGACGACTTATGATTATGCTAGGTATAAAAGTTGACTGCAGTTATATTCTACCTTGTTCTAGTTTGGAGGTGATTGGAGTAGAATAGAATTGTGGGTTAATCAGCAACTATTTACACACAGTGGTGAACTAACTTAGTAATAGGTAGACGATTTGAAGTGAAGTGTTAGAGGTATTTTTGAAGGAGTGCATATCCGCATATCCGTTTCTACTACTGCATACCTACATAGCCCAACCATTGGCGCTTTGACAGCTAAACGGCCACGTGGTAAAAGGCTGTGCCAAAATAATACTCTCTTAACGTATGATAAAATCGTGATTAACTATGAGTTGCACTGCGATTGGTTCGGATTCTCGTTGCCGATTCTTTGACCGTGGCGGCGTCCGAGGAAGAATGCGATGGAAGCGTTAGAGTCGGCGGTACATTTACTGAAGATGTGAGATAGAATATATGGTATTATATAGACTTACCTAGCCCCTTTCTACAAAATGCTGTAGTTGTGAGATTAGAAACAGCGATTATTTAATTCGAAGATGAGATTTAAGATTATTTCGAATATAAGTACCTAGGTACATATACACTCACTACCTAAAAACAGCAACAGCGCATGTGTTTCTTGCGTAGCTGAGCTTGTTTAAACTTAGTGTATCCAATCTTTATCAGATCTGAATATGGAGAAGATTGAATTATTTCGATACGACGTGCATTTGATATGTATGGAAGTCCCTTGGTCCCTTGGGGAATTTACGTATTGACTAGTGGCTTAGCTGCAGAAACCGTCAGATTTAGCGCTAAGGACCCGCTCGTTTTGCCGTTCTCCCGCTATGCGCCATGTGCATCACCGTAGTACGTACCTAGTGTACCTTTCCTTGGCGTTGGGCCAATTCCCCGTTTTGCTCGAAATGGCTTGAATGGTACGTATTCCCGGTTATTGACCTTGGCCTGTAATTTCAAAACCTTCCACGAATTCGCAGATCCCGTGCAACTACCAGTGCAACTACCACGGGGCTGAGCATCTCTTTTTTCTTTGTCTCTAACCAACATTGGAACCCATCCGTTTTTCTGGTTACTTCTTCGTCGACACACGACTTGTACAACATCCCCTCCTCAATTTTATTATCTCAACCTCTCGCCAGAACATCTCACCCGCCGGTCGGACACGACAGTTCTTTAGTAAATAAAACCGCGAAGCCGCTCATTTCCCTACTTTTCCCCCCTTGTTTCCGCTTCTGGTCGCAACGACACGCACAGCCCCTCGAATCCTTTTCCCGACATCCGTACGCCGCGTCAATCACGAAATTCGAAATTCCCCGAAAATATAATTTAAATTTACTTATCAGGTAGCCTCTAATCGCCTCTAATTATTTCGATACCGGTGGAAGACGGATTGACGGATTTTGTCCGGGGTTGGATCGAACAGCGACCGCGCTTTACTTTCTACCATCTACGGCGTCTTACGGATGATCGAGCTACAGTCGGCGCGATGAATTTAACATGTAACTCGACGTTGGAGGATATGAGAAGTACGTGCTGAGATACTGAGATACCCAACCCATAATCTGGGGTTCCTGCATGCCCAGAACACGCCCAGAATCGTGGCGCCAAGATGCTAATGCTGACATGTCTTTGATAGTCGGATCCGAACAGAAGATCGCAGGACCTCTGACTTTCCATGATCTCGCCCTCGTCATTGCCGGCGGCGCTACTATCGTCGCCTTTATCGTTAGCTTCTATTTGATGTGGCAACATGCCCTAAACTACACCAAACCCCGTGAACAGCGACAGTACGTTTATCTCCCCGTAGCGACAACGTACCATCGTACCATCGTACCATCTTACTAACTTGAGTCAGTATTATTCGCATCTTGTTTATGATCCCGGTTTATGCCACCTCCGCCTTCTTGTGCATATGGTACTACTGGCATGCCGTTTATTTCCAGGTCATCAGCGATTGCTACGAGGCTTTCGCCATCGCCTCCTTCTTCGCCCTCATGTGCCATTATGTCGCACCCGATTTACACGAGCAGAAGGATTTCTTCCGAAATATGCACCCTATACAAGAGTGGGTATGGCCGATTACCTGGTTGGCTAAGTGTAGTGGTGGTGAAAAGGGACCGTGGAGAACCCCCAAGAGCGGTCTGACGTGGTTTAACATCATCTGGATCGGAATTTACCATTACTGCTTCATCAGAGTCGCCATGACCATCACGGCAGTTGTCACGCAATATTTTGAACGGTACTGCGAGAGTTCTAACAGTCCCGTCTTTGCTCATATTTGGGTATGTATCGCCATGCTGCGAAAGTGCGAAAGCGCGAAAGTGCAAAAGGAGAAGCGCAGCGTTGCTTACATTATTCATAGGTTATTGCAATCGAGTGTATAGCCGTCACTATTGCTATGTACTGCCTCATACAGTTTTACATGCAGCTACGAGAGCCACTAGGCGAACACAAGCCGTTTCTCAAGGTCTTGGCTATAAAACTTGTCATCTTCTTGTCATTCTGGCAAACGATCGCCATCTCTCTCGGAACGTCTACCCTTCATATTGTAAATCCGAACGCTATCCTCGCCTACCCCGACCTGAAAGTTGGTATACCTAGCCTAATGCTTTGCGTCGAGATGGCGCTTTTTTCGGTCCTCCATATTTGGGCGTTTCCTTACACTCCGTATCTCGAAAGCGCTAAAACGACTTACTACCCGGTTTCCGACCCGTCCCAGGGATTGCCCCCCCGCGAGAACGAGCATGGAGCTAAGATGGGCGGCTTTATGGGCCTGAAAGCTTTTGTGGACGCTCTTAACCCATGGGATATCGTCAAGGCGTTCGGCCGTGGTATGAGATGGCTATTTGTGGGGGTTAAGCACCGCCGTGAAGACCCTAGCTATCAG